AGTCATTCACTAGGAAATGTCAAGGCAAGGCTAAAAGAGCTATTGAACCCGTGGTTGTACTATTAAACCTTCTCTGGGGGAAGCAGCCTGGTAGCTTGCAGCAAGGTTGACGATTTTGTAAGCTGGCATTCAAGTCTTCTCTGACATTATTTTCGCTTTAATTTTTGTTTACACACTTTCACAGCCCCGGTTCACCCAGGAGTATAAATAGATAAATGCAAACAAGGCGATAAGGAAACCTCTCAGTCACTTCATGTTAAACACTCCTGGCTGTGTTCCCGCAACTGTAAGCCCCTCAGTGATCGCCCTTTTCCCTGCCATATCTATGAAGCCTGTTGATAGGCCACAATGTCACCATTGTTGTAGATACTTTACGCCTCGATACAGAAAATGATTTGTGCATTCAAACAACGTAACAAGCAACGTACTTTTTTATCCGCTGAGGACCTTCTGAGAATTTCGCTTCAAAATTTTTTACTTTTTTTCCATCAGAGAGATTTACCCTGTGACAATCAGGTCGGTCTTAATAAGCATCATTTGTCTGTAAACACAACAATATTAGGCATGCGTAATACAATCATGAAATGCAAGCACAAAGTTTCTTACCCCTCACTGTGATGCGGGAGAAAAATAGCTCTCCAATCGGCAAAGTTAGAGATGTGGCGATCAAAGTAGAAATAAGTTTAATTGTTGGCAATAACAATTATGCAACCCTGTAGGCTGAAGCGTTGTATTTTTGTTTTTGTTACTGGTTGATTATGTTTCTAGTTTAGATTTTACAGCTGAGCGAAGAAAGAACGTCAAGTGCTTTCTGATAACTCTAAACGTCACCTTGACCGTGTTATAAAGCACTGATCACGGTTTCTGTTGAATTTTTAAGAATGGCTCACAAACTGCTTCATACCCCGTCCATGACAGGCTCCATGCTAGCGAACAAGTTTCCAGTTTCTAACGAACAAGTTTCCAGTTTCTCAATCGCCTCTTTGCTGCGTTGCTGCGATGAAGGTAAGTATAAACTGACATTTTAAAAATGGAAATAAAATTCGGTTCGAGTACAATGACAAAACAAACTCGATAGACGGTTGTAGTTGAACATAATTTAAATAAATATGAAGTGACTTATGATTAAATCATGACCGTATAGTCTGTGGTCAAAGGCAGATGGAAATAAACAGATCTATAACTAACATTTTCTACTTTTGGTTGAACCGTTGTAGACTCGAAGCAGAGTCCCAGGATGGGTCATCCACACAAATGTTGCAGCGTGAAGAAAACAGGCCGCAAATCTGGTTCGTTCAGACAAACTGATATTCAAAGTGCATTCTCTGGATCATCTATCGCAGGCAAGGATTTCTCGGAGCCTGATTTAACAGAGGGAACCTATTCTTTAAAAGGTGACAGTTATACTTATCAGGCAATGGCTGTTTGGAAAATGATATTTGCTAGAAAAGTCATTTATAGAATTTTGTGATATCACTCTTGGCCTAAACACATCGAGTAACGGCGATTCCTATTGACTTGATGATAGGGAAGCCTTGAAGAAAAAATAGTACATGTTTAAGGAATAGATTTGATTTTTCACCCCAAACAAACTTATTATCTAACTAGGGAAAGTGCTTTTTTTACTCGTGCACATGACATTTATTTTTGTAATTTTCTACGTCGAAGCGAAGTTGGTTCTAGAATGTGGTTAAAACTTCGAATAGATTAGCGGTCAGATTCAGTTTCATTGATTGAGACTGTAACAAAGACGACACGAGTCTAACGAGACCAACAAAACGGTTTGTCTCTCTTTTGATATACAAAAAGGCTATATAACATGATTTCTCAAACGAGAAAAAAGCCCATGTTTTGTTGTATGTTATTGTTGAGCATGAAAGGGGCGTAACTATGCAGAATTCCTCTAATTTGTACTAATTAGACAATCACTAGAGCAATACCTTCAGTTTTCGGTGTGGTCCTCCGCTCCTGTTTACATATTTGTACATTTTTTTATCAAACACTTTTGATTTTTTTCCCCATTGTTTATATGGTATTCAAAGTTCTGATGGTAGATGTAATAAGTTTTGAACTATAATTTTTCAATTCAAAACTGTTTTTCATAAATAAAGGGTGAGCAGCTGCAATCTATTTACACGAGCCTCCTTTTATCAATGATGACGCTAAACTAAGGAAACTTTGACACTAATGATAGCGTTTGATATAAGCTTTCATAGTGAGGATTGAACCTCAATTTCAGTAGTCATACTCGACGACGCTTTCATTTCATGGAATTAAACTCAAAAGACAAGGAAGAATCAGGGGACTTTTCCAACAATAAAGCGGCGGAACAACAATTTGTCGTACATCATTCAAACTTTTCCTTCATTCATTTTTATGAATTATGAAGTATCGTCAAACTACTCTAAAAGTATGTAAACGAACTAGAGATCATCTCTAACATTGCAATCATGATGATCATGAAAAATTTAGAAAATCCAACGCTATTTCATATGAAAAATCAGTGGTTTTTGTTGTTACGATGAAAAAGTACTGAATGCAACAATATTTGTTCTCGTTTGAATGATAAACAGCCCAAAGTTTGTGATAAGACATGAATTTATAAAGTAGGAAATAAACCTGGCTGATATTACACTTAAATATATACTACAACAGTTGATATCATTGAAGGCGCACACTTATTGGTTATTCAAACTGCCAATATCCTTTGCTTTCATCTCCGAGCAGCGCGCTTGGGAGCGGTGTATATTTACCGAGCCGCGAAAATTAAATACTCATCGGTCAACGCCGTGATATCATGTATAGCTCCCTCAACGTAGATGTATCTAACAGTTCCTGACCGAATGAAATATTCACTCTGTTGACATTTACATCAAGTAGGTCATGCGTAAATTAATTTTCACGACTTCTTCAAGATACACTATCCAGGAGCTCTTTCGTGCGATTTCAAAGAGGAGAAACATTTCAGAGAAGGAAGCATTTAGGGACATAACTCAAACTGAAATGTCCTAGTATTTGTTGTGAAGAGAGTACCAGAATCTTCCAAAGATTTCTTGTCCAAAACCTGTCGCATTATCTTAACGCTACTCGGGAAGAGCAGCGCACGATGCAAGTTATGGGATTTCTGCCGGCTAAATCACCATCAGTATCAAAGCAGTATCATTATTATCGTCGTCATCATCTTCAACAACCTCATTTCAGAAAAGATAACCTTATTTGGTCTCAAACAACTGAGACCGTTATTGCGGATGACCCAGTCCAGTGATAGAAAAAATTTAAACTGAAAGATGTTAGCCTCTGAGGTTTGGTGGACGTTTGCCACTGATGTTAAAACATTGACTGCACAATTGGCTGAACTGCACCACACAACCAGTTAAAACTCTTTGAGCTTATGCTTTTTGCTCAAAACTGATCAATGCCCCGAGTGGACCACGAGCATTATTTACTAAGTCTTTTCAATGTGACGATTTTCAGTTGTAAAAAAAAATTATCAGCACATTCATTGTTAAACTATCGACTTTTGAGTCCTTATGAAGATAATCCTAATGGCGTAGGTAAAACTTTTGAAATTTTCTTCGGCTGTAAGCCTTCATCACACAGAAAATTTCAGTTAGCAGTTTCCTTTTCTCAAAGCTGGCATTTGTTTAAGTGCGTTCTGTCTCGTGCCGTTTATCAAAGATAATATAATTATGACGGCTCGTTCTGTTGATAGGTCTTGATAGACACAACGAGATGTGGGCCTTTCGTAAACAGAAGGCAGATGCCGGTGTTTAGGATTGTGACTGAAGAGGAAGTGCGAATTAAAAACCGCTCGTGTATAAATTTTAAAAATCTTGAGAATCGAGAAAAAAAATGGAGTCGCCTACATCGCCGTTTACTTGGTTGTACAGCTGGATCAGTACCTTATATCTGAAAATTCAGTGACAATAGCGGCCACCTGTTTACTTTTAAACATCTACGTAAAGGGTACGGTACGTGCCCATTACGTTTCCTACTTCCTCGGCGGCCTTTAGATCAGTAGTATAAATATAAGATGGAATTGGACTTCGTATAAGGACAACTTCGTCAGTTGTTAATTACCGGAACGTCTGCGGACTTCGTTATGTGTTTCACTTTACAAGTTCTACCGGCTAAACGCAACTCGTGAAAGGTTACCTGAAAATTTTTAACACGAATTAAAGGGAATTTGAAAATGACTCAAATTGCTGAGCCGAAATTAACGATTAACAAAAACCACGTTCTTAAGCAACTTATTGATATGCTCGTTAAACTCTTGAAATCAATTTAAACTAATCGGCATGCCAGGATCAGTGTGGTTTTATAAACGAATTGCTTAGGGAGAAATTTAGTGTAAATAATTCATTTAAATTAGAGCTCACGTGTAAACGTTCTGATGAATGCGTTGGATATCACTTGGATCACTTGTGTATGACGTCTTCCGGGCTTTGGCAATCAACATCCCATACTTAACAATAAACTGACTTTGAGCAAAGAAACGAACCAACCAAAATTTAAGGAAGTTTTGTTAGTTGTAAAGTCACTCTCTCTTCGTAAACACAGAGAAAAATACGCAAGAGCTGGGATAAGCTTCGTTGATTTCCTTTTTAAAGTCTTGAAGGCGATTGATACATCACATTTCGTTCATTAATTGACTTTATTTCAGGATCCATCTGCGAGTTTTTCAAGACTTTATTGCAAGATAGAATAATTTCAAAAAGTGAAACGATGTCAATTATATCAATCTATGACAATTACTTTTAGGAGGTTCAAACCCCACAAAATATGGCTTTTTTCCAAATCTACATTAGATAATTACTTTAGGTTAAAAAAAAATTAAAATTAACAAACCCCCGCAGGTGGGCTGGAATTTAGCATGAACAGTAGTGTACTGTAGAGAGCTTTATCATTTTTTTCACATGAACCCATTGATGGCGATATAATGCCCAGCTACATCGTTTCTGCATAGATCTGCTGGATGATTAGTCTACCTACATGGTAGAATGGAATCTTCATGTTGTACTAAACGGATATCTTTCAATTTAGTTCAAAGTATTTGCACCTTTTCGGAGCCGCTGCCTCGCTGGGTTCTTCCCTCCACTCAGTCTACAGAGTACAGCCTGAAGGGACACCTTAGTTATCAACCAGCCAGCCCGTCCCTGTACTTGCCACAAGGTATTCACGTATTAAACAAAGGACTGCATCAATTTGCAGTTGTAAGCTGCCGTGCTTCTATTTCCAAAGGCACTCGTTTTGGTCCTTATCGCGGCAGGGTGGTTCAACCCTCACAAGTTAAAGAAGGTGAAGATAATGCGTACTTGTGGGAGGTAAGAAAAATACAAATACAAATGGCAAAATGCTGTCAGTGATTGCGTTTGTAAGAATACGTTTGGCCAGATTTCGAGAAACTACCCGGACAAACTTAAGCGACGAGCAGTTTTTTTTCACTACTTACCAGAATTCATCGCCAGCCTCGCTACCTAGAACTTCAGAACATTCGTTTTTATTTAAATCTACGATAGACAGTTTCATAAACAACAATTAAATATTTCTCGATCAGGAAAATAAAATTTTTTCACGCCATACATAATACTGAGAGTGTTGGCAGCTCTGTTTTGTTTATCTTTTAGTATGGTGACTCATTTGAACCATTCGAGCATGAAATATGAATGGTTCACTTAACCACGTCCGCTTAGGAAAAAGTCCATCCCTTGTCTATGCAGGGGGGTCGCTTGTTTCACCAACTGTTGGGTTTTTGAATAGCTATGTAGCTGTTACAGGAGATAAATACAGGAAAAAATGAGGAGAATGTAGAAAAACTGCATCGTGAAAAAAAAAGAAAGAAAATTGCCTATACTAGATATTTGTAATTGCAATATGTCAGTGATAAGATCAAAAGAAAAATTACTTTATTACCATAGATTTAAATGTATATCGTTTAGATGTACACCACTTTTAAATGAAAAAAGGGCTTTTTTCGTTTGGTCTAGGAACTTTCTGTCTTTTATTCTTTTTTAATATTATTAATATTATTCTTTTTTGATATGATAAAGGTATGCAAAGAAGATGGCAGCCTTGCATATTACATTGATGGACTCTCAGAAACAGAAAACTGGATGAAGTTTATCAATTGTGCTCGCAATAACGAAGAACAAAACCTTGTGTTAATTCAAGATGGCGAGCAGCTGTTTTACGAATCATGCCGTGAGATCTTATATGGAGAAGAAATGTTAGTTTGGTACGGAAACCGCTATCACATGTTCATGGGAATTCCGACTGGAATGAAGGCGTCACCATGCAAGGAAAGGAATAACGAAACCGGACAGGGTAGGATGTCAATCTTTAGGCTTATAGGTTTACATTAATAACACTTGCATCTCTTATTTAGAACGATGTTGACAGTTAAAACCTGTCATTACTTCTTTCCTAAAATTGACAATCCTTTCGCAAGAAAAAACATCAAAGTATCGGAGCAGTTGCTTGCAAATGATATCTGTGATCCATAGTTACGGCAAAGCAAATACAAAAACTGGATGATTACAAGACAGAAAACATTTTAAATAAAAACTTAAGGTTACTCTCAACAAAATCTGGTCAAATTTTTCAAAATTTGTCCTTTTGTTCTTTAGTCAGAGAAAGTAATTAAATTTAATTTGCCGGGAAAAAAATTGTAAAATCTTAGAAAGAATGCGAGATACGGCTGAAAGAATATTTTAGGGGAACCAGTACCGAAGAGCGAAAGGTGTCATAATCAGAAAAGGCCTCCAGCAGAGTGGAAACTAAACTAAAACAAATATTCATTCCTAAACAGTGTGGTAGCGATAACCAAGCAAAGCTTTAGAAATTTATATTTTGCTCGAATCTTTGCAGGTGCGTTTGGGAGTTTCTCATGTGAACGTTGTGGTAAAGTGTTCGCCTACAAATATTACCGTGACCGCCACCTTAAATACACCCGATGCGTTGATCAAGGCGATCGTAAATTCCCGTGTACTGTCTGTAATCGATCATTTGACAAACGGGATCGGCTTCGTATCCACGTTCTCCATGTTCACGAAAAGCACCGTCCCCACCAGTGCACAGTGTGTGGAAAACGCTTCTCTCAGTCATCCAGCCTCAATAAACACATGCGGGTTCACAGCGGAGAAAGACCCTACAAGTGTCCACATTGTGTCAAAGCGTTTACCGCTTCCTCCATTCTCCGGACACACATTCGTCAACACAGCGGAGAAAAGCCGTTCAAGTGCAGGCATTGTGGACGTGCATTTGCGTCACATGCAGCACATGACAGCCATGTGCGCCGCACCCACACGAAGGAAAAGCCTTGTGTTTGTGAATATTGCGGCAAGGCCTTTGCGCAATCTTACGAACTTAAGTTTCATATCAACATGCACACAGGAGCCAAGCCCTACACCTGTGAGAAGTGTGGCAGAGCATTTTCAAGTCCTTCATCACGTGACCGACACCGTGCTAATTTTGACTGCATCACAAGAAAGAATCGAGCACCAAAAGTCATGCGGAAGAACATCTTAAGTGTTTAATCGGCTTTCTAATAATACATTACTTGGATCTAACTGTCAATTCAAACAAGGTATACTCAGAATAAACAACTACAATTCGTAGATGATATTCTTCGTTCTGGTGGTGGCGTTTCCCATGATTCCTTGTACTGTTTGTTCCTCGAAAAACGTTTTCTTGCGTTGTAGCTTGTTAGTTGTATTGAACATCTTTCATACATCTCTTTTAACCTACAATTATAAGGAAGGAATTAGGGCGATGAAAACATACTATCAAATTAGTATTCATGCCGAGATGACATGAATATTCAGTGTTGCGTTTGCAAACAAAGGCCGTCATCTAAGTTTTCCGTGACTTTGAAGTTTTCCTTCTAGAATATCGCTTACATCGCTAAATGATCGTCATTTGTGATGTCTGCGATATCGATTACAGTAGCACAGCTTCTACGACACAGAATTCAGTTATCATTTATTTCATCTTTCTTGATACAAATTCCCATGCCGTAGATGGCTAAAAAGGGGTGGTGTTTGAAACCATTTATAAAGCAGCATTCATCATTCAGCCTCCTCTTTGATCTCTGATAAGGCGATAGGGCATCATGACAGTCATATCTCATTACAGCATAAAAGACTGTGACATTAATCGTAGCAATACCAACATTAATAAAAATAATAGTGACTATGATAATAATGACACAAGCGTCTTTCCTTAGAATATGGAAAGTTTCGAAAAGTTTTCTTTTCCTTTTTTGCATCTACACAAATAAACAGGGCTGGAATGTATTTTCAAAGTGAAATTTTGTCCAAAAAGAAATCTATATCTTGCTATTTTTGCGTAGCTGTGTGGTAAAAAGCGTCCTCATTGACTGATACATCGAGAAGCGCTGTTTCAGTGTTTTTGTAATGGAGCCGTTTATATATCGCTTGCTTAAATCTTCGCGGTTTTTTATAGGCCGTTATCGAAGCTAAATAAATCGAGTGGAAAAAGAACCTAAAAATTAAAACTTGCTGTTTCGTATCACATTCCTTTTTCTTTGAAGACTCTGACGAATGGATTAATTCAATTTTTTTGATCGGTTTATAGGAAAACAATAGACTCACACAGGAGGTGTGATGTACGGAAGGGATCGATACGGCCGGAAATAGAGCGTTATCGCCGATAGATTTAAATTATTACTGTTGTTTTTTTCTTTTTGTGTGAAAATTTTCACTTGTAAACTTCCCGTCAATGCGTGAAAAATATCTAACCAAAGCCACTGCGTGCTGTAATGGCGGGAGGCAGTTCTTCATAGAACGATGGATTGCTATCTTTGCTGTCAAAGACGTATAAGTAGAAATAAATCATTATATTAATTTGTTTTGAGTGAAAAGCAGAAAACAAGGCATTGTAAAGGGCGTGCAAGCGTACGGAAATGTATTAGTGTAAAAGAGTTCGACGTCAAATAGCATAAAATGAAAAACATATCGAACATGCTTGCCATAATCTTGTATTCAGTATCAAAGAAGAAATCGAGAAGCGTTAATATGTAAATGAAATCTCGAAGAAAAGGGTTGGGTTCTCAAAAAAAAAAAATTACGAATGAGGTCTGTCACCATCCAATTTCGCTATATGCTTTAGCGCAAGTAAACCAGTCAAAAGGTCCATAATACCCACGTCTCGGCGGGTACTCCGAGAAGACACTTCTGATGGAAACACAGAGGTAATCCTCTCATATTTATCTATGAATCTTGCGACACAATAAATCTCCCTTTTCTATAACCCACACTTTAACCCTAATTAGCAAAGCAATTAACAGGGATTGAAATACTTGATGAGGCTGGCCATAGAAATCCTGAGGTCTTTAATTATGAAGTTTTATATGATGCTACTTTTAGAGCTGGTTTGTGAGTTAAACAGAGTTTAATTCATTCAAAATAAAAATTTTTATCAACTTAAAGAGAGATACATTCTTATTTATATTTAGTTGAAAGGACATGCAAAAACTGAATTAATAAAGGATGAGGTGCATATGCTTTGGTTTGCATCACAGACAAGCCTTCCGCTGCAAAAGCAAATGCTATCATGTTGCTACCCACTTGTAGTGTTAAAGCATATGCCAAATATCAGTTTCTAGAGAAGATTAATGAACAGTGCAGAAGCCTATGTGTGCAGAAACCTGGAGCTGCTGGCTTTTATGTTTTATATGTAACAAGGAATAGTACAAAGTCTTCCCTTCAAGATGGAGCAGCTTATTAAAGAAATGATGGGTTGAGGCCTGACTTGCTTGATTTAATGGCCAATGTGAGTTTACCGTTTTACAAGAAGATAGAAGTCAAGTCCCTCCAGTGTGTGTGTTATATATATGGTTATGTGCTGAATACCCAATGTTGAGAGCTGAACCTTGTCCAAAAACTTATCATCCTCGGTATTGAACACTCCACTAATAAGGTGGGTATCATTTTTAGTAACTACAAGCAATTTTTAAAAAATAAGAAAAGTTGTTACAGACTGGAAAAAAAAATACCATTTTACTTTGTCCCTCTTTCTAGTGAAGCAATGATATCATTTAAACCTAAAAACATCACACGCTTAAAGATTACAAAATGTGAACCTTCCATATTTGTTTTTGTTTGTCTGTTTGTTTGTAATAAAAAACAAACACCCTCAAGCTTGATTTAGCAAACTGAATCATGTTAAAGGAAGAAGTTAGAGTAAACTAAAAGCTTCTGATGTTTTCAAAGTTCAAATTATATCATTCGTTAACTGTTTCTCTTGATCTCTAAGAGGGGTGTAGATATTTGATTCATATGAATGTGTGTTTTCAGTGAACTTAGGGTTAAGTAATAGTCTTAAAATGTTTGAAAATGTAAAAAATCAAATAAGAATTTTTGTTTTTGATTCTTAAAGTTATTTTGGAACAAATAGTACAATAGTAGTCATCCCAGCTCAAGTGCAGTCACCTATACGATCATCAGGAGTAGAAATAGGAAGCCGCCTCTAGAATCTAAACCAATCGCTTCTAAAGTTTGCCGTTACCCCATTCAGTTACTCATCCTTATTTTCCTCTGAGCCTAATTCTCTTAAAGAAAAACTCACAGCTCGCTCAAAGTCCATCTTTACTAAACTAACTGCCTTGCAATCGATTTAACCCAACGCGGGAACCTGAAAACAGCGTAAAAGCTGCGTAGAAGGCCATCACTTATCCCTTCAACTTTCACTTCAAACTTCCACGAGCACTGGATAACACATAGAAAAATTTCGATATTTTCTTTCGGGGTCGGTTTTATAAAAGAAATAATGACGGGAAAGCTTCGAGCGTAGCTGTCGTTTGTCCGCTTCAACGTTTTGTCTATGGTCAAATGGAGTAAGCATCTTCTATTGGATTAGCGGTAGTTACGCTCACGATTGTCATTTGGAGGATATAGAGTGCGGCAAATGTCAACTCCTATTTGCGGAGTTAACTCCAAATAAAATATGGCCGGTCGGATAAACGATCGCGAGCTTACAACGTTTGCTCGCCCTAATATAGGACGCCTGGATCAGTTTCCAAACGGGTAGTTGGTTGCAAGAAACCTCTGAGAATTACCCTGGTAGGGAGCGCGGGCTCAACCACTTAGACATCATGAAGCTCTTGCGCGTGATTGGTTAGTTATATTTAGAATCGCCTTTGATACAAAAACGAAGGGAACGCACCGTTTGCAAGACTATATAACCAGACGATCAAAATGGTTACTGCAGTGTCAGGTAGAGTTCCAGGTTTCGAACATGGGCTCGACCTTCTTCCAGTACTTCAAAGGCGCTTTAAAGATTGTTCTTATCGGCGATTCGAAGGTGGGAAAGACAAGTTTGCTTTCGCGATCCCACGAGCTTTACGCAACTTTTTCTGATGGCTGCAGCTTTCTCAAAAAGCCTTTTGTACACTCGGAAGTGTACTCTCCCACGGTATTTGAAACTTATATTACAAACGTGGACACCGAATCCTTGGGGAACTATCAGGCAAACATTTGGGATACGGGAGGATGTGGAGTGTTCGACTCTGTCAGACCACTGGCTTACATCGACTCTGATGTATTCATGATTTGTTTTGACATCACAAATCGTGAGTCGTTTGACAACTTAACCGAAGTTTGGCTGCCAGAGATTCAATTTTTTCAGCCGAACACACCAGTGCTTTTGGTTGGAATGAAATGCGACCTGCGAAGTATTTCGAGCAACAGGTGGGTTACTGTGTCAGAGCCCTCTTTCCAGTCTTCCTCATGTATCTTCAGTAGTCAGTCTGTAATGGTTTCTGCCAGTCCTTCGCAACTATGCAAGACTTATTGCGAGGATATATTTTCTTGCGTGTATTTCTTATGGATGAGATTTCTACTGAAAAAAAAGTTATCTGAGCATTAAGGCAATCAGCGAAATTGTATTTTATTTACATGCAGACATTTGGGTAGAGGAAATTATCTTTTAGAGTAATTTGCTTTGCAAAGGAAAAGATGGTCTGGAGCCTCTCTGTAAAACCTTTTATTCTCCATTATACATTTTGGAGACTTGAAGCTTGATTGAATTAGGTGCTACTATCATTTGTTGGGGGACTTAAAGGTGTACGAGTATTTTCAACACTCCCAAAAACTATTAACTTCACATGGTAAGCTGAAAATCATGATATAAAAAGTTTATTTTACTTTTGTTGTGCCCCTTTTTTGAGTTCAATTTTTCAAAAATAATCAAAAGGAATTTGAAAATTATTTTATCATAATGCAAGATCCATGGTCAAATTGGCACATAAACAATCTTTTATAAATTTATTTTCCCTAACAGAGAATCTGATCACTTAGTATCAGTTTCTGAAGCAGAAAGTGTTGCGCATCAGATGGGTTTTGCATACTTTGAGACAAGTGCAAAGACTGGTGAGAATGTGGCATCAGCTTTTGAAAATGCAGTGAAGATTGGTCACACCAGTAAAAAGAAGTTGGGTGGCAGAAAACAAATGAAATCAGAGTTTGCTGATTCATACTTTAAATCTCTCACATCCATCAGTAAGTGGAAGCATGTATTCTGACACATTTATTGCCTAGATTTTTAAATATCCCATAATTGTAGAGGGTAAGTTAAGTTATTTGGAAGGCAAGGCACTTGAACTGAAACATGTCTTGGTGTGAAAACTAAAGGGAACCTGTCATGTATCTTCTTATTAACAGCATTGGTACTTTGGCCAGCTATTGCAGTAGAGCAGCTCTCATGGAAGAGTTTGAATGTTCAAGATTAGAGATAATTCAGCATTTTAGTTGTTCTTCAATTGAAATGAGTGGACATTTGTAGAAGAGAAGACTTCTTTAGCTGATTAAAAACTACCAACCATCAGATATAATGATATCATTCCTAACTATGGATAATCAGTTAAGTGTCAGACTCAAGGAAGCCACATGGGATGACCAACTGTTACAATTTCATTGTAAATACAAAGAATAATAACCTTATAGTTGGAAGATGCTAGATATACTGGCAGAGCAAAATATTGGACTTCATTCTCCATTGTACATAACTTACCACTCACTATGCTCAAGCAAACTTGATTGATTAACTATATAACTACTCTTTTTTATGGTCCACAGGCTCCCCCCCAGAGTTAATAACAGATCCCTCAACTTATGTCAGTGACTTCAAGAAAATTCTGGAAGACGTTGCTAATGCAGATATTCTCTTCAAATTTGAAGATGGGAGTCAAAGCATTCATGCCCACAAAATTGTGTTTTTGTTTGGCATATCAGCTTTTAGAGGTGTTTTTTTTGAAAAAAATTGGAATTTGTGTGAAAAATTTCAGGATTGTTTTTTGGTTAAGGAAACTGAATTTAAAGGAAGGACTTGTGTAGTTTTGAAGAAATGGTTTTCCCGTGATATCTTTGTTCAAATTTTAGAGTTTTTATATACTGGTGAGGTGAGGATATCAAAAGACAGTGAACATGCAGAAGTAAATGAACTTTTAAATGCTGCAAAGAAGCTAGAAGTTGTAAAGTTGATAGATATCTGTGAAAAGCTGCTTGATGTTAAAGATGCTTTGAATCATTCAAAGGAGATGGCAGAAATATCTTTGCTGCCGAAGCACACTGTAGTGAATGATTTTTTCCTTGATGACAACCTGGCTGTATATTTTGATGTGACATTTCTCACAGAAGGAACATTGGTATTTGCTCATAAGGCAGTGCTTGTTGCAAGATCACCTGTTTTGGCTGCTCTTCTGAGTGATAAGTTTGCAGATGGTAAAAGTACCCAGGTAGGTAGTTTATTTTAAGTCAACTTTAAGGGTCAATTATTTACATGAGGTCTAACCCAGACAATGGTTTTATGCAAGAGGTGGGCCGCAGGGATTCTCTATAAGAGGGTTGATTTAATGATTAAATGTCCTTCCACTGTAAGCTTTTGGCTCTCTTATGAAAGAGAGCTCTCTTATATGGACCTAAATTCACTCACTTACTTGATTCTTATCAGTGAGGTAATTAATCTATGCCTTAAATCTTGGATTAAATGCATTTTCCTTACCTTCCCTTCTTAGTTTGGTTCTGTCCTCAAAGTCATTCTATTGTCTTGTGTTCATATATGTGAGGGGTGGGACATAAGTGCAGTTGTTTACCTGTGAAAATGGAGTGATCAGCACACAATAATTCAAAATACTGTCTTGTGTCAGGCCAAATGCTAAATGATCAATGTGGTTTTTCTTTCTTTTTGCTTCATCTTTGATCAAAATACACCTTTTTAGATCTCACAAATAGGGGAAAAGGTGCAGAAGAATACTAAGCCAGAAGGAAAAGGACTTGAAAGTCTTAAAATTGACAATGACTACAGACAATCAATATGAAAATATTTTGTTTGGCCAACAACTGAAGCCAACAGTTAAGAAACAAAACAAATGCAAGATGTAAATGACACTTACTTTAATTTGATTTTCTTACATGTTGAAAGAACATGTTTATTTGGAATGTTTTTCAGGTAGCTTTACCAGGAGTCAACTGCAGAAGCTTTTTAGCTGTGCTGGAATACCTGTACACTGATAACTGTACTTCCCTACGGAAGATTCCAGCAGAGGATGTGCTTGTTCTTGCAGATTTCTTTTGTCTAACCCACTTAGTGCAGATTTGTGAAGTTCAAATGTATGGAGAATTGTTGAATATGACAAAAAAAGATTTGTTAGATGTTCTAGCATTCGCTAAGGTAAGTGGGTATACAAAACTCTCCTGCAAACCTCCTTTTTTCTAAATGATGTTTCATTTTAACTGTTGTGGATGATATGATAAACTTCTACATGTATTAGAGATGCCAAAGTAGCCATAATGTAATAGAGACATTTTATTAGTTCTTATTTATTAGGTTTCATTAGGTTTGGATTGTCGTGGATCAGTTGCTTAATTTCTCCACTGTCCTGTACCACTTCTTTGGTTGGTCAGAATTATTAGCTCAGTATTCGTGTTATTACTATTTTTCCTCAGATTTTTAATGCCAAGCAGGTAACAGAGTGGTGTCTTTATGTCATTGGCTTAAAATTCCTTAAATTCCAAAGTATTGAGAAAGAGCTTGAATTGATTGTTAGTGAACACCGTCAGTTCTTTGAAAAACATTGCTGGCCACCTGAAGACCACAGAAAAGTTCTTAAGAAATACAGGCAAAGAGTTAAATGGAATAGATGTGACAAAAGACAACTCAGTCAGAGGGCAAGTTCCTGTTTACCACTGAATTGTCATGTGATGTAGGATGTCAAAGAAAATTGGCCAGGCATTGTTGTCTGCCAAACCTGTAATCTGTTTCATTGATTACACCTAGTGATAAACAATTAGCAAGCTTCATATTTATGCCCCCTGTTTGAATATCATTGTAAAGTTTGATGCAGTTTGATTGGGTTTGTAATGATGCAAGTGATTAGCTAAATATGACAAGCTTGAATCCATAGTATGATTTGTTCATCACACATTGCATTACCGGTGTGCTAAAATGTTATTTCTTATTGTAACCAGCCTTATACTGTATTTGTTATATTTTGAACATTTTTGTCTGATATAATATGATTAGTTTTACAGTTTATTGATAGCAATGTAGTTTTTGTTAACCATTTAGAGTGAATAATTATGTTTTTCAGCCAAAGGGCTGCTATATGATGTTGATAAACTATATGACTTTGTATTTAAACTGCATCGTGGGACTTGTCATTGTTTACGTTGAGACAGATTTATCAAAACAAATCACCTCCAAACCATGTGTGATAATTTTAACTATCATAGTGTTATGGTGGAGACACTCTGTAAATACCCTAGGAAATTCCCCACTTTTAATTTAACACACAGACGTCCCATGCCAAACAATGTTATTGTTATCCAAGAGCCACTGAAGGGAAAGAAATGGCCATTCTCTAATAAACCAACAACTGATCTTTTTTTCGCAAACTTTTATATTCTTAGTGTTCCTTTTTCTGTTGTGAAACTTTGCAAAAAATAGTTTGCGTTGATCAATTAAAAGCTCTAACATCCCCCTGTGCATTTTAACTTTGGAGGATTGTTTGTTCATATTCCCGCCCTGCTCCCAGGGCAAAAATTGTCTTCATGTGCCCCACCCTATTTATTTGTGAGAGGAAATATAAGCGACCTTAATTTTCTACACATTGAAGAAGCTTTAAAACCTCGACTTCGAAGAAAACCTTTTATTCTGGGCCATTCGCGCGCGGAAGTGAACTATTTGCCTTTAAAAACCTCCAGTGTGAAATATGAATTGTATTCCGCTAGAAAGACGTGACACTTCCGGTTCAAATGCTCCACCCCAGACAAGGAAGGTTCAAATTCCCCACACCCCGGGCATGGGTGACAGTCAAATACCCGTGCATTTCCCGAGGGGGATGTCGAAACCTTGAAATGATTAGCGCATTGCGCCAAGGGAAAAGAAAAAAAGGGGTGAAAAGAAAAGTAGCGTGTATCGAGGAAAAGCGCGCGTCCTGATCAGGAAATCATACAAGGCCCCGTTCAAACAGTCACAATAGTTGATAGTTGACGATAGTTTCAACTTTGCGCTCAAATGATTCATGAAAGTTGTCGATAATGATGAGATTGCGTAATTCTTAACAAATTGAGTCCGCGCTGAGGTCAGCATTTTCGGTGTCATTTAAAATTTTAGCCAAGATATTGCGAGTCGAAGATACTAAAGCCCACCAGAAGATATTGAGAATAAACCACGAGACATACTGCCAGATTTTGACAGCTACTTAAGTAATTTTACCATTGCCATCTCGGTTTGAGCCCGTTTTTGGCTTCACGGCTGACCGAAAAACTATCAAGCGTTGAAACGGCAAAAACTATCATAAACTATGTCGAATTTGAAAATATCCAGTTATTATAGCATTTGATAAACCATGAATTTCTTTGTTCCCAATAGACTGTGAAAAGATCCATGGAAGCCATATAAAGCCAGGATTCTTTCACCTTACACCAACAGCTAAGGGATTTCTGGACATCCGGGCGGAACTCGTCTTGAAACTTGGGAGTAACGATTTCTGTGGCCTCCTTTTACATAATTTGATACGTCACTAAACATTTTGAAAGCATCATAAGAGATTGTGTATAGAGTATATATGATACATGGCCACACAGAGATATGAAATTTCCGTTTGAGTGTTGAAAAATATTCTTTTCACGCTCGAAGAGCAAAATTTCGGATCTCCATGCGGCCATGAATTATTCTATTTATTATACAAACACTGATGAAATACTAAATCAAAGGCGCTGCATCGTAGAGGCGCAATTTCTATAGTAACCATAACAACAGTGACCTTTTTACTTGTAGAGATATTACATGTTTTCGTGCTAGAGCTCATTTGGTATTTAATTAGTGTTTTAATAAATAGATAATGTATCAACTGCTTTTCGTGAAAAAATTCCTCTTCTGGACTTTGTATACTTCACTTTATCTTACAACAGTTTAATACAATTTTCACGTTGATGGAACCTTTTATGATCGATTAGGGCGAAACTGGGTCAATTTCAAGGTAAATTCTCTGCGCAATTTCTTTATTATAATTAAGAAACTTGTAGTTAACGAAAAATTTGATAGGCATTGAAGCTATACCGGTTAACGGGCAAGAATTACTGGTGATGCAATAATCTCGTTTTTCGAGAATTTTACGACGTTCCAGTTACAAATTCAGTAGACCTATAAGGGATTCAGTTATTTACGTAGGTTTTTGAACCGTTTCATAATATCCATCAGAAGCATTTTAAGACGATGAAGAAGTTTCCTATGAGGCCGTTTCTTTGAAAGTTAAAAACACGTCTCTAAGCTTTCACCAATACGCGGTATCATCCCTGAAAATGTACGAATTAGCAGATGTAACGAAGCACGAGTACGACAACCGATTATTAGTTTGTTTTATTTTGACAATCTTCTCCTAGTGCGTTATTGAATCTCGTGCACAAAATTTACGATCAATATCCTATTCAACCTTTTTACAATACCCTGTGTACACATAAAGCCTAATGGGCCTCGATGATGCTTGCACGACACAACGTGCTGGCTTCCTTTCCTTTTTCTTTCCATTCAGTTACATCGATATTATGGTGTCATTTTTGCATTTACAACGATCGATTAAAGCAATGGAAAGAACTGATTAAATTAGTGACCTAAAAGTAAATTCAGTATGGAAATGACGAGTACAAATCCTGCAAAACTGGGGGAAAGCAGAATAAGCCATCAAATGAACATCAAATGTGCCCTCGCACAATTAACAGCTATTCGTTCATTCAGAGATAAATACAAAATTCTTACAAAATATATGAATGGCTGACATTAGTGGTAAGCAGTCACTTTTAACGTAGCTTCTTTAAATATACACGATTCACTTCGTCAACTCCTAGTTTTAAACAGTCAAAATTCATGGTACATTTGAAAGTTGGTTCTTGCGCATGACTTTTGGCGCTCGATTCTTTCTTGTGATGCAGTCAAAATTAGCGCGGTGTCGGTCACGTGATGAAGGACTTGAAAATGCCCTGCCACACTTCTCACAGGTGTAGGGCTTGGCTCCTGTGTGCATGTTGATATGAAACTTAAGTTCGTAAGATTGTGCAAAGGCCTTGCCGCAATATTCACAAACACAAGGCTTTTCCTTCGTGTGGGTGCGGCGCACATGGCTGTCATGTGCTGCATGTGACGCAAATGCACGTTCGCAGTGCTTGCACTTGAACGGCTTTTCTCCGCTGTGTTGACGAATGTGTGTCCGGAGAATGGAGGAAGCGGTAAACGCTTTAACACAATGCGGACACTTGTAAGGTCTTTCTCCGCTGTGAACCCTCATGTGTTTATTGAGGCTGGATGACTGAGAGAAGCGTTTTCCACACTCTGTGCACTGATGGGGACGGTGCTTTTCGTGAACATGGAGGACGTGGATACGAAGCCGATCCCGTTTGTCAAAGGATCGATTACAGACAGTACACGGGAACTTACGATCGCCTTGATCAACGCATCGGGTGTATTTAAGGTGGCGGTCACGGTAATATTTGTAGGCAAACACTTTACCACAACGTTCACATGAATATTCAGTTGACGGATCTGATGAGCAATAAGGAAATAGATAAGGGTTATTTAGAAACATGATACAATTAACCCTGGTGATCTTAGTTACCATTGGTTCTAACATAATCATAAGATAAAGCGCAAAAAAAAAGAGAAATTGAGTGAATAGTCAGTATCCGCCACATCGCTGTTTAACGTACCTGTCAACTCCTTTTGTTTAATTTCATTCTTTGAGGCACCAATTTTGAGTCCGACGGGAATACCCATGGTCTGGAAATAGCAATCACCGTACCAAACCAGCAGCTCTTCACCCATCGAAATATTCCGACAACACTCGTAAAATATCTGGTCGCCATCTTGAACTAACACTAGGTTCTGCTCGCCATCATGTCTAGCACAGTTGACAAACTTCATCCAGTTTTCGCGTTCGTTTTTTCCATCAATATAATGGCTGAGTCCCCTGTCACTGAACACCTTGTGAAAATGTGACAAAAATTCAAGGTTTTGTGGTCATAAACAAAGGAATTCTTTCGTAATGCACGTTTTAGCGTGATACTTTGGTAAATCAAGGCATCTACTGTTCCCCTTGTCCTGTGGTTCATATGGACGTGACGTCATGACTTCTTACTTGGTCAACCAATTAAATGAGCGTTTAACATTCTTGTGAAGTAATTCGAAACTCGGTCATGCACGAGATAATTTGGTGTTATAATAATTTATAATAATTTGGTAGAGTTGATAATGAAAATTGGTCACCCAAAATAATTTCTGAATCTGAAGTTTCGAACGTTAGCCCTTCCTCAAAGCGAAATATCATTTATTGGCTTCGACGAACGCTTGAAACCTCATAACTTCACCAGGGAGCCCCTGGGGCTTTAAAAAGCGAAAATTACATTCCATGAATGATACGACAATAAAACAACCTTCTGAAAAACAAAACCTCACACGAACGGTAAAAATAGATATTTTGCAAACAAGGTCAGTTGATGGTATATGTTATGTTAACTCATCTACGAAGAGCAAGAGAAAATCAGAATCCCTGTGTTCTTTTAGTGTACTCTGTAACCTTTCATTCATTTCTCACCTCCCACATAAAAGCGGTATCACCACCATTGGCGGTATCTGACGGTTTAACTGCCGTTCCGTTGTAAGGACCATATCGTGTACCCTTGGTAATCGATGAGCAAGAACACAGTACGGCATGATGAATTCCTGACTTTATTTTTGCTCCAATGAGTTGAAGTCCCACAGGAATTTGGGTTGGAAGCTCAACTTTGAGTGGAACAGCTGTTCCGCATATGAAGCGGACTTCTGGACTATCTTCGGAATTATCTAGGGAATGGAAATGATACAGAATCAGCGAATATCACAAGAAACTTCTCTTCTTCACAGTCTGTATAGCATTATTGTAACGGGCGAGTTTTTTCTCATCAACTCAAGCAGTTAAAGGAAGATCTACTATTTTGTATAATATATACTAATATATATCGATAATAACCCCTGTGTCCACCCAGAAGGCGACCGCCGAGCGCGCGTGAGGACACTCGAGTGAAACAACCTCAAGTACGAGATAATCTACTTTAACGACCCACCATTGCTTTCTTTCTCCTTGAGCTGATCATGTGTCGCTGTCACAGAATAGTGTTAAAACACCACAAGTGAACAACATGGCTAACTGACCGACGCTTTAGTTCCTGGCAGGTTGTAAAAAAGTCAAAAACACGTAGAGAGCGGAGAGGTGCGGTCGTGCCTGAACGTCACATGATCACAGCCAATCAAGAGCAGGTTAAAAAAACATCAGCTGAGATCATCATCTTATAATTCTGATTCTTTCAGGTCTATTTTGTCCGTAATTATGTTATGGTGTTGATCGATCCATTTATTTCTTTATTCTTCTTTTTTTTTTCAGAAAAAAAAATGACATTATTTCTCACTTCAAACTTGGTTCATTTTATGATTATTCCTATTGTCATTGATTGATCATTAGTGTTGTCATCACTTGGGCTCATTATTGTTATCATTATCGTTAGTTATATTTTTCCGAAAAGAAAATTTACAACATTCTGCCAGGACGTCAACATCTATCAGAGTTACCATACAAAGGACACCACCTTTTCCAAAGGTTGCGTTTGGCGCTAGATCGGGCAAAAGTTAAAACAAGAGATTAATTTATAAATTATGCGCTGATTCTCCAGTTTGCTTGTTGTGTGATTCATTATGTTCGCGGGATTACCAAAGGATACGTATGCCTTAGTCTTAAAACGTGTTCCCCGTAAATCGTGGAATTGCAAGTTACCCTCGTCCGCGTACTCGTTTAATCGAAAGAATCGTTCAGTCGGAGGCCTCTATCCAGAATGTTCCTCTTGGTAAAATTGTTGTATTAAAAGTCTAATAGGAGAATAGGAAAGTGGAGAATCTTCGGAAGACTTTTACACGATGTTAGTACAATCAGAGCATGACTATAGTCGTGGAATAAAAGAGCTGCAGTATAAGAGAAGACCAGAAGCTGAAAAAGACGTATAAGTGCGCAATCGAAATTGTCAAGTGTCCACTCTGAAGATAAGAACCTTTAATTAAATCAGTACACTATATTAATATATTTAGCAGTGGTCCAATTTTTCTTTGCCCTTCTTTCCTTTGACCTATGACCTCTTAAGAGGAGGATGACTATCTGAATTTGTTCCCACTTCTTCAGATCAATTTCGGGTAAGTTTGATGTTAAACTCTTCTTATTCCGTAGCCAAAGTTCTTTAAACCTTTCTTTCTTCTTTTTAAGAAGCCGCTCAACCCATCATCACTGGAAAAAAACAAAGCGGCCCTAACAAAAAGCTGGATCCCTTAGGAACTTTCAGGAATCTGAAACATCATTACTATTCCAGATGCACAATTAATTACAATTGATAGAATTGTCCCAACCGAAATCACGTTCGCTCCAAAAAAAAAATGTTTTTTTTTACCTTGAAATAGAGCAGACGTTTTGAATCGGTCAGTTGTGTTGCGCAAAAACCAGAACCTTTCAGCATGCGTTAACAGTTAGACGTATAACGTGACTAGCGTAACCTTTCGTGATAAAGTTGAAAATCAGTTGGGTGCGCGCCCCCTATTTTTACAGCAAATCTTTTCCCTTTCAAACCTCGAATTCACTTCACATTATCCTATTTTGGCTTCTTAGCAACAATTCTGCTTACAGAGAATGTTGCTCCTAAAGCAAGCAGAGAGCTGCTTTCTAATGTTTCCCAGGAGAGTGGAAGTACGTAAAAAATTTTCATTATAAAGTCTACAAATACAATGGCTCGTTACGGTGCTTTGCATCTTTCTGTTTTTGATGTTTGGTCTTGATTAACTATTGTAGGTCACCGGGCAAAACGAAGCTCGTGGTAATAATTACAACATAAAAAAACAAAAGAAAATCAACACAGTTAATGACAAAGCATACAACATGTTTCCTAACTAAAGGTAGAGTTTCCTAACAATAGTTTTTCTAAGAAGAGCAGTAATCCCAGCTTAACCACTGAACATAAACAAAATCATAGTGGAAAATAATCTTGAAAGGCGAACTAAATCAAATATTACCTCTTGAGTGACGGTTGACTTTCATGGTTTCATCTTTGGAGGTAAAGTAGCCGAAAAGCGACACATTCAAATCTTTCGAAGTAAATTCCCAGGTGACTGAAATGTTGTTTTCGTTCAACCCAAACTTCTCCTGGCCCTTGTGATCTCCTCTATGCATCTCAACCTGAAATTGCCTGAAAAATTGAATATGGAAAGGAAAATTGTTATCTAATGTAAATATTTCTTGGTATGTTACCAAGGGTTCAGAGAGTGTCGTGTAACACTTTACTCTTTGTCATCAACAACTCGCAAATAAAAGGCCGGTAATTTGCATCCCTGGTTATTACATTAGACTCGCTCTAAAACAACGCGCACAGAATTATAAACTCAGCAGTAGACACACCGGGGCCTAACGTTAAAACTTTCAATCGAAATGATCTCTCGAGCCATAATAGACAATTCATTTAAGATTAAATTTTGAAAGCAGTGGGTCAGTAAGTCTCACCATACTAATATATCACGCTCAGATTTAGTTATTCCAAGCTTCGAAAAACTTTTTGCATTTGCTCCCATCAAATGGATAGTAATATCTGCAGGGCTCTTCAAACTGTTTCTGATATTTACACTGTTTTAAAGGCCCAGGATTCAACTGGACGAATTGCAAGCCTCATTCCCGAAAAAGGCACTCTCTGGTTGTGAGTGGCACGCTTGAATTTATTCCTTCGTTATTACAGCTTATTTTTAAACAACATTTTAGTTTCATTTGTACTAGGTTAGCATTGAGAAGAAACTAAGTTCTAATACATGCGATAAAAATTTCATTGGGAGATTGGTCGATGTTAACTAGAACTTACCTTGAAACGGTTGTTAGCTCCAACTGCTGTCTCTAACCACTTATGACCTTCCTGGCCCTGCTGACCAACACTGTACACGCGCCAATATTTATAGGCACATGAGCATGCGCACTAGCTTGAGCCGACTGCTCCAGGTAACAGTTCAAATTAGTTTTTCGTCTTTAAAATTCGTACCAAATTTACATGTGAACTAGTCTGAGCTAATGGTACAATAAAATTGCTTTGAATCTTCGTAATAACTCTGAGTGAAATCAAGAATTGCCGCGATTTAGAGAAAACTCATCGCATATTTCAAACGGACTCCAGATGTCTTTGCCCACGGATTTGATGCTTTCAAATTCAACGATTGATTGTGTGACAACGAATACCAACAAAGTAAGCAACAATCTTCCATTTAAAGAAGGATCAATGATCCTTTACAAGTGAATCCAAAATTGCGTTGCGTCAGGGATATAAATTGTTGCCAATCGTATGTTATCATGTCACCGCTCTTTATACTGGCGGCTATTACAATGCTGATTGTTTTTATTGTATTCAAGAATTGTGTGATATCCTCTAATGATGTGGCCGATTTCGCATGCCATAAGGATCTTGTAAGTTGCTGGTCACTATCCCACTAGAAGACCTTATCTTGCTCTGTTACCAGTATGTAAACGTGTCGCAAATTTTGTGTGGCATGGAACTCCACCTTCAATTAACCATCATTAGTCTTCAATTCGCTACAATTTGCGCATTTCAAACCTAAATAACTGAAGTCTGCCTACCAGTCAAAATGGATCAAACCAATGAGATATTAATTGTTGATCCATCACCCAACTCCCTTCGACTTATTTTTTTCTCTCCTGTGGAAATTAAGGGAAGCCTTAAAAGCAATAACAATAACGAAACAACTTGGTATGACCACAGATTTACGCATAAAATAAGCCATTAAAATTTATAGTCTGCCAGCAGATCCTCCATTTTCCCTGGAGTCGTAATAAGAAAAAGCGAGCGAGCAAAGGGTCGTTGCGGATTTAACGACAATAAAGCGACGTAGTTGCATTTCAATCAAGAGGTAGCATCAAAGGGCAAAACTGACTCTCAAATCCCAATAAAAGAGAAAAGTCTGACAAAATATTAGTTGCATAGTTCTTAATATCAGCTTTCCTTGGGAATCGTATCACATTTGTACCGTCAATTATATCTATTCTTCCACGCACGTGATAAAAACAGAAAATGTTTTCATCACGAGCGTGGAGGGGTAGAGGGTATTGTAGGCAACGTAACTTAAGTTATCACCGTAATACGTTTTGGGAATATATATTGAAAAAAAGAATAAAAAAAAAGGAAAAAAAAGGAATAAAACCAACTGGTCTACCTTAATGCCATACTCGATCAGAAATGTTTGCTTCAGCAATTGACTACAAAAGCCTCACACAACTGCTTAATACTGCTCTGGAGCAGAGCAAGCTTTGGCGCGATTCTTATAGCCAAACTATTAACTTTTTTAACACAAATAACGTGATTATTATTAAGAGAAATTAATGTCTCATTTTTTTCTTTTGTGATCATTACACTGTCCAGGAAAATGAAATCGGGAGTAAATATCAAGATAGGGATATCCAACAGAGTTGTCAGTGGTGCAAGTCTCCCTTTAAAACAGACTGTACCACCACAGATATGGTGACATGTTGCAGTGTTATTAAAAGTACAATTTTTTTTAGTAAATTCTGTGCTATTCGTGGTTTATTGTTACTAATAGTGACATTTATACGAGGGACCAATTACAAAAAGCTTTTCATGGTTTGGAATAAACCAGTTTAGTCGCGAATAATTTAAACAGTGGGACTAACTGACCCACTTCTCTCAATGTTTCGTCTTGACACAAATTTCCATCATTTCTGAGATATATTTCCCTTAAATATTCTTTTACGTCAAGCCTCGACACGTCTACCATAGGATTTTTAACTCTGTAAGCGTAGTTAGCGAGGCCGATGTTCTAAACAACGATGAAACGAAACTACTGGCCTTTTGTTCGCGATTGCCGTTAAATTGGAAGATTCAGAATAAAAAAGAAAGGTTGTAAAGGTGTTCTGCCACCAGGATGATTCAGAGAAGATGCGAAAGGAGGCACAAGATACGTAACCAAGTCCGCACAAGTTGATCCTTAATTCAAATGAAACACAACTACAGTATTTTTCCAATAAACAAGTTCTAAACAGACAATCAAGTTTTACTCACTTTTTTTTTTTTAGATTTCGACAAATGAAGAATCATTTCAAAGATGAAAACAAAGAATATTACACGGAAAAACTGAGTAAATAAAAATAAATACAAGAGCAAGTGTCCGCATTTCTGGGATGAATGCTTGTTTGGTTTGCTTCAGGTTTCACAGTACTTATGTTGTAGGTTAAACAGAATAATTGATCATATCATGCAGTTCAAAAGGCTTCTGCATCGTCTGGGGCATCCAAGTCTTTATACTGAATAATCTGTCTGGGGTCACGATGGAAACCGCCCCTGTTATAAAATGAAAAAAAAATGGTTTTTCGTGTAAAGTGAAAACAGTCCATGTAATGTTTACTGCTTCACTCCGCACGAAAATAGGACGTAAAGAACAGCTTTCGCCCATCGTGAATAAAGTGCGTGACTCATATACCCACAAACGTAAACCAAACAGTTATCACCGAAATTTCTCAACAAATAATAAAACACGATATTTCTTACAGAGCTATTAAAATTTAATTAAGAGAAGCAGAAAAAACCTAACGAGGCGTGTTCAGGTTTTGCATCATATCTTGGTATTTTGTGATCAGGAAAGTAGAGGAATCCACACTCTAACTGCATCTCTCTATAATCTGCTGATCATTTCCAGAACCAAGTGCAAAGTAGAAAGCCTTATGACCTACCATTAATCGGGGACAGGTTAATTTTTGAGTAAAGAGCAGGCTGCTTAATTAGAAAAAAGATACGCAACGTGAAAATTTCCTGAACTAACCTTTCGCTTACTCTATTTCTTCCTCCGCCAAACCCAAATCTACAAAATATGAAAGAAAAACACATTGAACTAGCGTTGTTCATTCAATCACTGATTTGCCGTTTTTGTCTCCTTTCAACAACAGATATGGCGTTCTAACCTGCGTGGCTTGGGGGGAAACGTATGTCCTCTGCCGCCATACATTTCATGACCGTAGCCTCCGTATGCTGGGGGAGTATAAGGTCCGCGAGGGCCTACAACACGTCAAACATTCAATTAGCACAGTCGCTTCTCACCATCCACAGTAATCTCCATCAAAGGCGCTGTTTGCCGAACTTAACAGCACCCCTATTTAGGGGAGAGTAGCTAGAATGAAAGCCAAAATGGTCTTTAAGGCGCTGAATGGTATGCTGCCATGCTATCTCTCTGAAAAGTTTCCAAGATTCAGCACTCTTCACTCGAGGAACGCACGAAATGATTGCGGAGACTTAATTCTACCTCGTGTAAAACACTCATATGGACAGCACTTGTTTGCTTTTAGTGCGGCTAGACTTTGGAACAGCCTACCTGATGAAAAAAAAAGGACTGCTTTTCCTTGAGCTCATTTATCAACGAAATTAGGAAAACAACTAACTAGGTTATTTTTGCATCTATTGGAGAATGACTTTGCAGTCATCGATATGTGGAACAATTATATTATTTACATGGCAATTTTGTTCGTTTTGAATTTTTTTTAATGTTTTTGTTTTCCGCGAGGGCCAAATGTCGATTACCTTGTAATATTTTGCGGCACCCTCAATAAAGAAACAATATGATTAGTATAACCTATACTCCACTGTTTTTCCCTTTAAAGTACCTATTTACAAAGTTTTTTTAATTCCTTTCCTAGAGAGTACTAGTTAATTCTCTCTTCTGATTCAAATTACATAATAAAAATAAGACCTAATAATGTCAAAGGATCTTTGAATCAATCGCCTTCTGAGCCAGTTCATGTACATTCTGCACAACACAGCAACAACCTCACAAGCTCAGAAAGGCCAAATATAGTTCTCTTATTTCCTTTGATAGGGACAAAATGCTCATCGTGAGAACAGCTTTTCTTTATTCTCTGATTTCAGGAAATTTATTTCCTCTCAAAATAACAAGCAACAATTACCGTTCCAACTGTAACAAAAAATAGCAAAGTTACAATGGAATGGTACCTGTGAATTTCAATCGGAAAGTATTACCCAAACACTGAAATCAATAGAATATCCTCAAGAAAACAACAAGAATATTGCAAAGACTAGAAAATATTTTAGTATAAACGAGGTTTGGGTGGATTTCAGTAATGGAGTCATCATGCATAAGGGCTATTTGGCAGCTTTTGGGGAATACCCGTGGGAATTTTAACTCCTCATGTTTGTGACTTACCATACATCACCATTTGAGGCCTGGGACCCCATCCCATCATGGTTTGCGCGGGCTGATGTCCATACATTTGGCCCACGTGGTTTCCAGGTGGACGTTGAGGTGTGGGAAATTCCGGTATTTGTGGCCGTCTGGGATCTGATAAGTAATTGTTAAAAAACTCGGCCTACCAAAAAGAAGAAAAACAAAAAAAACATGCTTCACCTTCACTGGACGTCAACAAATGGATACCTATACCATATTCGATAGTTAACCTATCACATGAGCGGATATTTATCGAGTTGCGTTGTATTTTCCCGAACCCGTAGTGGCGTGAAAAAATGCGGGCAACGAGCAAAATGTCCGCTCATCGAATAAGGGATTTATTATTCCGCTAATTTCTAATGTTTTGACTTCTAGTTTTCAAATACATCCCACACCCTCATAAGAACTTCTCATCGATTCCATAAGGCGAGCGCGAAAGACGAAAACAACACCAACGAAACCATTAAAGTGTTAAAATCTGTAACGCTTCAAAGTTCTTTGTTAAAGGAGTGAAACCTAAACAAGGGGGAAAACACAAAATTTAGACAACATAGTGTTCATTAAAAAGGAACCTAGGACGTGTCTGCCTCACCTCCATCTTGACAGCTTCTACTTTATCCATGTGTTTGTTAAAGATGTGCTTTCGAACAAAGTCAGGACCTCGGAATTTTTTCCCACTCAGTGGGCAGAGCCACTTATCTTTCGCAAGTTCCTGAGTGTTTGCTTCAACAAACTTCTCTATTTCAGTAGTCATTGTTAAGAAATAGTAACATATTGTATATTGGTACTTTCAAACTTGCTTGGCTTTGGATGACCAAGCGGCACCAAACAAATAAAGTAACTTTGAGATCGAACAGGCGTTCCAGTGAATTTAGCCTAGTTCCATGGTATATCCTTGGAACTGGGAATAGGCGAATTGATCAGCCCTGGCCTGCTGATCATTCGTTTTAAATAACGACTATCAGTTTCTGTGCTATTTCAATACTTCTCGATAAAAAAAGAAAAACAAACGTTTCCTTTCATTTTGCAACACTAATAAACAACAACAACAACAACAAAAATAACCATTACAAGAGGAAAAAAAAAACGTTTTCAAAGTATGTAAATTTCAGGTACCGAGTTGATGCCCAGCACAACACACATACTAGTGTATGGGATTCATGATTCAATGTACGCTCGAATTTCACGCAAAGGAGTATTATGAATTCAATTTTCCCGTAATTCAAATTTAATTCGACAAAGAATCACACATTGTTCGAGCGAGAGAAGTACATCAGGGAAAATGAACAACTCACATATGCTGTTCAAATAATTCAAGGATATGCTTCAGGGTCTTTCTTTCCAAGCTGAGCAACCTCTTCATCCTTGAGCGATTCTTTCTCTTGTAGAAATGGTTCAAGCTTCTGATTTATTCCAGTTTGCCATTCTTGGACTGACACAAAACACAAAGTAGCTCTATCAATACATTTTTAAAATCCCTTTTGTATCTTACTAGTTGTCGACTCCTTGATTGTGAGAGTTTTCACTTCGGTACTTCAACTATTTTGTTTAGAACACCGATTACTCAGCGAGGTAAAGGTAAGGACAGAAAAGTTATCGGTGATTTATCAATAATATACCCTGAAAGATTTGGGCTTACACAATTCTCACAGTTCTCAAGTATTATCTCTCACACCAACTCTATCATAAGTAGTAGTTAGGTTTCAAAATTTTTTCTAACCCTAACTTCTAGTTATTTGGAAAAGTAGGAAGTACGTTAGATCTAGATTGAAACCCCCAGCCCAACGAAAAGAGAAACTATCGTAAAAAAAACTAACTCAGAAAGAGATGAATCTTTACCAAGAGACAGTTTACCGAAGGAATGCGTCAAATCTTAATGTCACGGTATTCTGGTCAACGAAGGGGTAAGTTTCTAAAGAAACTGTGCTGCTGCGTTGGTTGGGGCGGGGATGGGTATAACAAGATAATCTGCTTTTATCAACTGAGTTTATAACCTACATTGGCCTCCGTAAAGAGTTTTTAAAGCTGATGTTTCGAGCGTATGCCCCTCGTCAGAGCGAATAGAGGAATTAATAACTAACCTTTGAAACGTCCGGTTTATAAACTCTTAGCGGTGGTTAATTCACATTATCAACTCAGTTGACAAAACCAACTCTATTGATATCCCAGTCACCCTCAGTTTTACTTTCAAAAGGGAATTTACATGTAAAACGAAAAGAAAATAGGTGAAAACAGTTTGTATGTTTGTACCTTCAGACAGAGTACACTTGTCAGGCGTGGCACCACGCACATGAATGATACCACATCTATTGGGCATTTCATCTTCGTAAGGGTAGTCTGTGCCATTGTAGTAATCCACTGAATGCACCACCCTTAAATACAGAATCAAACGATCCAACACACGCATAAGACTGCTGTCACACGATAAATCAACCTCGGGTTTCTCCTCAGTGTCCCCCTGAGAAGTTGAGGCTGTTCGCATAAGCTCCATTTCCTCGCCTTCTTCTTCCTCGGCGGCATCTTGCGACAGAGAAGAGAGAATCGGGTTTTCATTCGGGAGGTCCGGTATTTCACATTCATCAGCAGGTTTAGCTTCGCACTCTTCACCCTCCTCCGTTTTCTGTGCAGCAAAAAAGAGTAATGAAAATGAGATGTGAGAATCCCTGAACACTTCTCAAGACCTTCCCATGAAGAATAAAGCATGAATTGAACGGTTGGACAGAGGAAATAATCCTCAAAGTATTTCAGATCAAACCGCGGTTCAAACTCCGCTGCTAACAACCACAATACCGGCAAACCATCTTAAACATAATCACACTTTGTATGACCTAGAGATCTCTTCCTTCAAGTCTCACGGTTTCCCGTTAAAAGAACATGAAAGCTTACTCGCAGTTAGGACTCGGTGATTTAAGAACAGGCTAACGAAATTGGAAATATCGTAACCCACACTAGTACACTCCTTGGGTTAGAGAGCAGATAAGCCATCGATTAAAAACGTCTCTAAATAACAACAGAGAGACAGCAGAACAAAAATTTCCGAGGCATACCCTGAGCCTGCAATAGAAAAGCGGTCAAACTTCACCGAAATACTTCCTATAGCAATGTAGTGCCTGACCAGGAATACAGTTTTACCAGTTGAGACGACATCACCAAGATATTGGTTATGGCGAATGAGTATCGTCACATAAACCACCCAACGTTAGGCAACAATGACTCATTTCAGAGGAAAAAAAAGAACAGTTTCTTCGTCGAGTTTTACAAAAATGAAACAAATTCTGACTCTTTTTTATAATAGCTTTAGGATGCCTTACGATACCAGCCTAATAGAAATTTGGGTCACCTACTTAAGGGCCCTTCTTCGGTATTACAAGCCAAAAATTATGGGTATCATTAATTAAAAAAAGGAGAAGGGTATAACCACGCACAATGTCTGTGTAAACTGTTGCAATGTTTGTTTTTGGCTAAAATGTTCTTGCATTTTCGTAACACAGCCAGCATTACAAGTACATGTTCTGACTATGTGTTGCAAAGCAAAATTCAGTGTTGCACAGGATCAAATTTATTAACCAAGACAATGGAAAAGATGCGCCATGCTCGGTGCCGACTGTGCAAATATAAAGAATCTCCAAGAATGCCAAAAGATTTAATAAATCAAGAAGGCTGTAGATAGCTTTTACCTCAGCTGCTTCTTTCTCGGCCTTTTCCCTCGCTTCAGTCTCTTCCTTGGTCTCCTTCTCATATAAAGCAGCTCTCTTATCAAACTCTCTGATGAGCCTCGCCGCTAACTTGATGTCATGCCGAATGGCTTGTTTAGCCAAAGCAGCACTGGCCACCGGTCGAACTCGCCGGGAAAGATCCCTATTCACAACTGGACTCAACTCCACATCTTTTACCTTCAGGAAAGAAAGGTGTTGGTATGGTTTGTCACTTGTCGCGGGAAGGCTTGGTAAACGGTATGTCCATAGGACCATAGGAGTAAATTACAAACATTCTCTGTTGTATTGTTGTCGTTTTGTAGCTGGGTACAATAATCACAGTTTACTCTTCATGAACAATTACAGATAATGAAGAAGATTAACAGAGGGTCATCCTAACAGAGCCAAAGGCACTCTACCCAGAATAAAAGCAATTCTCTGCCACTTTCACTTCCATGTATAAAACTTTGGGAGTTCAAAGATTAGATCAAAAGGTGACAATAAGTGGAATGTAGCAGCTATTTTCCTAAGTTTATGACGTAAATTAATAGTCGTTCAGTAAAATTGTTTGAGGGATGTTCTTTTTTTTTTTTTTTTACTTGTGCCTTGATGGAGAAGCACAAAAAAGTATAAAATCTTAAAGAGGATCATTTGCCTCTTCTACTGTTGTTAGAGAAAAACAAAACTGTAACAAAGCAATGCAACCCTTCATCGTTGCCGACTTCGAAGTCTTAAGTAATAGATTGGCCGGAACTTGGTTTCTTTAAGAATGACTAATCAGAGGATATATTACAGATGTGCAAGATCGATTAGTTGAGTAACAGCGTTAACATAGTGAGGGTTGTCCTTACCCTTATGTTATTCAAGTCCCAACAAATTTCTTTTATGTTTACACTCCTGTCAAAAGTGATCCATCCTCGTCTAACAAATCTTCATAAGAAAACACACAGGTCAGGTTATTACATTGGATTTCTATGAATAAACACAGCTTATAATTAAAGTTTTCCTTCTATCACTCTTAAATCCCCCCATCCTTATCTATGTGGTATATCCAGGTAATGTTAAGAGAACCTCTAACAACAGTCAAAGAGACTTTTAGTAGCTAGGCCATTTGGCCCATGATAGATCCAATATTCAAAATATTACTACCTGACATTAAAAAAATAAAAAAAAAATAAAAAAATCTTCTTCCCCCTTCTTTTTCAATGCTGCTCTTTCCTTTTCATTCTGAGGAAAAATAACACTTTGAAAGAGAGACAGGGTGCGGGTACGATTTGGGTGTATTTACCGAGGCAGTTTTTTTCTGCAGTTCTAGGTTCGTGAGACAATCGTACTGCAAACTACATGGATTTGAATGTTCCAATTTGGAAGAAATAGGCCCGCTGTTAATAAGAAAGAAACACAAGAAAGAAAACACTGTTTAAGTGGAAGAAAACCTCAATGCCCCACGCACGAGTTGAACGTTTGACTTTCCAACTTGCAGTTTAGGAGCTCAACCACTGAACTATTCGAGACTTAATATAGCTTGGCCAAGATATTGATCTTTCCATCAAAACATCTTTGTTGATTTGAAGGGAAAAAGGGCAGAGGAGGAAGGGTGTGAAGTGAAACAAACATCGACTCATTTATATCATTGAGATAGCAAAATGTTTGTCTCTAAATTACACCTTGTAGATGGTACCAGCTAGAAGTACAATTGGATGAAAAACATAACTCTTTTAGTGTTTCAGTGACGTAACATGAACTACTCAGCTTGATTTCCAAGGACATGTACTCACTTTCTTTCAGGACTGGGGTCTGACAGGGCAACCCGAAGAAATCCAGCGAATCTTTTACAAATCTAAAAACACAATAACCTTTTATGTGAGTGTTGAAGTTGAGATTCATAGATATATAACAATGTATATAATAATGTTATTTTGTCATGTTATAAGCTTTCCTTCACAAAAAAGCCAAACAAACCAAATCAAAGCAAACTTACTGCAGAAATGTCAGCTTTAGAAATGTTTGGTGGTACACTTCTCATAAACAGTGAAAATGTTTTATGCAATGCACGGGGTTCTGCTGTCACACAGACTTGCTTCCCATCAGAACCATTTGCCTCATCCTTTTCCTCTCCCTCTTCTGTTGTATCTTTTTCTTTTTCTTCTATCATTTTTTCTTTATTTTCTTTTGGGATGTCCTTGACAGGACTTGTTTCTTCAACAATTTCCTTTTTTTCTGAAACTTTGTTGGAATCCTCTTTAGTTTCCCCTCCTTCCATGGCTTCAGCTTTTTGGAGAACCTAAAAAGTTTTTTCATTGAATAAATAGACTGCTATCTTCTTTACCATAAATAGCATGTTTTGTTCATTTGTGCCAGTTTGCTTTCAATTTCTATAAAGCGAACACCACAGAGTCTGTCTCTAATGATGTCTTTTGGAGGCAGAGTTAACAGAGAGCACAATCTAAGCATATCACCGATGTATCAGAGTCTGAAATCAAAACAATCAGAACACAGATGAAGCCACAAATCCAGAGTTGGCAACCAGAACCTTGGAATTCATTACTAGCAGTAAACTCAACTTTGATTATCATGTAAACAGATGTGTTAATGATGCTAATTTCTGTGGTGCTTTGTTTATCCGGTGCTACATTTGATTCAGCACCATGTGGGACCCCCTTGTGGCTGGTTAACAAAACTGTAATTGGAGGTAGAGCCTAAAATTAACCACTCTGACCACATGTTAAGGTGACTAAACCTTTGATTGGTTTTCAGTACACTCCTTTTGCGAAAAAAGGTTAATCTTAGCCCTTGAGCATGAGACACAGTGTAGTTAATGTTGTTCTTGAAGCACAACATTTGCATACAAATCAATGTTCACCTGTTCACTTGCAGGTTTGGTCAGTTCAGATGGCAAGGAAGATGCACTTGATGGCTCTGCCTCCATGGACACTACTTTACCCTGGGCCTCACTACTGCTTGATTCTGGGAAAATTTCACTGTTGTCTTCTTTTTGCATTGTACTGGTGCCATTATCAGTGCTACCAACTTGGTATGCATCCTTTTCTGGAACAGATGAGCTACTCTCTGCCTGCTCTGCGCTGCTTGTTTCAACCTCATATTCCTGGTTTCTTTCTTTTCCTTGTAGTCCTTGAGTTGAATCTGCAGGTGTACCATCTATTAAGGATAATTTTTCAAAGCAGTGAGATATCATGTAATTGGCATTAACATGATCGCAATTTAATCGAAATGAAAACAAACCTTTACCATTTCTGCAATATTTTTACATTGCACATTTATATGACACTGTGCTAACTTTTATTCTTTGAAACAGGCATTCATTCTTTCATAAAAACTACTATAACCATAGTACTGATCTGCATTCAGAAAAAAATGGAGCTAAAAGATATTAACTGTTGCTTGTGCTATTATCAACTATTTCATTTTCCTGCTAAGTCTTGTTTATATTCTTGTTTATGTGCTATGGAAAATAGAATTGCTTTCCTCTACACAGAACAATTTTTAATCACCTGACAGTTCTGTTTCTCCACTGGTTTCAACTATAGCATGGGATGACCCACCCTCAGTTATAGCACCATTACTACTGGTGCTTGTCTCTGGCTGACTGGAACCCACAGAAGGCTCACATGAATCTTCAAAAGACATTGAAATTCATGAACAATCAATTTCATGCCCAAAAAAATTGTATTGCCTCTTTGAGACAGCATGCATTATCAATACTATTTCTCAGCAAGTAACTTACTTTTAATGAAAGGAGAAATCAATCTAACTCACACAACACAAGATCTTTCATCTTAGAACTCACTCACTACAAATACAGCTACTGTACTTGGAATTAAACTGTCAAACACAAGACAGCACTTGAGCCGAGTGGCCCATCCAGTTCAAAATCTTCCAGGTTTCCTTGACATAAAGAGACCATTGAAGGGTCACCCCCACAGCAAGTTATCAGGCTTCTGTGAAAACTTGCAGGTAGCCATTTATATTTCCAAATGGAGAGAGGCACTGTGAGAGTACAGTGTTTTGTCCAAGGACACAACACATTGACCCAGGCAGGTATTGAATCCAGGCCTCTCTACCCAGAGTGCAGTACACAAACCATTGGGCAAAAGCTTCTCACAGGGTTCTCCTTTTCAGCCACTGACCAACAATATTTGCTGCCCATGAACCACACTGTTGCCAACAATTATCAATTAGCAAATAATCTTTGCTATCAAGAACATTTTATGTAACAAATAAATTCAAAGTACACAGCCAAATGACACTCATGAAAAAGAAAAGCGAATAAAGCTTCTTTCTCCTTAAAAGTTTGCCAAGTGTTCATTGACTTGTGTTGTTGAAGGCAGAAGTTGAAAATAGCAAATATGCCCAGCAAAGCAGGTGGGAATTTTTTTGTGTGCCATGGCCATGATGACTATTAAGTATCACTGGGCACAAAGAAGATGCTGATGATGATGATGACCCCCATTTAGCCCATAGAAAGTTGCAACATAGGCACTACAAATGGCTGCTGTGGCCAATTTGTCTCAACCTGTGTAACTTTTGTCACTGCCAACTAACTTCAATTGAAAAGGAAAACCCTGGTCTTGTACACACTGTTAAACAAATACGGGAAAAATGAAAAATGCAGAAGAAAACAGACATTAATATATATTAAAATTGTTCTCACAGAATTGAATGGGAGGAGAAGTGTCAAGATGTAGCCCCAACTGAGAGTTTATCAAATATTCATTTGTTTGGTTTGATTCAAATTAATTCACCTGGTTTATCATCAGTCGATGTCTGCAGTTTAGCATTTGATGAGCTGGTAGGAAGTTGAACAATGTTTTCAACCTGGCTTGCCTTGCTAGGGTCATCTACCACTAGAATGCAAGTGACAACCAATTAACAGTTTTTATGATATAAAACACCAATAAAATACCAAGTGAGCTTTCATGAGAAAAAATTATGACATATTCTATTCGCATGTGAAAAGATCACCGTCACTATGGTTACAAATAATTGCACCTTTTGAAATGATTTAGTATTTAATTGTTGTTTATATAATAAATACAATATCACATCACAGCTTGGAGATACAAAATTTCTCTTTTCATGTGGAAAAATATTTCACTCTTTTGCTTCCCAAAAAAAGATATTTCACATAAGCCCTTCACTCACTGACTCATGAATTATTCCTCAACACAGAGAGAAATTTCATATCTCTACATGGCCAAGTAATATCCTCTATATCTCATCCTTAACTAAATGTATGTTAGACTAGATGCAGCACATGAAATTCCAGTTATATGGCTACATCAGATGCCAAATACTATGTGCAATGTTCAGAATGATTCTGGTTTTCACTGTGGTATGTGCATATTTGATTTCAACTTAAACATAGCCTTTTGATTAAGATGACTTTAAATTGAATGTGTTTGATTCTATGTCCTGGTACAACTCACCAGGTTGCTGCAAGTTTTCTTGTACACTTTCTGGCCCAGCATCTACCCCTGGAGGCAACAATTCATCCTCTTTTCCAGTATCCATTGGTGACATTTCTTCCCCAGGGGGAGCTGGCTCAGGCTCAGAGTCAGATTCAGACTCACTTTCGCTCTCATCATCATCCATGGCATCATAATAATAAGGTTCACGATGGCGTCTCTTCCGTTTCTTTTTTGGCTCATCTTCCTATGGGCAAAAATTCAAACATTTCCCTTACTTGTCAATTTAACAAAGCTGTTGTGGAAAGAATCGACACATTTCCTATGCTATCTTGAGATAAGAAATATCAGCTAATAGTCAGCAGAGTGAACAAAAAAGTTGAACACCTGCTGGAATGTAAAAGTTCTTCATAATGACCATCAACTTAATGAGATGAAGATGTTTTACTATTTTGTAGACGAAATAATGTCATATGGAATTAATTGTTAAAAATATATTCAGACTAAGTCCATCCAGCATCATCAATCCAGCCATTCACAATACACCTCTTAAAGAAGAGGAAAACAACAGACTTTGCACAGTACTCACTTGATGTGTAGGCACATGCAAACAGTGGAAGTTGACAACCTTATTTCTATTTGTTATAAATCATTTGGCAGATCTACTTGAGTATAGGTGGATACATGGCTAAACTTTGTGTAATGAACAAAGAGCCATATTTTCCAAGTTAGGAACCACTGTACTCTACTTTTGTTCACCTATATTCATAAAATTGCATGAATATGGCTGCTATTACTCACTACTGTCATACATCAAGTCACTTTTGGTCCAACAATAAGGAATAAGTGCTAAGTTTGTTTCCAAATTGGTTTTGCAATAGATCCAGTTGTAATAAATTTGATTCCTTACTTGTTTCAAATTAAGGAAAAATAACGTTACAATTTCAGAACGCCGAATCTTCTTGATCTTGTCAATTCCTTTCTACATCTGTGTTATTTTTAGCTACCTAATGTTATATCCTTTCAGTGTCTTTCATCAAATTCACATTATAAGCAAGCTTGTGCCAAAATTCATAAATTTAATTTGACATGTAACAATTATAATGATGACTATGACTGTTCTCCTCATGTATCTTCCTAAGATATGCATGCTCTAATCAAGTGGTAAGAAATAGTTAGGGGTTGTACCATACACAACAGTTGGCCTGGTGTTTTAAGTCTTCACTTTAACAAAGAATGCTACTAATAACTGTGCCTGTGTGGGGTGAAGAGGTAAATTCAAAGATACCCAATGAAAGTGTTGGTCAGCCACGCAACTCAGAAAATATATTATGAAAGAGTGATGAGGTGGGTAACTGAGCCAAGTCTGTTTGAATCAATTGGTCCCTAGGTGCAGTGCTGGGAAATTACTTTTTCTCTTAATTAACATGTACAGTCTTGTTAATGTACACAGTATTTTGTGGTCTTTCTGGTACTGTAGAGCAAAATGGGGAGTTGAGACACAAACTCAACACTGTGACTTGCTTCAGTTGTTTACAATCTGATGTGAAAGAAGAACTGTGGGAACAATTTCAACATTTGTGTTCATAAAAAATGCTTTCTGAGTTATATCATTCCAAGGCAGAAAACTGATAGAGGTTTGTTATAAGATGTAAGCAGGAAAAAACCCCTATATGGGTACAATAATCAAGGTAGAGTGAAACTATCATTGACTGACTGCGAGTCAAAACATGACATAAGAAGACAAAGAAAGATTTGGATCACAGCTTCTACATTGTACATTTGAATAATTTTCTAAAATGTGTAGTGCTGTGTGCAGCTGCCCACTTTTGAAGTTCCATTGAACTGGTTCATCAGTGAGAGCTTAAAGTTATAAAAATAAACACACAAAATAAAAATCTAACAGGGACTAGTGGAAGGAGTAAATGAAGGAGTGACATTCAAAGTCCTGCCAAACTCAGAAAATTGTCATTTCCTGAGTAAAAAAAATGGAAATTCCTGAGTTGTAAACACAGGAGGTCTGATGTGAAATTTCCTCTGTTTCAGTTGTACACATATTTTCTGCAACAACGTATTACCAAATTATCATTATCAAATACAGTAATTGTAACCTTCATTGTAATCATCACCACTATCATCATTGTCATGTATCAATCATAGCAAGGAAATTTTTGACAGCAAGGAGCCTTTGAATTCTAGGATTTGTCATCCAATTCTTTGTTTTGATGATTGCTGAAAAACTTCAGTTATTTGTGCCTTTCTTTATAGCCTTCTCACTCTTCCTCCTCCTTTCCTTCATATAATCTCTTAAGGGGTTATTTAGTAAGATTCTAAGATCACGTTTGAGTTCAGCTAAGTTGCACAATGTTCACAGACAGTATACCAAACTCAATTCACCTTTTTAGAGCCTTTCTGTTGTGCAGGTGGATCTTTATCTGGTTGGGATGTCTGTGGCAATTCTTGCTGTTGTCCCTGTGGATATTGCTTTGAATATTGTTCTTGCTGTTGTTGAGGATCATAATTGCTATAATACTAAAAGATTCCAGATATGTAACTATTTCAGTAGGATGGCCTACTCCCTGTGGTTCAGTTTATCCAATTTCATCACTTTTTGTTTCAAAACCATTAAAAACAGTACCACACCCAAAACAAAGGGGAAATACAGAAACAAAATTTAAATAAAAACCCCATGATGATAATTGGAGTAACTACCAAGTGACTGTAAGTGCCTTAAACAAACTTATGACATGGCCTGTAAATTAATCATTTCGAAGTATTTGTTCCTTTCCATCACAAAATGTCTTCCTAAGCCAAATCAGTTGGCAAGTCCTCCAAAAAATTAAACATCTTATTTGATGAGCCTAAAGCATCAACTTATAATTAAACTAATGTTTGTATCCCATAAAATGATGTGGTTTTTTTGGTTTTAAGCCAACCAATTAGGGTATCATAGTTGCATTGTAATGAATAACGAGTGAGAGTAAATAAAAGACACACCACAGCATGTCAGGATTTCTCTCCTTTGGCCTGAACACCAAACAATAGCACATACACAAGATTTAGAATTCACTTATCTCAAGAGGGAGTGAGACAACGGAAACATTTGATTCCTGAGAGAAATTGAGTGAATTGTCTTCCATTCTTTACTCAAAAGAAACTCGTGTCACGTGTCTACATTATTAGTTCTTGAAGCTAGCAAATATCAATTATAGCAAAATGGTCATGGCCCATCACTTCCAATCATGTTCTATTGAAACAATGCAATAAACAGTACATGCTTTTTTCTTTTGTGTCCAATGCCTATAAAAAATCATCTAGACAGAGTTCAAAATGTATCCTTTAATGCCCCTGATAGATACTTAGCTGTACAGTGTACCTGTTGCTGATAATAGAGCTGTTGCTGATGGTAGTACTGCTGAGCCTGATGCTGAAGCTGTTGTTGCTCCAGAGTGGGATTACTAATGGACATAACCTTCACATCCCCATTCTCCTTTTTGGTTGCAGCAGCTTTTGCTGATGCTGGTGGAGGGGCAGATGGAAGAGGAACAGATGATGGTGAGACAGGGCCAGTTTCTGGATCTGATGGCAAAAAAAGAGAAAATTATTTGCAGAATTGATTTACAGTCCAGTCCACGGCTTTGTAATGATGATTTGTAACACCAGGTGAAAACATTGATGCTTATATATTTCTAATAAATAAACTAAATGTAAGAAAACTCCAGGGTCACTATTCTTGAGGAAGACACCATGAAGTATTGGCACCACAACTCTACTCAAACTTTACTTAACAACTAATAACCATGACTGAAGTTGAAACAGCCTAATTTCAAATGGAAACCTTGCCCTATTGACTGTGAGATATTTCTGCCAAGAAGCTTTTTCAAAAAGAGATATTGTTTTGTTTCCAGAATTAAAATTGTAGGGCATTGTTTTCATATTTCTTTAAAGCAATTCTTGTTGCTGTTGTGAACATGTTTACCATGACAATCTACTTTACTTATTGTTTTAAATTACTAAATGACCCATTGTCCAAATTTGGACATTGGGTCATTTAACCACCCCCTTCCTCTGAAAGCCCTGGGCCTTTGAACTTTTGAGGATTGGTTTGTTTAAATCATTGCCCCCTAGGACAAAAATTGTGCTCAAATGCCCCACCTAAATTTTTTTGGAAGAGACAAATCAGCAACCTTTACTTTCTGCACATTTACCACGCTTTGAAGACTTAACCTTGTAGACCTTTTCTTCTGAGTCATTAGTTTGTGAGAGTGAACTGTTCACCTTAATCACCTCTATATGTAAAGAAACAACACTTGAATTGTGTTGGAAAGACTTTATACTTAAGGTTCAAATCCCTCAACCCAGCCAGGCATGGCTCAAATTTCCCATTCCTTGGGCACAGATGATGATCAAATGCCTGTGGGTTGCCCAGGGAGGGAGGATATTGCCAATTAAGAGGAGGATATTGATTATATATATGATTGGAACTTGATTTCCAAAGGATGAAGTACCATATTTTCTCAGTTATAAGGCGCACTCAGTTATAAGACACACCCTGATTTTTTAACTCATTTCTTTCAAATTGTTAAACTAAAAATTTCGCCCAAATACCCGGTTATAGGATGCAGCAAAACTTTGGGCTTTTTCATTATCTTCACTTTCAAAACAATAGTGTTTTCAAAGTTCCTAATTACAGTCAGGTCACCTTTTTTTAACAAAAGGCAAAAAAGTCACACATTTGCATGAACAAAGCAAAAAAAAATCCCACCTGTAAAAGAGATATAGATACCGTGAATACAGTCTGCCTTCTTAGGAAACAGTGTTACTTTCTAAAGCTATGAATACTAATTGATCCAGTTTAAGCATAATAAGCATGTCTCAGCTGGTTGAACTCCTAGTTGTAAAACTTCATTCATGGCGATTCAGCAAGCATTGCTGAGTTCAAAATAAAAATCATGCCTAGTATGCGACATCATTCTTACAATTGGAACTTTAAGTTTAAAATAGTAGCAAAAGCAGAGGCAGTGAAAAACAATCAGGAATTGCACGCCAGTACAAAATATCAGAGTCAATGGTTCGCAAACGTACCTGCAGCAGTATCAATAGAATGGTTCTTTTCAGAACCACCAAGTCGAGTAAAGTCAATAATCAATATTCCCAGCCTTCTATCTATTTCTCTTGTTTTATACCAGGTTAAAATTACAAAACAGGACATTCTTGAATTTTGTTGCATGAAAATACTTGGCTATAAGACGCACCCCGAATCTGAGACAATTCAAAGGTGATAAGGCAAAATTTCTTTGAAAAAATGCTCCGCCTTATAACCAAAAAAGTAAGGTAACTAGGAGCACCCTTCATGCATAGGATGCTACTCAATTCCAGGTACCAGTCCACTTCTTCAGGTGTCCTTAACAGTATGCTAATACCCACTAAGCTATAATGTCACACAGAAAGGCACTGTAGGTGTGTAGTCTTTTTCCCAAGAACACAAAATAAAAATTTGGCCTGCAGTGTTTTCAATAGGACTTGGCACCTGCCTGGGCTTCATCTGATATTCTGTTACAGATTTCCAGGTATACTTTGCCCTGTTTAAGTAAAATTTTCAGAACTGAAAAATAATAAACATAGAAGATACCTTTTTTGATTTCTTTCATATTTTTAAGGGTTTCTTCTTTTTTATCATCAGTTGCCATATCATCAGTTTGTGGAGACATAAGAGGATTTGATGATGATCGTCTTCTTTCAGGGGGAGGGGTGGGTGGACAGTCCAACACAACCAGATCACTATCCAAGCCTCCTTCTAACTTGATAACCACTTTGAACAACAAGAATAAGTATCAATGCATTGTTTTAACAGGTAAAAAATACCTTTCTAGGAAAAAGAAATCAATAATTAGCTTCAAAGATTGTAACATATTCAGTCAACAGTCCTTTTAGATATGAGATAATTCTTTAAAAATCTTAAATGCAAGAAACTGCAAAAATTATTACACATTCAACATGTGCTCTTAAGGGAAACAGTGAGTTTTCTTTTCACAAGACATCATTTCTAGGGGTTTGTTGTGCCATCTCAAGACTAAATACTACAGTAACTGAGTAAAGGATTCAAAATGAGAAGCATTGAATGCAAATACAATTTCAGAACTAAAATTTACAAGTTAACAAAAACAAAACGTAACTTATTGTTTAGTCAACAAAACTGTCAAATTATTCATAAGTATAATGGCTGAAGACAACTGGTAAATTGAATTATATTTTAACTCGTTATCAGGTTCACCACACATGTTTTAAATATACTAGTAGTATCTGTGTGAAAGAATGTTCATTTGGTATTTGTTCATATTTATTGGATTACTGTCCGTGACATTTTCCTAAGACATAATGTAGGACTTTACCTGCATCAAGAAGTTTAATGATGGCTTCAGAGTTATCAATATCCAGTGATATATCATCGGCCCTTCCACTTTTAAGTAAGTTCAGAAATACAGAGAGGCGACGCTGCATTGATTTTTTATATTCCTTTTGCTTAAGGGCCATTTCTTTAGGATGGTATTTCATCCTAAACCTTAAATCAGTAGTAAAACAAAAGTTATATTAAGGAGGATAGAGATATTGAAGAAATTTGGGTAAAATACAAAAGGTGTGTGTGCCCCCTTACACTTACTCAGCCTTTCCTGTCCTCCCTTGAATCCAATGTCAGTGACATTTTGACTTTTGACTTCCAATAAGCCGACATTGCTATTTTTTATAGCAACTTTACAAAAACGAATGAGGTCAGATTATACATAATTGAACCTCGTCAAATGATCGAAGGGGGTTTAAACGTGGCTTCTTGATCACTGAAAGCTGCTATGAATCTTAATTCATTAACTGCAGTGTGCAGCTTTTCTAGGCTTTAAGCCTCATGCAATAAAGACCGAAGTTGATTAGGACATGAAGCACTAAGATCCCAATATGGCTTTGTTTCACATGCATGTCTCACTGAACAAGAATACAGCTTGCTGTGAAAGGAAAGGGTTGTTATGGTTAGAGATAATGAAAACAAATAAATAAATTTGATACATTGAATAAAATTTATAAAAAAAAAATGTAGTAACATTCATATAAAAACCACCACATACATTCAAATAATTGTATCATCAGAAGCCAAGACAAAAGGTGTACACTACTCACACTCAGTCAGGGATTTCATTTTTACTACATACCATTCTTCCTCTTTGTGTTGCAAAAAGAAATCGTTAATTTGAGTTTTTCTGAACTCCATTTTATATTCTTGATATTTTCTAAAAGCTTCTTCATCACCAATATTGTCATCTTGAGCATTAAGGAACTGTTTAAAAGTCATCATGGCTGGGCCAGGACTTGCTTGAGGGTGTGGCTGTTGTTCAACTTCTACCCTAATATGCAATTTAAAAAAGATCACACCTGTAATCATTCAGAACCTTATAAGCCTCTTAGAAATAGGTGAAGTCTGTTGATTTTCACTTGAACAATAGCCTGATGCCTGTTAGAGCCTTAACCGCTTGAAATAACTTGACTCAACCTTCTCAATCAGGCAAGAGGCTTTTGCTTTTGTCAGGCAAGACTTGAACTCAATAAAAGTTTATTGGAGTCACCCAACTCAGTGACACCAGAGTCTTTTCAAGAATTTTGGTGGTCAAAGGTTCAAAAGGATCATTCTCAACATAAATTTAACAAATTATTTTTTTTAATGTTTTGTCAGTTGCCTCCTTGCTTCAGACTGCACTAGGAATGATAGATAAATACCAAAGCTCACTTGCCACACACCACCACCAAATACACTTCATCTTTGCATTGAAAACAAATGTGGCATTTGTTTCAAAAACAATTCTGTTTCAATTCAGGTTTTCAAGAAAAACATGAAAGGAAAATGTGATTGATGATGTAGCAGTGGGGCCCTCAAGCTAACGAGAGATAATTAGTATATTGTGTCTTAGATGATTTTAGTTTGCACCTTTGTTGTCTAGCATCCTGCTGCTGTGATGCTTGTAGCTGTTGAACATCTGGGTGTGACCATGTGTTATGGGTTGGAACACCACTGTAAGGTACATTGTAGTCTCCTGCCCCATGATACGGCTCATCCCTGAAAGCAACACAAATGAATTTATCAGCACTGTGATAAATGAGCATTTCTAAAGGACTGAAAATGTTTCCTTTCATCTGTTTCTGAAGACAAATATTTTATACTTACACAACATTGTTAATTTTAGAGTTTCGAAAGTGAATCATTTCAAATTTTATACAATGAACACACGAGAAACCTTGTACATCTAAATTTTAAGGATTTGACGTTTCTACCACGATCACATTATTTAATACACTAAATGGATGACTTTGTTTGGACAGGAAATGTAGAGAAATAGGGTAAATTGACACCACAGTAACCAGTTCAATTAAAAGTTAAAGTTGCGAGTCATGGAATTATTTCAAGCCTTAAGCCTTCAAGTTATTTGACAATAGACCTTATCACAGCTTTTAACACCATCTTAATGGGTAGGGAGATATAAAATGTTCACATCAATGTCCAGCTTTGAATGACTTTACAATAATCAAAATAATGTTATCAACTACAAAATTTACTCATTAGCCTCATGATTTCACACCATGGACTTGAGGGATATGCCTTCCCTAGAAATTTCCCAGTTTTGCTTTTCACACCAACATGGTTGCCACAGTCATGGGTTCCTTAAATTCCCTGGCTTTTCCCTAACCAACCAAATACACAACTTCACAATTGAGTCTCTATGACTACCTCCACCTCCCCTGACAGCCATCCTTCCCACATGTAAATTTATCCTTTCAGCAAGTCACTGTGTACATAAATTGATAACTGCTGAAGTTCTCTTGGAAAAAGAATTGATTTTCCTCAAAACTTAACATCGGTTCAGTGTTCAATGTTACTACACAATATTCCCCAATTCAATGCTATTTGTGTCTGTAAACTGTACCAAAGATGCAGTGTTAGAAAAAATAAAAACATCCCATGGAAGGAAAAGAAAATTTGTGTTATCATTCACAAACCAACTTGAAGTGGAGAACAATGGTACAGCATTTGCTGGTCAGAATCTGTAACCTGTACTGTACAATGAACATGAGTAACTTTAACATCACAAAGAGGAAACTGTTTAAATATTTCAGAGGGCTTTGACAAGATTAGATAAACAACTTCATATTTACTTAAAATTTCTCATTTCCCTGACTTATTTCAAATATGTAACTTTTCTCTGACTCAAAGTGAAATTCCCTGACCATGGAGAAACTTTTCCCCGACCTGTGGCAACCATGTTCATTCGTTTTTTTTAGCTTTTCTCGTACTCACACACATTAAAATTTGCTCACAACTATCTGGAAAAGAAATGATATGCAAGTCCACCGAGATGAGCTTGGTGGAGATAATTCACACGAAGTTTGTCAGTCGGATCCTTCAACTGGCATTTGAATTTATTTAATTTCTGAAGCTTCAACGCTTAAATGACATCATTTAACGTTGGAGCTCCTCAAAAACATTGCGATTTCAAATGAATAACAAAGATGGCGACAAAGACGGTATCGGTGTGGTCTTTTTCTAAGTGATATTGGTAATTTTAAGGATCAAAGACATGTTTTTATTAAATTACCAATCTCTTCTAACTCTTTTTATGGGAGGACTCATTTCTTGGTGTCTCCCAGAGCTATCTCTTCTTCCTCGATCAAATTCTCTATACTCTCCTCGCCGTCTACTTTCCCAAGATGGTTCACGGCGTCTGTCGGACCACTCATCTCGACGTGAAGATCTCTCTTCACGGTCGCGTCTTCGATCGTTATAATCACTTCTTTCTCTACGAAATTTATCTCGAGCCCGTCTCCTGTCGTGTTCGTCGTCACTGTCCCCCATAATGGCTCCCCTTCAGTAAAATGCTGAGAGAAGGAATTCTTTACCTGCAACAAAGAAGAATAAAGACTGCGAGCATGTGGAGGCCTTAGAGGGTTCAACAACCAGAATGCTTTTCGAGTTTGGTAGGCCCAGTCTTTAACTCCATCTCCGAAATCAGTAATATGGCTTCCTCTGCACGTGTCGTTTGTTGGCAAAACCGTGAGGAATGGCTCTATGTTTACAGAACTTTATACAATTTCGACGATCCAGAGGGTCAGAAAAGAGGAATAGATCGCGTGGCTGCCTGGAAAAGCCGCAGTATGGGTAAACTTCCCCTTGCTATCGAATGCACAGTAAATCTCATTTCAGCTCATTTGATATCCACACGCAACACTCATGATCAAGGCCGGTTGACTCTTGCGATGGCGATAGTACGCTTCGTAAATGGAATGGTTGATTTGGATCAGAAAGGAAAGTTTGCCCGCTCAGTGCAAACAATTGCAGAGGAAATAGGTTTACCTAAATGGCTGGTTGATATACGGCACGAGTCTGCACATCAAAATTTGCCTTCCTTAGAAACTCTCCGTTGTGGCGTACGAGCAAGCTTGTCATGGTTGCAGTGTGAATACTGGGAAGCACAGCTTAAAATTCACGATGGGAACATAAAAAGATTAATAGAGCTACTCGAAAAGTACAGGGAACTAACCTTAAGACCTAGTGTCAAGAGTAAAAAGAAGGCGAAGAGCAAGACTGATAACAAACTAATACAACTGTCAAACTCCATAGCTGACACGGTATCTAGGAGCAATCTTTGGTAAGAAGCGTAATTTGGAAAGAAGAGATGGCTGAAAGGCCAGATTTTGTTTGTCTTCTTTTAAACTTTATGTTATGTTGTTAATCACCCGCAGAGTGAGATTTGTGAGAAATGATTTACTCCCCACCTCCCCACCCAACAAAGTAGAAGTTCCCCATCAATGGCAGGGCCCCTTTCTGAACATCAATCTGATCTTCTTTTGTTTTTGCAAATGTTCTGAAAACAGATCTGGTCAGCAACCCAAAAAATTCCATTTTCCACTTAAAATAATCAAACTAACCTAAACTGGGTATATTTCTTGCCTTCTTCAGGATATACCATAATTCCTTGAACAAACCCATACCTTCTAATGAGCACCTTTGCCTGAATAAATACCTACCCCCCTAGGCTATAATGGTAAACAGGTGCCCCTCTTGAATAGGCAACCTACCCTCTTCCCTCACTTTCTTAGATGGTAGGAATACAAGAAAAATGTGTTTCTTTTGCCACTTCATTTACAACTTTTTAAGCCTACAGTGCAGTCTGTACAGAAGAATAATTTGTTTCCATTCCAGTTATCACTATCTCCATGTGCTTGCAGAGTTTCTTTATGTGCCCCATTTCTTCTTTTCATTTTGCCTCTATTGCAGGGCTAATTTAATGATAATTCCATTTCTGTTGCTCCTGTGGCTGATTTTTGTTCTTTTTATTGTTCTCATCAAGTTCTTCTCTATAAACAAAGCTGTAATATGTGTTTCACCTATCAGTCATTCAAATTGCCAAATATGTACAATGACACTGTAGTGCCACCTGGATTATTCTTGAGACAGGGATAAAGTAACTTGCCAACTTTCATTTTTCATTCCAAGAGAAAATTCCCTCCTTGACAGCTATGTTAACCTTATACTTGCATTCTCTGATACTTGCATCTTTATGGAAAGTAAATCATTTCAGGTTTAACAATTTTTTTTCCAGGTCTCTTTTGCCAAGTCTTCTGTTCCAGAAGGGCATGTTAGTCCCTTCTTGTGAGCACATAAGTTTATCAAGTATCAATCAATCAACTAAAGATGGCCTCTTTGCAGATTTAAAGACCTCGGAAGTCATAGGAGAGATATTTAAGATTTGGAAACCATTGATAGAAGCACTTGATAAATTGTCTCCAGAATTTTTAATGTCTACAATACATTATCTCCTTGTGGGAGACCAGTCTGCCATCACAGATAAAGAGAAAGACCTATCTCTTTATTATGCTGAATGGGTGAAACATTTCCTACTGTTGATGTCAAAAGAAAAGTGTTGTGAGGTTCCCTTGATGAACATTCTAAAAATTGCCCTGGAAAATCCAACACAGTCTTATTTGACAATTATTTCCAAAATATTGGAAAAAATGCACTTGATTGATTCTAGCTTGAAACATAAAGTACTGCATCTTGTTGAAGTTTTTCTTGAGCAACCCCTTTCAGAATGTTGTTGTGTTAATGATATGGAAGAATTTCAAGAATCAAATCTGGAAGAGTGGATGGCAAGGAGAAGCAAAATCTGCACTAAAACTGCACTTCAACAAGATGAGGGAGCTCCTCAATGGCAACAAGGCAGTCAGCAGGATTCAACTTTGTGGCACTTCATTCCGTTTGGAGAAGTTCTTGGAGCTGATTTTAAGTTAGAGTTATCAGTGTGACTTTGATAGTTTCATTCATGACACTTTTCGTAAAGGATTTGCTGTAAGGAGGGGCATGGCAAGTTTGATGAATTTTTGTTCTTAAGACTTATTTTCGATTCTAAACTTGATAAAAAAAAAAACCAAACTGTCTCTAATGAATGACAAAAATGATGTAAACTTGGAAGTGACTGAAGAAGAATGTTTACAATTTAATATTATTTTGTCCTGGTCTCCTTGTAATCACATGCATGTCAGAATTTCTCCTGCTCATTAATTCTTTTGTCCATATTTATTGATTTCACTTTTTAAAATTCATTCATTACCTTTTGAGATTGTCATGTGTGCACACTTGTCCTTTTTCTCTTTCAACCTTCCTTGAAACAGCTGTATATTGGAAGAATTTGATATTTAATGCCTTCATATCTAGAGGCATTCCTGTAGAAATCAAAACCATTAAGAACTTGAGAAAGATGTTTTTGTCTTCTCATGAGCATGGGACAAAGAAAAAAATCCTGAGTCCCCATGAGGAATTGAACCTCAGACCTTTGGACTTCTGAAGTTAACTGTACATAATCAGCACTAATTTCAGGGCTTATTTTCAATCAACACCAGAATGTTCTATTCACAATAATATCTAGAATCATGCCTCTCTTGACCCCCAAGTCCAAATTCCAGGTCTCCAAAATCTTCTCGGAAGCCCTTGAGATGGCTCATACTGGGGGCCACAGTAGCTGCAATAGTGCACCTAGGAAAGAAGAAGAAGAGTCCCAGAGGAGTCCCTCCCCTTCTGGGCAGTCATACTAAAAATGCTGACTGTAAACCCCATGGACTCTGCAGAGCACACTTTGTTTGCTGGTCAATTTCGACTGTAACAGCTTGGGAGACACTGATAAATTCATTTCTGACCCATCATGCAATTGACATCGATAGGTATTCAATTTCACCAGAATTATGCCATTTTTTTTTAGCCTGAGAAAAAAATTATGTTTTCTTGTTTGTAAAATTTTAAGTCTTGGTGGACGTTAAATGCAAGTCAAAAAGCTTCTCTGTGAACTGGTTTTAGACTGGATGATAAACAGTAAGAAACAACAAATGAGTGCCTTTTTTATTTCTGCTTCCACTTCCTGCCCTCAGATAGATCCTGCTTCCCCCCTCTCCCACCCCCAGTTCTCCCAGTCTCCCACCCCCTTCCACCCAAGAGTACTGATTAAACACTATCCAAAGACATTTTCAGGGACCCTAACAAGAAATTATATTGCTACAAGTTATTTGTTTGTTTTTCAGATGGTATGAAGAATGCCATGATCTCCCAGAATGAGATGACTGGTCATCTGATGACATTTCTTTCTTGGGCCAAACAAATGGATATAACGTAAATAAAGAGGATCATGAGGTGTTGAGTGGCTTTGCTGACCAGTTAACGTTTGCTTTTTTTCCTGACCCCCACTTAGTCTTTTATCTTCTGCTGCCACTCAACTAAGGCATACTACTCAGTTTTCCAAATCCAGTATGGCAGTCTGCGCGGTCTGCATGGTTCACAGTCTGGGTTTTATCATGACCGCCCTCTGGGGTTATACCTAAATCCCAACTGCTGGAGGTACGCCCGAGGAGCACTAGTGACGAGTTTCTGAGTCGGGTGATTATCGGAAATCGTCAGCTATTCCAATATGGCGGACTATTGCGACGACACCAATATTGCGATTTATATATTATTACATACTTACTATGTGAGAATACATTACCGAGGTTAAATCAAGGAAATTTCGCTAAATTTTGTATGGCTGTTTCCTTCACCCTTATTGACGTCGAATTTCTTGTTCAGCAGAGTTTTAGCTTAACACCATGGCCGTAATGACCTACGCTTGCAAAGGTAAACAAAACTTAGGAATAGTAAGGTATTCTTCACATGCGAAGTCTATAACAATGTTCATGTCTGGTTCAGTCACGCCGCTTGACTGTTGGTAAATCGCAATTAATAGCGTCACACCGGAATTGTCCACCATACTGGAATAGCCGACAATTTTCCGATTATCACCCGACTCAGAAACTCGTCACTAGTGCTCCTCGGGCGTTCTTCAAGCCGGTGTTCTGTTGAAAGCTTGGTTACCAAGGTGTTGGTGGCCAAATGTAGTTATTATTGGGAACTATTCGACCTTTCTTCTGAAACTGGAAGTTCCATGAACAGTGAAGAAGGCAGACTGTACGTGGATATGAGACCACTTGGTTCAAATTTCCTTATTTTCTAACAATGGAGTTACCTGAAATATAACCTCGTGTTATGAGATACCTACAGAAGGCCAAGAGGGAGAAATTGGAGGGAGAGGGTTTGATGAACACTGCATCAGATCCTTTAGTTGAAGAAAGAATTTCCACTAGATAACAAGGAGCAGTTTCTTGTGTATTCTTGAGTTACTGTTTTCCTTCAAAAGAAATGTATTCGTTGTCTAGTGTGAGTACCGATATTGAGTTTACGCCAGCTATGATCGGTTTGAAAGGAAAAATTCCCAAAGAGGAGTGTCTGCTAGATGAAGCCCAGCTTGCGCAAAGTTTGAAAAAAGACACCGAAATTTCACCCATGGAAATCATTGACGGGCAACCCACGTCTGCTGTAGAAAGCCAATCAGCTGAGGCGAATTCTGCCATCAATATTGAAACAGAAATTACTCGTGAGAATGATTTTATTGTGTTTACGTTGTCACTTGGTGCAACACCAGATCAGTTGTCTGCTGTAGATGATTCATTGAATAAAGTTTGTTCTTCTAGTGCCAACAGTGAGAATAGAGCTGTGTCTGAGAAAGATTTTGATGAAGTGACATGGTCATCAACAGATGATATAAAATTGCAACAAGGTTTGGTGGAGAACGAGTCTTGTCTTGGTGAATGGAAAAATTCTGATTCTATAGACAAGTCGTCAGGGGATGTGCTGGTGAAGGAGGAAGAGAAAATACCATCTGAGGTAATGGCTTCTGTCGCAGAAGATTTTTCACTTGATGTACAAGGTCCTTGTATTAGTTATTCACCCAGAGAATATTCCAACGATTTGAGATTGTCCTTGTCATCTTCATTGACGAAAGAAGTGTCTAACAGTGATGATGTGTTGGCCTTTGCTGCAAGTGGAAAACAGTATTTTCCTGATATTTTTCAAGTAACTGACAATATTGATATACAAGTTTTGAGAAGAATAGTGTCCACGCTAAATGAGACATCAATAGAAAGACACTGTAGTCTTCTGGGAGCTGACAAGAAAACTGGAGATACACCAGCCACTAATTCTAAATTGTTAATGGTAGGAAGCAGTAATGAGGATATTGAGAAAGATATATCAAATAGATTGTCTGCTAACAAAGAAGATGAAACAAATCAGGAGTCTACGTCAAATGCTGAAGATCCTGATTTGAGCCAGACTGAAGACTTTGGCTGTTTGGAAGAAACAGCTAGCATTTCTAAGTCACCATTACTAGACAAGGAAGTTACAGAAACTCTATGTGAAGATACTATAAGTGTCTTGGTGACTGCGCAGAAAGATGCCATTCTTGAAAGGAAGGAGGAGACACCATCTTGCTGCAGAAATCTTGATCAACCCAATAACACCCAAATCACTGAAGTCAAGGATGACTCTTATGAAACTCCCCTTCACTTGTGTAAGTATCGCTGTACTTTGCATTACTATCCGCAGGTGCTGGCAATCACTGCGGCAAATAATTTGATATTAAAATTACTTCTTAAATATTGTGTAGAACTGACAAGTAACAGAAATTGGGGAATCTGCAAAGGCATAAAATAAATATATACTACATTCATGGTGTGGTAATGAACAGGAAATACTACATTTTGTTGTCAGCAAGTAAATATTTATACAGGGTCAGAGATCATAGACAAATCATCTTCTATTCAGGTATTTAATCAAACAAATCAAACTGCATCTGTTATGTTCCTGCCTCAGCTAGTTCACCTCAAACTTCTCATTCTTATCTGTGCTCTGCATCCATTGTTTTGGGAAACACCTGGCTGTGAAAGTTACACTGAGGTGTGCATTGACAAAGCTTAGGGAATTGAATTCCAATTGGATATTTTCATTCTCCTTTGCAACTTAAAAAGTTTTCTCTTGGCCTGTGTAACTAGAAAGGTGTACACAGTTGAACTGAGCACCAATGAAATGTTGTTATTTAGATTTCTATTTGCCAAGTCTTTTAATTTATGATTGAGTGTTCTTACATGTATTTCTGTATATTTACTTGACATACATTGAAAATAAGTATTCTTTTTGATTTGTGTAAGTACAAGTTAGTGCAGGCGTTTATGATGAAAGGTGGAGAACTAATTGGTTGAATAATTTTGAGCAACATGAAATGAAGTTGTGTTATTCTCTGTTTTCTAATTAATGACTTTTTTATAGAAGGACTTTGTGGAAAAATCTTTCTTATCGTGTTGCTAGTTTGACACTTAAGTGGCGATCTCTGTAAGAGTGGTCTAGGGCATTTTGCATGGGAAAAAAGTTTTCCCTCAAACTTTGTGTGATAAACTATCTTTGGTAGCAAGTAAATATAACCACATTAGTTTCTGGAAATACGTTAAATTAAAATTTTTAGTGCTCTCAAAAGTCAAAGCTGCTTTAGGCCCTTTTTTGACCTCTTGCGACATCGAAAATTTCAAAAGTTGAATAGCCTGGTCCTCGTATCACACCGCATACAGCAAAAAATCTTTTGTATTTTTAAACTGTGTAATATGTCAGGTGAATAGAAGGCATTTCAATTTTGATATTCGTTTCTTCAGGGGTTCGTCATAATTTATTTAAAAACACTCGTTAGGCAGCTTTCTGAAATTGGTCTAAAGTACTCTTTCTTTCTTGGTTGATATTTCTTAAGTCCAGACCACACCATTGAAAACTCCGCTTGATTTCTTCTAATAAGATATTTGGCTGCAGAAAAATATAAAAACATCTTGCGATTTAGCAATTTTGCTAGCGTGACAGCCGATTATGCAAATTATTCATTGAGCAAACTCCTACCGTTTTATAGAAGTAGCTCAATAAATCTTAGGTTTTAAGCATTTTAAGTTGAAAAGATAGTAGGACAGAGCTTTTAGACTACACCGATTGCTACTCTTAACATTTCAAAAGGCCAGGATTTTACAAATTTTACTATCTCGTGACGAAAGACGTCAACAACAATGCATCGAATATCATAATTTGATTAGCGCTCGCTCAACATTTTAATGGCAAACTCTTTTTTAAAAATTTGGCTTCTGCTATTTCATGCATATTTGAGTTCTGACAGGTTATGCTATTTAAACCTGTATGTACATTTCAGAACCAAACCACAGGATTCTATTCAGTGTAACCGGCGATAACAGCACACACTAAAATACACCGTGACCAGTGACTCTGTCATGTAATTCAATTGTGTAATTATCCTGAATTGCTTCTCCTTTTTAAATGAAGCAGCGATGACATTATTTTTGGATCAGAATTCTAGTCGGCAGGAATAAGAGAAACTTTGTCTGCACACCTGTCTTTAAGACAGTTCTATTCTGAACTTTAACATAGATCCAATTCAAGCCTTCAATGAATGCATTGATAGCCTCGCCGATGCTGCACAAAAGACCAGGATTACACATTTGGAATCCCAAGTAGATTGTTGGGAAAAATGCTCCTTTCCTAAAAAATCTGAGTTTGTTCAAAAAGCTGGGGAAGCGTGCCAGCTGGTGTGCGATGTCATGGCTCTAAGAGATGGTAAAGCGTTATTCCAAGCGGTCGTAGACCATGAAGAGAAGTGCAAGACAGCTATTGATGTTGACCTTCAAACCCTTATGGTCGCCTATCAGAATGCTCCCACAAATTCACTTAGGACTCAAATACTGAGTATTTATACCGATAGATTCTCAGCCAACGAGCTTAAACGTATGCATCAGCCATTTGAAAACCTCTCTGATAGACAAATAAAGAAGGCAAGAGCACAGGCGAAGAGTGAGGTGCCTGTTGAAAAAATCCCGCGTCACAGAATCCGACCTTGACCTCCATATGAACTTGCTAGTTCATCATGTAAGTCCTGTGTCTACGAGCATGACTGAAAGTCTTTATGACAAAGTGAAGAGGGAGTGGGTTCACGACTTTCAGTCATTGTCATTAGAGGGTGAAAGTTCGACTGAACTGGTTGCAGTGGCCACAGAACCCTTGACAAGTGCTTCACAGCTTCCCATGGGGTGGGCTCTTCATAAGAGAGGTGCAAGTGTACGGCTTCCGAAAAACGTCAGGCAGTATTTGACACTAAAATTTAATATTGGACGAGACACTGGCAGAAGAGTAGACCTAGAGCAAGTAGCAAAGGACATGCGAACTGCTTGCACTGTAGATGGAGAGAAAATGTTCGATGGAACAGAGCGGTTATCCAACCTACAGATTCAGGGTTTCTTCTCGAGATTGTGCCTTAAACGGCGATCTAAAATATAACAAGAATCGAATGATACCACAGACGCAGACGACGAAGACGACGACTTGATAGAGGCATTCGCGTCTAATATAGACGAAGGGTGTTTGAGAGAGGCCAGGAACACAGTAATGGATGAGATAAGACTGAAACATCCAATCATATTTGATGTCTATGATGTGTGCTCGTTGGCAAGAGAATGAAGGTTGCCTAGCCCCAAAGTCAAGATACTAAGAGACATCTGCAAACATTTTGAGCTCGCATTGAAAATGCGAGATACAAAGGCAGCACTTCTTGCAAAAATGGAGGAAATGATTTCGGAGTGGAGTTGTTATGCAGTCTAATTATGACGTCCGCCCGTTATGCGAATGCGATATCCTTTTTCACAACAACTCTCTAAAGTTATGAACAGCGACTGCTATGCTGACAGGTGTGACGATAAAATATCATTTGTTCCTTTCAGCCAGAAATCCGAGCAATCGCTCCTTTATTTAGACGTGAGAGGTATTCAGGACAATTATACGATAGAATTACGTGACAGAGTCACTGGTCACGGTGTATTTCAGTGTGTGCTGTTATCGCCGGTTACACTAAATAGAATCCTGTAGTTTGGTTCAGAAATGTTCATACAGGTTTGAATAGCGTAAGCTGTCAGAACTCAAATATGTATGAAATAGCAGAAGCCAATTTTTAAAAAAGAGTTTGCTATTAAAATGTTAAGCGAGCGCTAATCAAATTATGATGTTCGATGCATTGTTGTTGACGTCTTTCGTCACGAGATAGTAAAATTTGTCAGCTGACTTTAGCAGTATGCAGGACCAATTTTTATATGTAAACACAGAATTTGTCTCGTTTCCTTACAACTTTGCACAGGAATTCCATGGTGCATTATTCACTGATTCAATTCCTGACCACAACTTTCTTATTATCTTTGCCCCAAACCTTGAATTAAGGGAATTGAATTTTTGGAGGGCAGTTTTGTTTAGCTGTTTGATAGTAATTGCCAGGTCTAAAGTTTAATTACATCTTTGCCCTTTTCCTTCTACAAATTTGTAAAATCATTGCATGATCTTCAAAACATGGTTTTTGTTTTTCAGGTCTGCATACATTTTTGTGTGAGTCCTTGTGTCGTTTCAGACATCATGAACTGATTCAGCTGTTGTGTGCCACACCCGACCATCGAAGTATTAACTCAGCGACAGTGGAAAGCAAATCATTGTTAAATTTCAGAAACTATGTGAATGATAATTTGTGCGATATCCATCGTGATATCCCAGAGCCATCATCAAAACTGCGTTTTCCAATCGTTCACCTTGCCTGTCTTCTTGGTAAATACAAGGCATTAGAAGAACTGTCCAAAATTGGTTTTGATCCTGTGAGCCAGACGTCAAAAACCAAAGAGACACCTTTACATATGGTCATGCGGTTAATACGTCATTTTGAAGGAACGACGCATAATCTCTTTCTGTCTGATGTTGTTGTAAACATCTTGAAGACTTTGAGTCGCACAACTTCTGTAAAGGTTTTGTTGTCAATCAAAGATTGCAGAGGAAATACAGTTTTTCATTCTTTAGCGGAATTGATGGGTCAGAGGAAGCTGCCCTTATCGGCAGCAATGTTTCTTGTATACATATTCAGAGTCTTTGTCCATTTTCTTCTGAAAGATCTAAGTTCTTCAGAGGTTCGGTCGGCATTGTGGAGTTCTTTAAAGGAGAGAAACGATATTGGGCAATCTGTTGAGTTATTATTAATGAGAAGTCTGCATGGCGCACCTCTGTTGAAGTTCCTCCAACATCATCTATGTGGTACAAGGGAGAGCTCAAGGGGTAAGTCAAATATGGAAGGGCGTGGCCGAGTGGGTACGCTTGTCCCAAGTTCGAGTCCCGCTCGGTTGCCTTTGAATCTAAGTTACCATATATAGCATATGGGAGTGATTCAAAAGTAGTACAAGAGGGTTGGGTTGTATGGTGAATTTAGTCTCAGCTCAGTTATCCGAGACAGGGTGAACCGAAGTGTTGCTTACTAAGTGATAATACGGGATGGGAACATGGTAGACCTAAGGTCGTTGTCTTACCGTTATTTGTTTTATTCTCAGTAAATAGCGCACTGAAGCATGAAGAAGTTTGTGTGAAACCTGAGTCAGATGAAACCTCGCCTGGAGCTCTAAAAGAAAATCAAGGGCTACTTACATCTTCAGACAGCATCACGACCGCTGATCCTTCAACCGACTCGCACGCACACTTACTAAGCGGGACAAGACATGCAAGTATTGTGGATTTTATTCTTTCTACTCAGTGTGCAATCAGCAACTCAGAAAAAAGAACCATTTTGGCACAATTCCGTGCGGAGTACGACAAAAGACTCAAGTCTATGGAGAAAAGGGTTTTGGACGTGAAACAGCTTCTACCACAGACGCCACGACAACTTAAATTAAAACGAAATAATTTGATGAAAGAAGCTCGTAAGGTCAAATCGAGAATTAGTTGGAATACAGGGGCAATGCGGAAAGCTATAGATAAAAGGAATAAACAGCGACGAGAGTATAACAAGATTAATGAAACAATCAGTTTGGTCCATGAACTGAAGAAAGTTATCTATGGGTAAATTATTTGTCCGCACTTATCTTGTTTAAGTGTGAAAACTGAGAATATACGTCCAAGATTCGTCACATCGGAACTCAGAGCTCGAACATTCCATCCCTGCTGAAAGATTTAAAAGTTGTCGAGCTTATAATATCGTGGAAGAGTAGATCTTCCACTTAAAGTCGTGTGAAATATGAAATTTCGTTCTTTTGTACAAAGATGTAGATAATTTTTAGCATGGTACGTTGCGTTTTTTCTTTTTTTGTAGACCACGTGTAAAGAAATTTATTAGTGTAATTTGTTAACGTAAAGTGCAAAATTATACTGAACGGAATGCCACAGAAGATGTGTTGTTAAAATTACCTCGATAGATCTGGGCGGTTCTCAGATGGTCCTTTGTCAGGGCAAAACCTTCGCTCTGACGAAGAGCTAACGCTCGAAACGTCAGCTTAGAAAGTCTTTAAAAGGCCAATTTACATTATCATTCAGCTGAAAAAACCAAATTACCTTGTTATACTTCCCCACTGACGCAACACCATAGTTTCTTTAGAAACTTACGGTCCTCCCTTTTAACAAATAATTTTAGTTCATTGTTATAATCTAATTTGCGCTTCTCTCCCAGTGTCCAACGTATTATCTTTATTTTATACAAACTTAACAATTTTAGTTGTTGGTATGTCTTTATGAGTTGTTCTTAAACAGAACAGGATCGATCAACTCGTCTAAAATGAAAACAAAATCGATTCGACATTGCATGTATTTCCATCTGTACTTGTGACAGATTTTTTTTAACATACCCTAACATTCTGAGGGTCTCAATGAGGTGATGGCTTTTATGGCTTACGTTTAAAAATTTGGCCACTTTAGGTTAACAGTTAATTTCTTTCCGTCACGGTTAAGGGAAAATATTTTACGGTCAACTTTTTCACGTGTAAATGTTAAAATTTGTCAATTTTTTACGCCTGACGGCCATTTTTTTGAAATGCCATTGAGATCCTCCATTTTACGTCTACATCTACAACTATGAAGTTGGTAAAAGCTGTGCAGACATCACACCAACTATTGTTATACAAAGATATAAAGAATATACAATACTCGCATGAAATTAATGAAGAAATTCGGATAGTAATTTTATAACTGTTTTATTTAAAATAGAAGGATATGAAACAAATTTGCCTAGTGATGGTTAACTAAATAGAGGAGTAACTTAGAGTTAAGGATAGTATGGTCTCCCGCCACAATTACGTTGTTTGAATTCAATCTATCACCCACTTCGAATAGAGATGAGTCAAATTCTTGAAGACTATGCATATCATTCATGTTGAGACGATAGAAGGAGGCAAGGAATAATGATTTTGATTCATTATTTTGAATCTGAGTCCAGATAATCTCGCAATCGATACTTAGGTCGTCTCGATGAATAACATCCTTTTTCACAGCTTGGGAAACACCTCCATGGTTGTCAGTCAGCTGATCTTTCCGAAAGATGATATAGTAATCTGGAAAAATTTCGTTGTTTTTGATACCCGGACGTAGCCAGGATTAATTACCGAGGATTATATCTGGCTTGTATTCCTCGACATTTTGGTTACCTTTAAGAGGTTTGGTACAAACACCTCAAGGATGCTTTTAATGAGGACCTGAATTCCTTTCAGTTTTGCCACCAAGCAATAGTAACATTAGAAGAAGTCGCCGGAAAGTATCCTTTGAAGACGGAGCAAAGATGGCGGAACTAACGAGGTCGGAAAGAACGATTTACGGCCGCCTCAAGTCCTCCCCGAATGGTCTGTTTGGAGATCAGAGTTATATTTAAGCCAAAGTCGATGTACTTTTCCTGAAATCCATGCGAACTTGATAGTATTGAAAGCAAATGTATCCCGAATAGGAGCAAAATCGCCACCTGAGCAAGAAGACGTGTCACACCTAACTGTCTACTGACAGACTAAACTCTGCCTCAGATCGTGTTAACTTAATTGATCTATCTGGTATGCCTTGAAACATTCGATTGACTCTTACCGTTGCAATTTCCGCAACTATCTTAAATCAGTAATCATTCTCGACCCACTTTTTTAAAAGTCCTTTTGGTGTACGATTTCAAAAAGCCCTTGGTGCGCGTTGCGGTCCTAGCTCTCAAAAAATCACTGACTCGTTCCTAATATGTAAGACCCGAGAAAAAGAATAATATAAATGCGTGCTGCTTTTGTTTTCACTTATGATTCTTCCCATTAAGCAATTTGTGTGTCGTTTGCATAAATCTATTTAAACTCTTTAGCAGTCAAAAAGTGGTTCTTAAGCCATAGTACAGAGTACCCTTCCTGAAACGAAAACTACTAGTTTATCGCTATCTCTGAACATAGTGCTCACTCATTGCCTTAAAAGGGAACGATAAAAAATTGCACAGGCAATTAAAGATCTGTTGTTTAAGTTATTATGTTTTATCCGTTGCTGTGGGGATATTTATAAAGTTTACTTCGTTACGCAGGATCGTACTCAAAGACCCGTGAAATGACGTCACAACACTAGCCCTCGCGATAGTAAGTCATATTTCCTGGTGAAATAGTCTACCGACTTTGTGTCGAGTTGTCCCTGATGACCTTTTAATTCGACTAGAACGATCTACTCTGCGATTCTCACCCTCCAACTGTTTTTAATGGCCGCGTGGAACTGATTTAGATTTCTCTTGCTGTTGGAAATTTTTTAAATTTCCGTGTGTTAGTAGGAGTGCGACTCGTGAAGTTTGTCGTTTGATCGAAGCAAGCTGTTTTTAAGTTTGGGTTTGAGGTTAGTGACTTTCAGTCAGAATGAGTGACAAAGTAGCTTCTGAAAAGCTTGAGGCCGATGAACAAAACCCAGTCGATAACGTTACAGGGGAAGAGTCCGCTATTCGCCCAGTAAAGAAAGCAAAGAAGAAAGGTAAAGGAAAGAAACGTAGAGAATCAGTCGAGTCCAGAGGCGAAGACGACGAAGGAGAAATTTCACTTAAAAGGAAAGGAAGGAAAAAAGTACTTTCTAAAGAGAATGTATCGTCTGATGTGCAACAAAAAGTCGAAGCTGAAGGCGACGATAAAAAGTTGGAAGCTTCGGTCACCGTAGATGAAGGACTGAAGGAAACAGTGATCGAGATACAAGCAGGCGAGAATCAGCCTGATGAACTTGAAGAAGTCGTAGTCAAGAAGGAATCGGCTTTTATCGAAGGAGACAACAAAGCTCAAGAAGCTGGGGATTCAGCTGAGGCCAGCGGGGAAGAAAAGAACGATGAAAAGAAAGACAGCGAAGAAGAGTCGAAAGATGTCGAGAGCCCGACTGTACGTAGGAGAGCGACGTTGTCTGATTTACGAAGTGAAAGCATTGACAAACAGGACGGAGAGAAAGCTGGAACTATAGAAGCGGCTTCTGAGGTACGATTTTACTTCCAGCAACTGTATTTTGAAGAATCATAGGTTGATGAATGTAACTTAAAAATTTAATTCAAGTCTGACTGAGACTGGTCTGTCAAACTGTTAGTCCAGGAATTCTTGATTTCACTTTCGTGAAGTCCATTCCGGATTGGAAGGAGCAACTGCAGAATACCCTGCCACCTCGGTCTAACTCATGTAAATGTGTCGAGCGGCTTTGAAGATCGCGGCATGACACGATAAACGTTATTCTTATTCAATGACATGTGAATGAGTGGCAGGGTATTCCGCAGCTTAGCTCTCACTTTCATTTCCAGGTTACATGAAGTACCTTGAGGACATTTCTTGAATGTATTTCTTTTAAGTGATATTTCACTCTTGTCATTTATTAATGTAAGCTGATTGGTTCACTTTGTTGGTATTTGTGTTCACTAAGTTATAAAATTATGGTATTGAGTACCCTTTAAGGCAAATGCAGAGGAATTTATCGTGGTGATACACAAGATATCCATAGTTTTTTTTTTTAAACTATATAAGTATGTTGGTTGCGTGAGTTTTAGCCTAGGCCAGTTTTCCTGGTACATTTTGACATTAAGAAAAATTTCAACTAAACTTAAGATTTCCAGAGTCAGGTCACAGTTTTCATTTACTCAATGAAGCTGTGACACCTTTACGACTTAATGATTTGAACTCTAAGATGGAATTTGCACATGAGCCTGGAAATGAAAACTGCACACCCTTTTACTGTAAGAATGTGTTACCAGGAAGGTCAATACAAGTACATGCATGGGAACATATTGTAAGGCTAAATTGAAACTGGCCTGCAGCTGTGTCAAAACTCACCTCAACCCCTTAGCCATAAACTTCCACCTATGGTTTGCTTCTGATGATGCCAGCTGTAAAGTGTTGGGGGCAAGGATAGGAGGTGTTCTGTAACAAGTCACTGTACACTTCTGCATTATCTTCCAGGATCTCAAACCTGTCAAAGAAGAGGAGAGCATAGAAGTGAAGATAGAAGTGGAACCTGATGACAAGCAGAACAATAAAGATGAAAAAGGAAAAGAAACAGAGGAAGATCCAAATACAGTGAAAAAATTGGAGGAAAAACCAGTAGAGGCTGCTGCAGAGACAGCTGATAGTGTAGAGCATGTTGCTGTGCCTATTGAGGGAAATACTGAGGAAGAAAAGAAGGAGGTAAAATTTGAGAATGTAGAGGGTGGGGATGGTGAGGTCAGAACAGACCATGCTAAGGAAGAGGAAGCAGAAGCAAGACAAGAACAGACTATGCCACTGATCAGTGAGACTGTGGTCACCAATGAAACAGAGACAAGTGAAGATTACTCAAAGTATCAGCTTGACGATGAGTTGCCTTGGGCCATTTATCGTTCAATGGATACTCCTCCGCAGAAAAATCCCATAGAGGAAGATGATGATTGGCCAGCATCTGAGGATGATGAAGATTATGGTAATATGTTGTTTCACTTAAGTGTGGTCAGCAAGCTAATGGAAAAATTTGCATCATAAACAATATTATCATATCATTTTTAGGGCTTCCTCTATTCCAAGAAATTAATGATTTGACCTTACAAGCTTCTTTCTCCAGATTCTTTTATTTTAATGAAAATGTTCTATCTTAAGTGGTAATAGCTGTTTCACATGCGAAACCCTTTTCTCCAAGGACTTGAGTCTTTTATCATACTCTGTATTGTGCCAAAATGGTTCTTTTTCTGAGTTGCTGATTTCACACTGAGACAAAAGTGATTGTGATCACAATTAATGAAAAACAATTGAATTCTAAACTAGGTTGAATTATTTCTTTGCTGGTGTAGTTGTTGTTTAGGAATGTGGCATCAGAATATCAGTCTTGAAATCAGCAATTTTCAGTTTAGTGTAGAAATATTTTAATTATTTTTTTTATTGCATAATTTTTCATGATCCAAATCTCTTCCATTATAGCACCACCCAAGAATGAGGATCTCTATGACCTAGACATGTTGATGGGAACATTAGATGGAGGAGAATCTGAACTGGAGACAACCGCATCACCTCCACCACTCATACTTCCTGAGGAGAAGCATGCCAAGCAGCGACGCATTGATGAGCTCAAGCAAGGGCTTGCTAATGAGCCAATTGAACTTTATGATGAAGAGTTTGAGAAGAGAATGGAAGATGAAGTACTAATGATTGGAAACATTTCACTAGAGATGGTTCAGGTATAACATAAAAAGGTTAAATTTTTATTGTAGAAATTTTCTACTAGTTCAATTCTTACATTTGCTTTGTTTCATGATAATGATCAAATGATAAGGAATAGCATGCAAATCACAATTGCTTACAGTATACCAGTAGCTTCCCAATTTATACAGTGAGTGTTTTGAGCTTTTTGTGTTACCTTATACAATTATATTGCATGGCAATACTTCCTCCTTCCTTCCTTAGTGGAGGCACTGTGACCTCATGCTTAGTGTGTTTGACTCCAGATTGAGTGGTCCCAGTTCGAGCCCTGGCCAGGGTGTACAAATGGGTACAAGCAAATATGCTGGGGGTAACCCTGCGATGGACTAGCATCCCATCCAGGGGGGAGTAGCAATACTCCTAGCTGCTTCATGTTAAGGAAACCGGAGTTAAGCGCTGGCCCCATGGGCTACTTGGGCCTGTATAAAGGCTTTACTTCTTATACAAGTATATTGCACATGGCAATACTTCCTCAAGGAAAAAAAAATTTTTCAAATTACTTTGAAATTTTTTTATAACATCTGCAATCAAGCTAGGAGACCAGTTGGGAAATGTGCACATTTACAAAGAAGCTTTTTATTTACTTGTAGGAAGAGGAGCGTCGACTTAGAGATGAGCACATTGCTTATCAACAACAGCAAGCCAAGACACAGCGTGAGAGACAGGAGGATATTCTGGAAAGAGAAGCTAAAGCCAGGAAGGAAGTCATGAGGGTTGTTAGAGAGAAACGCAAGCGGCTGCAACAGAGAGAGGTACAAATAGACAAATAGTTCACTGTTTGACTGTGAGATACTTGTAACAGATTAAGAAAGAGGGTAAATATGGAGTTTGGTTGTCTAGTAAAGAAAGATATCTAATAATTCTCATAAGCAAAGGACTAAGAGAAAATCTGAACCTCAGGGAGATCTTTCTATTTGAGAACGAAGAGGCTCTGTGAGCTGAGCTATAGAGATAATATGGTTTGGTGTGTGAGTAACATGGTTCATATGTGACAAGCACTCTGATTATACACTGGTGATAAGTCTTTTACAGTCTGTTTCTCCTCATTCTTCTTCTTCTCTATATAATAATCATTAAGATTATAACCAGTGTGTCTGTCACTGCCATCATCATCCATATATTATTACATTCTGTTTGATACCATCTAGCAACCAAAAGGGTTTCTTTAGATGGCTTAGGATTTGTCACAATATTTAATTAGAACTAGACAGCCAGATCCCATTGAACAGTAATGCTATTAGACTGAATTAGCAAATTTACACTTTGGCACATAAGGCTACCTTTTAAAACTTCCTAATTCGAAGCTACAATTTGTTCCTGGTAATTTTTCAGGATCTTTTGATGCAGCAAGATCGACTGATACAGAACAGGATACACAGGGCATTCCGCCAAGCTGAGGAACAATTACTTAAGGCCCTGACAGCAAGGAAAGGAGAAGTTAAGGTGAGCTTGCTCTGTTGATTTGATTATGAGCAAGAGGCAAAGAGAATTTGTAAAGGATGGCTTAGGATAGAGAAGATCAACATGTATGGCAATGAATCCTTAAGAGGTACATAATATGCTGTAGCTTCTTTTTGTGATAATTATAATGACATTTTACAAATGGATACTCACTCTTCCCTTACTGTGTTTGATTTGCATCAATTTTCCTATTCCAGGCCATGTATGGAGATTTGATGTTAGCTGATGGCCAGTATGGAGGCAGCAAAGGTAGGCGCTGGAAAGTTGATTGGAACAGAACCCCACAGCCAATACAGATTAAACTGAAGTGTCTACGAGGAGTCAAAGACAAGTTACCAGGTAAAACCACAAAAAGAGCTATGAATAAGAACTTGCAGAGTAAATTTTGATGTACTCATAATCAGTTAACTAATTTTAGAAAAGCAGTTAATTTTGTGAGGATTTCTGTGTGTGTAATGGGCAGATTATCTCAACTTGATCTCAGCACAAGGAATTTGTTAAAGGATGTTCTGAATTTTATGATGTAGGTGGTAGTTTGCTTTGAAGTTTTATGTTGCCCATGTCTCATGAGTCTCTGATCCTTCACAGCCCAAAACACTCTATTTTCAAGTTATAAACAAACATGGCACATTATATGGTTTTCATTTCTTCCTTCCTTTAGCTGGTCGCTATGTCCTCATGGTGTCTTTGTATGATCGCCTGGGGGGCCATGTACTTAAGTGGTCAAATCTGAAAGGTCAGCAGTGGGGAGGGGCAACATTACCTCTGCAGCATGATGGAGAATTCTTTAACATTGAAATTAAGGTTGGTTTGACAAAACATACAGTGTACATCTCTTGATGAACACATGAATAACTCTTTAAGTAATGGTCCGCACAAGAAGTAGGCATAAAATAATAGGTGAAATCCAAAAACAGCCATTAAACATCCTTTTATCAAATCAAAATCCACATTGGCTGTTTACAGCTTTAGCATGAAATTTGAATTTCATGTATGTGAAAAATTGTGGGAAATGCATTTTTGATGGTCTTGATGATATCTATATGTTAACAATGTTAGAAACTACCTGACAGTGAAAGGGGAGAATCTTACAAAATGGGAAAGACTCTTTTTTTAACAATGATGTTATTAATTATTGAAGTACACCTTGCAGTGAGTCGCTCTCATTATTTTTTGGCACGCATCTATTGATATTGGCAAAATCCAACAGGAACCATCTCCAAAGCCAAAAAAAGATTTATCCACCTAGTCCTAGTGAAAACTCAAAACAAACAGAACCTTGATATCGCACTTTTGTGAACAAGATGAAAACTGCAGAGAAAGAGTTACAGTCTAATATGGTAGCAGAAGGGTGAGATATCATTCCCACAATTAGAGCCAATTCCCCATATTCCATGGTTACAACGCTCAGCATCTACAATGTTGATGACACTAATACCAAAATTTGCACTAAAAATAATAAAAATAAATCAATTTATCCAATATTTTTTGGGTGCAGGTATCTTAAGCTAGTATGCCTTTAAAAGCTTAACAAAGAGAAGTGTAATTTTTTTAATTCAGATTTATATTGATGTTCTGTTAAGATCAGGGAAATATAAATGAAGGAGATCTTTGAAGTTGTAATACTAGCATTTAAGAAGTAGACAAATGGTTGAAATTTTGTCATACTGTCTCGTAAAATGGGCCTTAACTGCTTAACAGATTGTCTACCACTGAACATATCAAGAGTTACTGACTGCATGAGTGAAAATGTTGTAATCAAATTTGGTTGATATTGTGTGATGTTATATATTGTAATAATACATGTATTAATTCATTATATGAGGAACACTTTTACATATGAAGTCACTTCTTTATTATGTTGAAAGTTAAAGTTTCAGATGTGATAACAATATTGTATGGAAGTTGAAATGCAGTAGCTTAATTAGTATAGGTAACACCATGATTTCAGGTGCAATTTGGTGTTAATAAGCACAGGTGAATTTTTCAAAGACAACAAAATTGCACAAGCTTGTAGGGTGAGTGCATTAAATCTTGAAGTTACATGTCAATGATTTACATGAAAAACTCATCACAGAAAGTCAACATTTTAGCATTGTGTGCTATTTGTAATTTGCACTGGTATTGCAACTTTGTACTCATATTACAACTTTGCATTTGTGTTACATGAAAGATGCACTTGTTTCAGCCAATCAGATGCACATAATTTTTTCATGTATATTATACACACTGATACTTTGCTCCCTTATGTACTCCTTTGTAGATGAAAGCATCACTCATATTATTACATCATACTCCTTTTGCAGATTGATCAGAGTGTGTTCACTGTGTGTCCCTCCAGACCTGATGTGCGTCCAGGCATGATTCTGGTGTTTGAGCTTTTTATTCTTAGGGGAAGTGTCACAGCCACAGATAGGGTGGTAGGATGGGGATGTTTCCCCATTTCTGATGGAGAGTTTAACATCATTGATGGAAAGTAAGTTCAAAGTTAATTCCAGTTGATAAGTCTGTGCTGCACTTTCAAATCACTCAGCCAGCTGGCAGTTGTGTAATGCAGCACTCAAATTTCAAGCAGTGCAGTGGATCAATTTTGGCAAGGCAAGCTTCAACTTTCCATACAAAAGTGTATACAAAAACATAAGAAACAACAGGCATTACGCAAATATTTAGAGAAAAATTGAGAATTTAGTGGAAATCTGTGAAAGGACGTCGCAAAGTTTATTTACCCATTACTATGGATATCTTGTTGATCTACCATTTTATTTTTAGCTGTAGTAGAAAAGTTAAATACATCTTTTAACACAGTTTTAAGTTGAAAGTTGCTAATGTAATTCAGTGTTAAAGCAAAGTGAAATGCTGGACAGAATTTATTCAGACCGAAAACTTTCTACAGCAACTCATCAAAAGGATGAACCTGCACATAGTAGTTTCCTCCTTATTATCTAAGAAGCTAATAGGGTCAAATTTAAATCCATCCATTTCATTTCACACACTTTTAGGTACAAGGCTCCATTTCTTCGTGGTGACATGGATCCCACAATTGATAAACATGAGACGATTGAAGAGTTGATGGCTGATGATCTTGAAAACTGGCTGTGTAACCTGTATTTTGAAATTGTCAAGCTACCTCGGTAAGACACATAGTTCGTTTGCCATCCATTTGGTTTATTACTTCTGAGCTTGTTTTGATTTTCATGGCATCGAGAGAGGAGGAGTATTGTTACTCTTTCTGGGGACAGGATTGTAGTCCATCAAAGGAAACCTCTAAGCAGCCTGCAAGGGGCTTTTGCAGGTGATGTGGCAGTGCCTGGGAGAGCATGCTGACAGACCATTTCCACCCTCCACCCTCCACCCCCCCCCTTCAACAGCAATTCATCAAATTTCCCTAAAAATTTTCTCACATCATTAATTTTATTAGGTATAGAGAGGGCTTCCTTAAGGATGATAAATCTAAAGTTGAGATTAACGCTGGTGTGACGTTTGACCATATTTACAGACTTACTCTAAAAGTTGGATATGTAATTAAATAATGATTTAATTAATATGCATCTTGTTATTATTAGATATATGGCTGGACAGAAGGAATATGAAGTTGAACTACAATTTACATCAGGAATTCTAAGCTATCCATCACGCACGAATATTGATGAAGAGAACATTGATGGAGAAGAGCCCATTTACGGTTCTCGAATGGATCTCAAGTCATCGCCATCCAGCACTCGACGTGGCAGCAGAATCAGCATGATGGGGTAATTATTCAATCCCCTCACCTTAAAAGGGGCTCTGTTGAACCAAAACCATGTCCAAGGGAAAGATTTGCCTTTAATTATTGCAAAAGAGCTGGAAAGAGTATAGTAATTACAAAATACATGTATCTCTTTAAACTTGTGAAGTGTTTTGTTTTGACAACACAAATGCAACATGTGCTTGTATGTGGTTTTCTGTTGACATCTGTTGACATTCATTGGGCATGGAGTTTAAGCCTGTCCTTCAGTTGCTCTTGAAAATTTGCCCTTTAGTGCTACTTTTTGTAATACTTAAGCTATTACCCTCTAGATGATGGAGCCCTTCATCTTACAACTTGTTTATACAGCACTTCACAATGTTTATGACAAACTGCCTGTATTATTTCTAGGTCAAGTTTTTTTGGGAGCACTGTAGCTATTGATGCAGCTGTGGAGGAAAAAGAAGGCATGGGTTCTACCCAGAAATTGCAGGTGGAAGTCCCGGATGTTAGAAGAACTGTGAGTGCTTGAACTATGTTCCTTATCCTGCACACAACTGCGTCAAAAATATGCAGTATTGCCTTAAAGAAATTGTGGAATTCAATATCTCGATCACTCCTTTGTTTTTATTTTCGCGATTGTTAATTGATGTTAGACAATTATCAGCTTTATTCATCCTTTTTCGACCATTGTTTTCATGTTCTTGGAGTAATGTTTTACTGTAAAATCAAATCATGTTTCATGAGTGTCGTATGAGCTATTAATAGTTGAAACATGTCGAGTCTCCTACTGTACATGTTTTTGTTATGAACTGTTGTCTGAAGAACATTTTAGCCATATGGTGATCCTATTTAAAATTACTGGTGGAGTGACACACTAAAATGGGTTGAAATAGGAAAAACGTGAATAACAGTTTTTTTTTACTCGATAGCACAATGGCAAGCTTAATAAGATTTTTTATTGACTTGTCAAACAGTTGGCGACAAAACTGTATTTCTTCAAGTTGTTTTGAAATAGAGCTTTCAAACAATAGCACCATCGTCCTTTCGACCAAACGAACTTGTCAAATTGTAAGTGAGGCAAGCAGATTTACAAAACGCCTAAGAAGTCGTAGTCAAATTTTCAGATACCCTTTAAGGAGAAGTGAAAGTCTGATCAGTGGTGTGTTTTTTGTTATCAGTCTCTCGCAGTGCCCGAACCGATATTACGTCAGCGCCGTAGTTCAGCCGTGTCACAGAGACGGACGTCTCGTCCCGTAACCATGCATATGTCCCGCAAAGCGGTGGAGATCGACGCCTCAAGCGACGGCAGTGGGACGGACTATTCTGATGATGAAGTTCTTATGCTGAAAAAAGATGATGGATTTAGACCGGTGAAGGGCCAACCAGGCATGTATTACAAGGTACGGTAAGAGTAGTATCTAGAGAGTTTATTAATTTTCGTATTCATTTAATTATTTAGTAATAATAATAATAATAATAATAATAATAATAATGATAGTAATGATAATAATAATGACAATAATGATAATAGCAGTAATAACGTTAAAAAAATGCCACTAAGGAGGCTTTTCAGAGCCAATGCAAAGAAATTTTAATTAAACATAGAGTTTAAAAATCCCATATACAAAGTGCAGTCAACGAGTTGAACTTGAGGCAACCGATGTATGATGTTGTGGAGTCTAGTGCTGGACTGCAGGAAGCTAATACAATGCTGAGAAATAACCAAACATCACAAAGTTGTCCGAATGTCATTACCGAGTGCAAATTAGTATTAGAAAAGTTATTTTGGAATTAGCGTATTCTTGTGGAATGTAGCCATGATGACAAAAATAACGATGCGACCGGGAAACGTAAAGTTTGCTCGCGATATCTTACTTTATTTTATCATGTAATAGCTCGTCTTTTCAGCTCTGAAAATAGTCGTGCAAAAGTAAATCTAAATGTCCGGCGATAGAAAATGGAGAAAACCTTTCTAAGTCGCAAATGTGTATATTCCAGAAACATTTGAACAATCCAGTCGACGTCCACGCCAAAAAGATGTTTACTATGCTTCCAAAGACGCCTCTGATGACACGAAAGAAAAAGAAGAAAAAGCTGACTCATTTAGAAGAACTCGAAGAACACACATTCACTGTACAGTGAGTATAACGTTATTCTGTTTAGCTGCCTTCATCTACACAGTCTTGCATACCTTTAGCTGTCACCGCTGGGAAAAACCAGAAGTTGAATGTGTTTACTTACAGTGCTGTTTGCTTTTTTTTTAATTTTCCAATTGTCCTTCTCACCCAAGGCCACCTTGGTCCAATAAAGGGCGCATTCCCCACTACGGTCGAGAAAAGATGCAATATGTGGGCCGTCAATTGATGGCTGAGCTGGGCCTCTCTCAATGGCGTTCCCGTGAGTTTTGGGCCATGTTACTCCTCATTGCCTTCACCTGGTGGGTTCGTTTGTACGCTCATTATGGCGCCCAGTGGGTTTTCCTTCAAGCGTTATTTATTCCAGTTAACAAGTAAGTAAAAGCGGTCGTTGTCAATGATATAACAAGGAGGTAACGGTAATGATAGTTAGAAAGCAAACTGTTTATATCCTCTGGTTGGAAAGTCATCAAAGTTTTGGTGTGCTATTTTGACTCTTGAGCGCTTTCTTAGATAGAATCTCTTATGCTTTCTTTGACTCTCATGTGCTCGATTTGATTCGTGCGCTTTCGCCGTCTGATATTTTATTTCGGCGAATCTCGTTTGCGCTCGTTAATTTGATTGTTTTCGCTCACTCGGTGACTTAAGTATTCCTTTGTCTACTTGTTACTTGAAGAATCGCCGAGACTTTTAGATTTTGCGGAATTTATACGAGGAACCATAATTCTTGTTTAAGATTCGGGTAAAAATGGCAACTGTGCCGACAAATTTGATATGTGTGGGAGCTTACTAGACATGTACGAATAAAGCAGTTTGTTAAGCCGCCTTCCATTTTAGCCAGTTTTTGCATACTTTTAGAATATTCAAATGATTATTTCACAGTAATAACTGTTGGGGCTCTTTACCTCCTCTTTGCCTTCAGTTGTTGTGTTCAGGATATTCTGGATATTCTACACATGACGTAAAGATTGTTGACATCATGATGTCGAGGGGCCTCTTATCGTGTTAGTTAGTTGAGTATTGTTTGCGTTTGTGCCAGTTTATGATACAATTTTTTTTAATTATGACGGTTTTATTCCCTTTTCACTTATTTGTGAACTCCAGGTACGAATTTCTCGCCTACACAGTGAACCTGAACTATCAAAACACACTGCTGAACACAGTGGAAGAGATCAGTATAGTGGTGATTGGACCGTTTTTCAACATTATATTGTTCTGTTTATTAATCCTCTTCTGCTGGGGAATACAGAGACTGTTTGGAACTTTTCCTAACATCTTCTCACGGTTTATCATGGCATTTGGAATTAATGCACTGCTTGATCCCATCTGGATTCTGATCGTGGATTCTGCGCTCATGAGGTATAAACTAATAGTTATGACTATTTTTTAGAACCCTTCGATACAACGGTTTATTACTATTGAAAGAAAAAGAGGACTGGATTACTTCTATAAATGACCAACCTGACGACAGTATATAACTCGGTGAACTAACAAAAGGTTACGAGGGAAACCTTGGAGCACTTCGAGAAGAAGAAGGATATCGGCTATGAGCTAATTACAGACGCACTCTCTTCACTGGGGTTGTTAAGAAGTTGTTTTTAGGATTCTAAAGGGATACTTTTCGGGTAACATGACAAGACTGCTGTAGAGGAGGAAGAGTGAGAAGTGTTAGACGAACATACCTTTGTTAAATATTTCTAACCCATTCTTATTTCGAATTTCACTTTATTTAGATTTTTAAACGTGGGAGGTGATGTTCCAATAGGAGACGCGTTCAAACTCTACTGGCATTTCTTCCGCTTTGACGGCAATGGCACCGTAGGTATCGTTCTGACAATATTCCTGTACGTTGTTACGCTGTTCACTGCTTCTTGTGTAGTGTATATGTACTTCTTGAGGCTTCACAACAATGGCCGCCTCATGGATGTCTATCACCGTCTTCACGCGCGTGAAGACGAGTTCTTTATTCCTTACGACCTGGAAATCTCTAATGTGGAGTTGAACTATGTCTGCAAGAAGTCAGAACAATGGCGAGGAGAAGAAGGAGAAAGGAGAAAAACCGCTGTTTATGATTATATCTGGGAAGAAGAGAAGGTATGCGTTTGCACTCTCAACGAAGTTCCTTTGAAAAGAGCGCTGAAGAAACACGCAAGTTGTCTCGCTCGTGTTAGGAAGGCATAACTGCTTTGTCTTACTTGTGAAAGAGACCCAAAGCCCGCTTGTTTCTTTTTCCTTTACCTTTCAGAAATCGTTGTTTTCGCCAGTTTGATCGCTTGAATATAAGACACGGGAGCTTCGTCACCTAACCAAACACTTTAACCGGAACTTAAGAGCTTTAACTGGTCTATGTGTTAAAAGTTTGACAGAGGTTAAATTATACTAAATTGAGTGTGATTGTTTTGGGGTTTGTTTCTAGGAATTTTAAGAATGATTGCATACATCAGAAAATTTTGCTGAATTTGTAATCATCTAGTCTGAGTGACTTTCTTTATATTTAGATTGATGAGTCGGATATGGGGGCTTCGGACAAAAAAAAGACTGGGCACCGTGAAATCACATCTCACGTGTCTATCCACACCATACACTTGGATGGGTTACGAGAGTTATACAGACACTTCCTAAGGCTGCCTGATGGAGCTATTGTAGAGGTATGTTCATTTCTACACATATTTCTTATTTCTTTTTAAAATATCATGGTAAAATATCATGGATTGACAGTTATTCTAAGTTAACTTTTGAGCGAAGTCCTCGCTAGAACCTAGTAACTAACTGACTGACCGACTAACTGTCAGACCTAAGGCTGACTGACTCATTGGCTGACTGGCTGACTTGCTGACTGTCAAATTTCCAGTTGACCCACTCATTGGGTGGCTGGCTTGCTGACTGTTTCACTGACTGACTGACTGACTGACCGCATGCTTGTCAGACCTACGGCAGACCAACTCATTGTCTGGCTGGCTGACTGACTGCCTGTCAGACCTATACTAACTGTCTCACTGGTGGCTGACTGACTGTCAGACCCACGGCTGACTGTCAGACCCACGGCTGACTTACTGACTGACTGGCTGGCTGGCTGACTTACTGTTTCACTGACTGACTGACTGCCTGTCAGACCTACGGCTGACCGACTGGCTGACTGACTAACTGTCTCACTGACTGACTGACTGCCTGTCAGACCTACGGCTGACTGACTGACTGACTGCCTGTCAGACCTACGGCTGACTGACTGACTGGCTAGCTGATTGGCGTTTTGTACGACTGACTGACTGACTGTATGAATGAGTGACTATCTGTCTGAATTACTAATTGAATGAATTATCGACTACTTGTGTAACAGGAATGCTTTCGGGCATTCAATCAGAAAAAAACCTGAAAGTAAACAATTGTTGACATCTTCGAGCTCAAGAAAACGCGAATGATCAAATCTTGATTGGTTTTAGTTTTGCGTTTGATTGGTTGATGGGGTTGTGCGAGATTTTAAGAGAAATATCAGAGTTCAGTGAAACACGTCGTTGCAATCCCAAATAGCCTTTGCTTATCAAAACTGCGCTACTTGTTTCATCGTCCTCTTCCTTCCTCTTTCAGGTGTTTGGCGAAATGGGCGTGGTCGGTATGGACGAGAGCATTAAACAGGCACTTATTAAAGGCACTACTTACCAGTCCATGGACAATGCAAGAGCATCACGGGCCAGTTTAAGAGCGAGGTCCCGGGCCGGCTCGGTAATTAGTGAGTCATCTTTTCGGAGACCTTCGGTGATGTTAGAAGTTCCTAAAACTGCACGTTCTCCGTCTCCTGTGTAGACCTGGAGGAGAAAGGAATGCGTTGTATTATACTTTCACTTCGGGCAATTAATGAGTGGACTAAGACTCAGTAATGTACACTGAAATATCACGAATCACTTTGCTGTGAATATAAACAGTGTATTAGCATGCCCTTATCACACAAGCGCACAAGGCAACATGTCATAGAAAAAGCAAAACACAGAACCCCTGGGATACCATCTAATTTGTAATTTCTTTTGCTGATTTATAATTATTTACGTATGTAAAAGGTGAGATGTCATAGTTTTATAGAGGGGACTCGGCGGGTAGTTCACTTTTTCACTTTTTTTAAGCAGGAGTTAAATAGTCGTGTAGATAGTAACAAACATTTAAGTACCGTGTTCATGTCTGAGTAATTATCTCATCTCTCGTCTCCTTTTTATGCATTTTAAAGTATCACAGTCGGAAAGAAAGACGTATATCAGACACTCAACTTTGCGTGAACTGTCTGTGCGCTTTTTGACTCAGATTTTGCCGTTAGGTTGAGGTATTAAGAGGTCTCAGGTTAATTTATCCATTGATATCAGCACATAATTAGGTTTGCATCTGAATGAAAGCTGGAATTTTGACCTCTGGAATTCCGGCCTCTGAACCACTTTCGGTTAATGACCATGAAAGTTGCGATCTCAAGTTGCGACTGTGTGCTTGACAGTTTCAAGAATACTCGGCCGCTTGAAATAACATTACTTCCCATGTTTTTTCCAACGAACCAACGAAACGCTGTATAAACCAAATTCGCCTGCCAAAAACCATAATTTCCATTTTGTTGCCTTTGCCGGCAGATGATTTCCCTGCTTCGAAATACGACTACTGCTACTGTGATTCGTTTCTAAAAGATGAAAATGCGGTTTTAATCGATTTTATTTCATGTTTAGTGCGTCAACAACTTTTATTCTTAGTCACTTCGGGCCAGGATTTTAGCTGTGGCCATGTCAGAAAAAAAAGCTGTGGCTATTTCCTAACCTTGCTGGTCAAGTCTCCGTTGTAAATAATTTTTCCCTGCTATTTAACTTTATCTACTGTTGCTTGGTCTATTTATTTTAAAATGTCTGGGTTTTTAGGTTACTTGTTGAAATTTACCACGAGTTTAGGTAAAGTTAAAAAACCGCAAAATAGGAAAGTGGAAATCCATATTAGCAAAAAATATGTTTAATATATTTTTATTTGATCAGTTTCATTGTAGATTTGTAATAAATATTGAAAACAAACTTTGCGGTTTTAATTATTAATTTGGTGGAATTTGGGCTTTCAAAGACCTCAGCCGTTCAGAGGTATTAAAACGCTATTGCATTTTTGCCGTCAAATACGAATGATAATAATTCTCAAAAAATTTTCGGTTATCGGCGGATCGATTTGTACTTTTTGATCCTCCAACTCTACTTATAGGTGGATAATGTTCAAATCTTGTTTGAGTATTTGGACGTTGTTTCTTCTGCCTCGAAACTAATGTTAATTTTTTGTCAGTACATAAGCTGTGGCTGTAGCTCTGTCATTTGTCTCACAGACTACTCAGATGAGTTTGTGGAAAGGGATGCCACGAGGAACGAAATCCCACAAACACTGATCGTAGTAGGTCAATAGCAGAAGCGTCTTTGACAAGAAATTTATACAGCAATCGATTTTCGAATTCCATGATTCAAAATCATGAATAAGAAATAACTATCGATGGATTGCTGTGTGTGTATTCCGATTTAACTCAGCGAGGAAAAAAAAGGCTTCATCTTATGGGGTGTTTTGATTTTGGCACGAGCGTCCCCGAAAGAAAGAAAACAAACAAACAAACAAAAAAGCCGGCTGTACCAAAACAGTAGTGTTTTGAACAGTGTAGAGGAAAAATAACGTATTTGACTTGCATAAAACTGGGCAACGCTTGCAATCATAAGAATACGGGAAAGGGAAAGGGAAAGCCCCTAAAATTTATATTTCACGCTGCAGCTTGAATAGCAAGCTTACTGCGCTTTTTCTTTTATTTAGTTTAACTGCAATAGCTCTTCCGATAGACTCATTGTAGATAAAAATGTTGTCTGCGAGTACTGCGTCCTTTTGTGGCAAGAGACATCAATTTTTCTTGCCCGGGCCATCAGCCGCACAGGTAACACGTGGAATACTCATTTTTAGAGAGTTTCGAAACAAACATGGTTTTTCTTCAGATTACTGCAGTATTCCATGCTCTCATCGCTGCAATCGGTGTTGCTAGAAATTTTCTGGCCATACTGACGATAGCCCTTGAAAGAAGAATTCACGTGATGCAGTTCATTCTACTCAGTAGCCTTGCCGTGTCAGACATGTTCTTTGCATCCTTGTCATCTCATTTCGTATCTCGGCATATGGCAGGAAGATGATTAAACGCACGAACGATGATCAATTTTGACTTTATATTTCTACCTTAACATGAAACTTCATCTGATAGTCGTTTCATGCGAGCGGTACAAAGCTGTTGTCAAATCACCTTTGACCTGTGATGGTTCGTTTTAAGTCCAGAAAGTGAGTCATCTTCCTAATCTGGTTTTTGCCGATACTATCAGTGTGTCCATTATCCGTTTGTCCAATCAAAGGCTGGGAAAGGCTTGTCGACAAGAGGGTGTTTGTTTTTGATCCAGGAAATTTCAGAGCAGCTTGACATGAATGGTTGATGAGTGTTTTTTTCAGAACTCGATTCGTTTAAAGTAAACACTTTTGAGGGCAAAATTTTCAGTTAAGAAAACGTGACAATTAAATATGTAAAATTATTATCCAATAGAAGAAAAGGGGTAAGTTCCTGGAGAAACTGCGGTACTTCGTCGGTGGAGGGTATTAAGACGTTTTAAAATGACCGACCATTGTTTCATAATAGATTTAGCTCTGGAGAGGATCCTCATCAGCGCGAACTTAACTCGAACGAACCTTTGTAGCGTCGAGGAAACCTTAATTTCGAAGTCTGTCTTCTTTGAAATTCTGTAGGTTTGGAAAAATCGCCCTTACCATGTTGCAAGTTTTGTTTGTTTTTGGCTCTGATTCCATGATACCTATCACTATAGCAAAAATCTAATAAATAATACGATAAATATCGTTACGATCTTTCAACCGTTTAGGTTTTCAGAGTGTGTACTTAAACGGCAGCAATCAACTCCAACTCCTCGTGAAATTTTGTCGCACCTCTTTGGCTGACGTAGAAACCAATTTTATTTTACCGCTCTTAACACTGGCCAAGGTTTCAAATCTGTAAGAGCAGCGCATTCCAATTTAAATAATTTTCCTCCTCTACCTGACCTCATTAATTATATAGTTATGACAGGAAAAAAATCCTGTAAAATGCTGGGCCTCATAGTAGACTTGGAAACTTACGAATTACTGCACACGATAATTTTCCAGGCCTGATAATTTTTAGTGTCATTATGAACAAGTGCGAGTTTGTCTATCGATATGAATAAAAAAAGACTTTTCAGCGATAATCGATTGGTCATCAATGATCGACATCTATATAATCCAACTTATTTTATTTTCTCAATATCGATTGATCGATTGCTTTCCCGATGGTCGCTTTCATCGATTGGTTACGTAACAGTGGACATGAGCGAAAAATAACGATGCAATGGGGGATCAAGCTTTTTGGGATCAGACGAGAACGATTGTCACGTTGACGGTCATAGTCCTCTAAGTCCAAGCGGTTGCTGATGATGTAATAGGCGGCTGTGCCGTAAGGCGGAAGGAGTCCAAGAAAGAGATCCTGTTTGCGGGCTAAACAGACGTTGGTGAGAAGTCTGAGAAGTCTTAAAAGCGGCGGTAGGTCGCCGGCAGCTGGCTTTCATGAAACCCCTGTCTTAGCATATTGTTGATTTATCTTTTAAAAATATTTCGTTTTGGAAAGTACGACAAAAGCAAAGCAATTTGTGTACTCTTTCGGTGTGTGTGTGTATTGCTTTGATAATGCTCTTTAAAGCGTTTTCTGGCTCACATTAAATCTCCGATAAAGTCAGCAGATGAAATATTTGTTTTTTGATTAGTTCTTATTAAGAACACCCCATAACTTGAAGCAATTGTCCTTTCGCTACAGCCATGTTTGTTTGTTTCCATTTTGTTATTTGACTATTGATACGTGATAAAAGAATAAAAAGAAGTGGACTTTCAGCACGGAGCTACGTGTGTGTTCCCTTTTTTTTTAATAGTCTTTGCAAATTTTTATTTCGTAAATTTGCATTTGAAATTTATTTTCCAGTGTCCGCCTTCTAGAGTCCAGACACAATCGTGACGTACTGTCAGATTTACTTACCCAGCGTGATATGCACGGTGATGATGAATCGCGTGACGTGACTACTGAGCTGAGATCATGCAACAGCTCTTGTGACTTATTTGGATTGAACTTTGACATTGAACGACCGATTATTTAGTTTTCCGAAAAATACATGTAGTAAAGTGACCTCAATTTTGCCTCAGAGATCATCACGAGATGTACCCGTGAATCATGCATCATCTTAGGGTAAACCGATGCTTCAGGCATTTAAAAAAAAATCAGCTTGCAAATGGTACGGTTGTAAGTTTTACACTACAACAAGGGAGCGTTGATATCCATCCACTAATCTCTTTTAACTTTACTACCACAGGCAGTATGTTGTAAGCTGGTCAGATTAGTTCCTAAAATGTGGCTTAGCTCACTCCATAATCAGTTCCCTTTGGCTTAGAATCCGACGGTCTGGGGCGTAAGTCCTCAGGGGAGACTTATTTTTGTCTCATACTCGTGACAAACGTATTTCAAATTTCCATTTTTTCCTCATCACCATCAATTGTTGAATAAAAAATCTTATGAAGGTGATATGCCCTTGAATGAACTTTGAATAGACCTTTGAATTTCCTTTTCACTACTAGATGAAATGGCCTGGAGGCGAGAAAAATTTGGACCAATGAAATCGTCTCATTTGCATGATAATAATGATGGGTTCTTCCGAAGAGGCGGTCAAAACTGTGAATATCATTTCAGGATCGTACGCGAAGTGGTTGTAGTTTAAGCTTTCGCTATGGTGTGCCTTTTAATCGAAGTTTTCTCTCTTGTAGGGATCATTCTTTGGCACTTTCTAAAGTCATTTATTCAAATATTTTTCCCTCCACCTCGTAAAGACGTAAGAGGAGAGATAATTTTCCTGACTGGCGCTGGTAGTGGAATTGGTCGAATGATGGCGTTAAAATTTGCCAAGCTAGGAGCTACAATTGTTTGTGTTGATATCAATCAAATGGCCAACGACTCTACAGTTCAAGAAATAAAAGATCAAGGACTTTCCGCTTACGGTTATAAATGTGATTGCAGCAGTCGGGAAGACATTTATCGAGTTGCAGAGCTTGTGAAGAACGATGTCGGCGATGTTACGATCTTGATTAACAATGCTGGAATTGTGAGTGGAAAAAAGTTCCTGGAGACCGAAGATTGGATGATTCAAAAGACCATGGAAGTCAACACGATGGCTCATTTCTGGGTTAGTTTTTTTAAATTCGTTAATAAGTAAATGAATTTGCGTGCAGCGACGATGCATGGACGGATGTCATCATGTTCGTATACACGCTAGGGTCAAACAATTTAAAAATTTATCAGTTACTCTTAATCTGTTATGGATTTTGTTTTTGGATTAGGAAATAATGAATGGTGTTTTTTTATAGTTTTAAAACGAATCCTACTTATGTAGAGTACTTGTAGAGGAGACTTAGGGTGGGGTTCAAGGTCCAACTTGGTTTTGATGATTTGAGAGGGGAGGGTGGTTTTGGTACACAAGTAAAGAGATCACCGGGTCCAAAATCTTCCATGCATATTTCTTTGGACTTGATCTTCAGCCGGACATTGAAAAGAGCATTGTAAACATATGGTCACACAGCTTATTTTGAACGTACACAAAGGCATAGTCAAACAATTGTTAGTATTTCAAGAGCTGTGGTTTTATGGTGATTTTGAATAAATTTATACTATCAGCCAAAAAGTGATGTAGAATGATTATTGGCTTCAAATGTGATTCTTTTTGGAAGAGTTATTTCTTGGAAGGCTGCTCTCAGGTCAAGGGTATTGTAATTTGTAGGAAGTAGATCCCAAGATGGTGACTTGCAAAATATCCATACCCACTAAGAGGGGCATTTTTTAGTGTTAGCCTCCCTACAACACCACAATAACATCCTTTGGTTTTACAGCTTTAGTTGTTTACATTTATTTGAAAACTTAAGCTTAAGATTTCCTTGATGCCACTTTTCTTGAAACTGTAATGACCTGCCTAGGATGGATATGTCTTGATATAATTTTTAACATCACCAGTTGTCAAAAAAACACCTTTTTTGTATTTTTACCCTATCTACAGACAACTAAAGCCTTTCTTCCATCCATGCTGGAAAAAAATCATGGTCATGTTGTTACCATTGCATCATCTGCTGGTCTGTTTGGTGTTTGTGGTTTGTGTGACTACTGTGCCTCTAAGACTGGTGCTGTTGGTATTGACGAATCCTTGATGATGGAGCTGAATGCCATGAAGATGACAGGAGTACACACAACAGTTATATGTCCATTCTTCATCAACACAGGAATGTTTGATGGAGTTAAAACCAGGTAATTGTTTTACATGTAACTGAGCAAAGATCAAGACTCATTCAGGGTTGTTTATTTCTCTCAGAAATAGCTACTTGGTGCAAGGTAATTAGCTTCTACTAAACAAATAAAGAAGCCTTGACAGTGCTCTGTTCTGTTGTAAAGTGTGCATGAAGCTACTAGAGCACAAAGTAAGTTCAAGGGAGGTCAGGAGATGTAGCAGAGTGTGTCTCCCTACTTCTTGAGTGCTCTAGCTACCTCCTAAGTGTTTATAGCAGAACAGAGCATAGTCAAGGCCTCTCTGTTTGTCTTTTAATAATGAGTCTGTCAAATTCTCCACATGTTACTTACTATTTTCTGAACAAATTTTGATTTGCAAAGTGAAAAAAGTGCTGTCAACATGTTCTATAATCTCATAAGATACTACAATAAGCTATCAGAATACATGTTAGAATGGTTCAAATAATCTGATTGGTTGAATAAGACCAAAGCTGTCAGAGGTGTCAAACCATTAAAGTTCACAAACCATCAAAGTTCACAATCTGCAGTAGTTCATCAAATGAAATAGTTCTATAGTTCAAATTTAAAACTTTTACCAGAAGGTTTTTAGTTTTAATACAGAATCTGGTGAAATGTTCAGAGAAATCTGGCCAAATTGTGGCTCACAAAAACATGCATGTTTTTCACATGACAATAAGAAGACAAACTGTGCAAGGGGTGTATTTTGTGAATGAACAATAGCTGAATTTACAGGAACATGAAAATTGTTCATGATGACAGTGTGGTAGAACAAGGCTGTTGTGACTGATATGGCTTTCACAAAATGATCAGAAAGAATAACAGAGCAAGCTCTTAGTTGCTCTCTTGAAGGGCTTATTGTGTCATGGTGAGACGTTTTATAAGATAAGTTTATTTGGTGACGCATGCTAATCAACACCTTCAGCAATATTTTTGCTCTGATGCAAACAAAGTTTCCTTTTTCTGGAATGCCAAAAGAGATTTTTGTCACCTTTTGACATGATAAAAGGTTGATAAAAGCACTTCAATTACAAGAACAATCACTCTAACTTTTGGAAAGAGCTAATTAAAAGTTAGTAGACTTAATGATGAATGAGCAATTTCATCACTGTTCAGCACTCTACAGTGCGTCACGCTAATTCAACAATGGTGTTGTAATCATTGATTAGGTGATGAAAAGACGTTGGCATGAAGCATCATCAATCTTGCACCTTCCATTGTACTTTCATATTACTTTTTGCTTTATTTCTCCTGAAGTAAAAAAGATACCAATATGAAATTTTCTTTACTAGATATGAAATTTTCAGTAAATTTTAAAAAAAGACTTTTTTCCCTTCAATGATATCCTAAACACCAGGTCTGGGTTGTTCAAGGGTTGCTTAAGATAATTCAGGGTTAGTGTGAAATATTATTTCAGGTCTGAAAGCTTTAAAAGGAAATGTAGTTCAAATCTTTTTGCTTGCAATATGATCATTTGATATTCTCTAAAAAGCTTTTGAACAAAAAAATAAAGAAACCTGGATTAAAATTTAACCCTGGGTTAGTGCTAATTGGCCTTCTAACAACTAGGCCCTCTCTATTAATTTCAGGTTCACTAGGCTAAAAGTGAATTTAGTACTAAGAACAGCTGGTTAGCAAAGTTTTAATGCCCATGACTAGCACTTAACTTGTAGACAGAGAAGGAAAGAAGTTTTTGTTTGTTACAAGTCCTTAGTGCCATGTTATGTGCAGCAGCTTTTGACATATTTAATTTTTCAACAGGTTCCCATTACTACTTCCAATTCTGGAACCCAACTGGGCCACAGATAAGATGGTGGATGCAATCCTTCGCAATCAAACCATGTTGTTACTTCCAAAAATTCTGACTTTGTTTCTCTGGATTAAATGGTGAGTGCAAGAACTGGTATTTACAATTGGAAGGTGATGTCATTCATTTTAGTCATCAGTAAACTCTCAGCCTTGGATAATCCATTTCTTGTGTTCTGACTGGTTCCTCAATATCAGTCATTAGCTTGTACACAATTTTTCCTAATAAGGACAATCAACCTTAAAAGCTAAGTTTTTTGTATGTCTCACAATGTAGTCACGTGTGATGTAGATCGCAACGTCTCAACTGCATACTGCTAGTCCTCTTCAGACAATGAGGTCGACTGGTCATAGGTGATCTTGTAAAGCATGATGCTCTGCTGTGATTAGTTGTTTTTCAAAAGCTCTGATTGGTGCATTCTGATCCTCTGATTGGTGCATTCAGTGATTTGCTCCCTCGGCGGTCTGCTGTTGCATAGCTCTCCTGTTGTTGTGTTTCTTTATCGTGGGCATCCAGGCTTCTGGAATTTTTATTCCACTATCCCTGTTGATGTTGTCTGGGTGAAGTCTTATATGAATTGCCTCTTTGACCCTGCGCGCGTAGTAATAAGGGTCACAGTCAATAAACTTTAGTTCATTCCAGAGTGGCTTCTTTCCAGAAAGGATTGGAATGCACCAGTCAGAGCTGCTGAAAAACAACTAATCACAGCAGAGCATCATGCTTTATAAGATCACACATGACAAGTCAACCTCATTGCCTGAAGAAGACTAGCAGTATGCAGTCAAAACGTTGCGATCTACATCACACGCGACTACATCATGAGACAAACGAAAAACTTAGCTTTTATTGTTATTCACCACGATGAATAACCACAACCTTTTTTTACGACAATCAACCTACCAGGCGTCTCTCAGCAGAAGTTCTTTTTCCCTTGGAGGAACACTCTTGTTCAAATCAGTGTAAAAAAGTAACAACAAATATCAATAACAGTAAGACAAACTGCAAAAGACTCATTAAAAAAATTGGTATCTATGAAGTTTCCACAAGATCAAACACCACACAAGTAAATAATGCTTTTTGTGCATGCTGATTGGCTAGTTCAGAAGTGAACAGCAAGTACTATTTGCTTCCTATTTTTTTTTCCTATCTATGTGGTTAATGCTGAAACAATTATTCACCTCAGTATTGTTGAAAGTGGTAGATATTTACCTATGGTTTATGGTTCAGTAATTATCCATCTCTGTTCTACTCCACTCTAGTAAATAATTGTTAATTATTCTCTATTTATCATTGGTTTTCCAATTTGCTTGTCTGATAATTCAGGACTGAAATGCTGAAATGCATTTTCAGGTCACCATTTCCTAGCTCTACTTAAATTCTGAGAAGGGTTTGCTTCTAATTGTTTCTTTTCAGTATAATTTGTTTTTACCTTTACAGCACTGTACCAACACCTACTTATCATGCACTGGCAGAGTTCTTTGGGACCAATGCTTGCATGGATGATTTCAAAGGAAGATCAAAGAAATCAGAATGAAGAATGTCAATACTTTATGTCTTTTTTCATCAGGAACATCAACTTTGATGGGTTCTTAATATTTCATTTACCTGTTTGTGAATGTGAACAAAATTATTTGATTTTAGCTTGCAAGTGTGGGTCCTTTTACAAACTTAAACAGCAGAGAAACAAAGTACCGGTAATATATGGTCTGTAAGTTATTTGGCTATGTCAACTATGTTCAGAATTTACTAGTTGTATTTGTAACTTTATGCAAATTTCTTGTTTACTTATGGGGTTGCTCACATTTTTATCGAGTTGTTTTCTCCCTTATTTAAATACTACATGTTAAAAAATTTTTTAACTGGTATAGCAATCCTTTTACCCATTGAATTTTCAAGAATTTCAAGTAATTATTGGCAGTAATAAAAAGTACTACAAGAGTTACATTTTATTGATTACCGCCTGAAAAGTACACCACTCTTGAGGTGTGCGTCAACTGAAATTTAACAGTTAAACTGGTTTTTTTCTGTAATTAGTACGACCAAATAAGATCAAATATCATTGTGGTTTTTACAGTGGCTGTCAAGAGATATCCACCCAAAACATATTCTTAGCATACACCTCATTTTACATGAATTATTGTAGTATTGAGCTATTTATAAGGCAAAAATATTGAAGTAGCGGAGCAATCCTTTTACCTGTTGAATTTTCAAGAATTCCAAGTGATTCTAGGCAGTAAAATGAAGTATTGAAGACGTAATATTTTACCGGTTACTGTTTCTTTTTATTTGTTTTGCTTTTTTACCCCAATGATGACGTTATTTATTTTTGCCTTGTAAAGTAGCTCATTTTTAAACCAAAGATTTTGATGGACATTAGATTAATATTGTACCTCAAAACTTATTTCATCTCCAACAAGCTATGCATCCCTTGTTATTTTAATATGAGTTAAGATATGTTGTTATTATTTTTAATTTTAACATTTGGATGAATTTTCAGTTTGATTAAGATGACTTGTAATGATTTTCACTTTAGTTTCTGTGTAAACTAGAGTTGTAGATTTTCTTCTGTTTAAAGTGAAGTGTGAAGAGGAGGAAGGGGAAAAATCTCATAAAGATTACTTTTTAAGTTTGTTATTTGTTGTGGCAGAAATGGAATAATAAACAAATCTGTTTGCAAATCATCTCTTATATAAGGAGAACTTTGGTCAAAATTTTTGCTATGGTTTTGTTCTTCTATAGGTGCTAAAAAAAGTGAAATGTTGACATGGGCAGCGTTTGACATTTACTCCGCTCTTTATCCCTTACCCTTCGCTATTCACCCTTCACCCTCCACCCTTCGCCCCTCACCTTTCATCCTTCACCATTCACCCTCTTTCTTAGCCCCGCAATCCCTTACTCAGTGATTGTTAAAACCGAAGGCCTCTCGCAGATCCTGGTTATAGACTCTTGGTATTTCCTTTACGCTTCGCGTCGTGGTTTCCTACGCTTATCTCGTGTTCTCCCAACCTCCCGCGTGTTTACATCAGGCTATGTAAACACAGAAACCATTTTACATTTCTTTTCTAAAATAACTAATGAAAGAGGAACGAAAACTGTGTTTACATAAGCTCATGTAAAATGGTTTTATGGCCAATCAGAGCGCGCGTACTATTTGAATTATTTTATAATAAGAAATGTGTAATGTTTGCATGAATATGTCATTTACATTGTGTACAGTTATTGCACAAGTAAATCATACACCTGCTATTGGAGTGGGAAAGGACAGCCGCCACTCATCAGGTTTAGCTGAACTTTAAGACTGTGTACCACTGAAAAACTTGCATTAGGGTTAAGAGATTTTCAAAGTGCTTCAGGGAAACATGCTATCCTGCGGGGAAGAGAAACACGATTTAATCGAATATAACGATTAATTAACGAATGCCCTTCTTTATCTAGATATAGGTCATCTGTGCCTAATTCTATTTCATAGGGCAAACAGCTAAGCATTTTGTAATATAATAGCAGTCACGAGACATAAGCCAGCCTGCTATGCATGAAAAATTTTTAATCCAGGTTAATAGGTTATTTCTGACCAGAACTGCATAATGCAGTCCGCTATGTATCAGAGCAACTAGCTCTCGAGCGATATTTAGAGCAGATTGTTCATTTTGCAGTGTGCAATACACCAGCATTCAAGTGGTATATCGGGCAGCTTTAGCTATGCATTTCAGAATTCAAGTCGTGGGGAATTTTTTACCTTTACTACATATCATGACAGATGGAGCTATGCATTTCGCAAAACACCAGGAATTCGAATCAAGTTATAAGCTATTGGTTATTTCTTATGTCTACTACATAATGCAGGTAGTAATGCAATTTGCAAAATACCATAAATCAAACACTGGGGATTGACAGCTAAGGACCTAATAGGCTTGTGCCTGGAAGAAATTGGATTGCCGGTATGTTACTAAAAACGAACTAGACACTGTGACATGCAATCTGTTAAAGCGTGGTTCTATTCAGCAGTCTTCCTGAATGGATTTACACCACAAAGAGATGACAACATATCAGTAGGTTATGAGTTTCTCTTAAGGTGGATTTTTTTACAATAACACTTTGAAGCGAACACTTAACTGAAAATGCCTTTGCCGCGAGAGATCACTGCAAAATTGTGAATTCGATCTATCTCTGAAAAACACACCGTAAACCAAAATTTTTTTAGGTTTTATCAATATTTCTCAAAACGAACACTTCCCTAATTAACTTTAGAGATCGGAAGAATGTGACAGTTTCGAAATTGAATTTTCTTCGTGAATACTTGACCTTAAACTCAATATAGCAAGCGTGATATCAAAAAGCAGTCTTGAATATCCTTTGTAAACCATTGTACCAGGCGAGATGTTAATGACTTCCAAAACACAAACTATTGCCTGAACCTCCCGCATAAGATAACAATTTTCTACATCAGTTTCATATTCTATTTCAAATCTAAAAAATCTGTTCTCTCGTCATTTTCTTTTATAAGTATTGTTATCAGAAATAGCTATGATGATATTAAAGATGATAATAATTAAGATTATTTATCGGAAAATCCCCGCGAAACGCAGGAAGCTCTCAAAACTGATTCATTCTCGTATAACAATCTCAACAAACGATCGCTCTGTTAACTATCAAACTTTCCCTAGTTCCTTTATCATTGTCTGTTTTTTGTTGGCGAATCTGATTCGATTTTTCATGGATCATTTATTTTTTAAAAACATCATCACCGGCGTTGTCTTGGAGAGGAGCGATTATTCTTATCGTTTTGAGCAAAAATATCTTAAACCGGCGTGGGCTGACTATTAACGTAATTGGATCTGACCGGTGTTCTGACTGAGTCTTCCCTTTGTTTACAGACCTCTCGTAATCCTTGACCGCTGACTAAATCTGTTTGCTTGTATTATTCTGACACCAATCACAGAGCTTTCAGTTAGACACAAAAAATGGTGGTTCCTTGAGAGGATAAGCTACGCATGCTCGTACCACTTATTTCTTTACCCTTAAAGATTTTCTACCCCTAACAAATTCCGTTCCAGTGCTGAACAAAGAAGAAAGATCTGCAACTCGAGTATCTTAGTTTATTGTATCTCACGCCTTTAGATTGCAAGCGGAAAGGAAAACATTGGAAAATAAACCGTCAGTATATCGCAGCTTAAATCATCGGATCATAGCCTCATCCACCCACTTTTGCGTCTGTGAATTTCTACTGACCTTTTTCGGGTTGAAAATCAATCGGGAAACACCTAGAAAACGAGACGAATTATCAAGGCACGCAACGTGAGTTGAAAGAGTTTTATATAAAAACCTTGAACATAGCACAAATGTGATTCCATTGGTAGCTGCTCGTCATTTCTCTCATCTTATTGGCTATATTATAATTATGTGCTGGGTCAATGACCTTTTCAACACTTCCTCAAGTAAGAAAAAAAACTGACCCCCCTTGTAGAGAACAAATATATAGAAGGATTAACAGAAATCAAAAGCTCGCGTGTCAGTCGTTCTGTATAGAATTTCGATTTTTTTTTTTAAAGTTAAGATCCTTGGGTTTATCTTTTCCTCCACTGAAATTAGTATTAATACATAAGATCAAAAGGTAATCCACACCTATTCGAATTTTCTTTTAGCGATAAATTACATCTTTAAAATAAAGCACGTTATGTAAGAATCACAAAGGCCGTGGAAGTTTTTAACTGAGGCGGCCAATCCTTCATGGATCGACTGAGACCTCACAAACAGCTTAAAACTGAAGAGGAGCTCTGAAGGTAAACAAAATAAGATGAGACTGTCTGGCCAACTTTAAATAAATTTGGTTAACACTTACGATCTTATCTTAAATCGTGAGAATTTGTCTACTTTTCATCAATTACTCAAAAACCATCATTGTTTGTTAACTTGCCATGATTTTTCCAATGAAATCATCGACTTTTGCTGAGCCCCACTTAACTGAATACATTAGAGGCCATAACTAACGAAAAAAACAAAACAAAAACAGAATTAGCCATAAAAAACTTTGACCTGGCATCTTAGGAACTGTTGCGTGTTTTGTGCAAATACTTCAGAATTTTGTTCGACCTTTACCTGCCTCGCATGTGACGTAGTGGTGTTTAATGAGATCTTGTGGATTATTATTATTGAAATACCTGCACGGTCAAAACTCTAATCAATAATTAGGTTATCAGACAGTAATCCTGTCTACAGTTGCTGCTGAAAGTTTGAAATCACGTGCAATAAAATGAAAAAGCTAAGCAGAGCTTCGCCAACAATATTTCATGACTAACAGATTTTACGAACAGAAGGCTGCCGTAATCTTGTGCAGTACATAAGCTGCGAGATTTTTATTAAAATACTGATGGAACAACTCTTTCCTTACTGAAAGTTTTTCGTATTTTTAATACCGAGTTGACATTTGATATTGCTCTTATTTTTTTAGTCTCTATTTCCGACGAATTTTTGAAAGCATTTTGATCACAAGAAAATCCACTAAACGGACCCCAGGAGAGGTTTTGTTTACAAAAGTGTTGAGTAATGATTTTTGGTAAGTATTTAACAAGGATTTAAGGCTAAACTAAGGGATACGAGAAGAAAGCCTAACTGCTCCAATACTTCCTATCACTTGAGGTACGCTAAATCTCTCTGTACCTTATATTTTGGGTCTGAAGACCCAGTAGGCACGTTATCGATTACCTAGCTCCAGTTTTGATGCTGATGTTGTCTAAAATGGCCTCACACCCCAGCTGGTACGTAAAGGATAAGAAAGTGATGTTGTTTACAAAACTGTCCTTTAATTCATCTTATTTTATTTTATATACATTCACACATGCTACTATTCGAAGATTTGAAGGAAATGGTCCGGAAATAAGGCTGGAGCCAGAGGGGGCTTTATGTATAATTAGTATTCTTATTGTAAGGAGAGTTCATTCAAAAATCATTTTTCACTCCTTTAGGATCTATGCTCTATATTGGTCCTCGAAAAGTATGATAAAATTGCGATATATGCATGAGAAAGAGGCAAAATAAGTCTCGATCAGCATTCCAGTCTGAAAACACAGAATATAGCTGGCTGTTATGCAGGTGTTGATTGAAGACTCACAACTGGTCTTTAACATTAGTTTGCGAGAGTTGTTTTGATCAAGTCTGTGGGGGTTTGAGTTTTTCAGTAGATCAATCTGAAAGGCAACCAAAGCAAATGTCTACCGATCTGTACGTAACCACACACATGCTTTGAATCTTGTCTCTGCACATTCCATAGGGATTATCTGTGTTTTATTCACATAGGAAAAAGTTAAGTTCAGAGTCTTGGCTATTTTTAGCCAAAGAAAGTTGTACCTTTTCACATGAAAATACGAGGCGAGTAAAAAGTCCACCGACACGCTTCAATTCGTTGGAATGCCTTGGCATGTCTCGCTTAAAAAGGACGCGATATATTTCGTTTATCTGGAGACCTGTTTTGAAATTGGTTGTGTATTGAGTTTGAATTTCGAGTCATCGATAACTTTGTTATTTTAAGCATGTGAGATGAGGATATATATTTCTCATCCATGTTAACAATGATGATACTAATTAAAAAATAATGAATGTTTATGTTACTCTTAGTGGCATCAGTCTCTGTGGTGCACCCAGGATTCCGTAAGAAAAATTTCCAAAAAGACTCGCTGAAACTTGAAGGCTTTAGTCGTGCAGACCTAAGGGTCAAAATATCATTCTTTAAGTCGAATTATGTCTAACAAGCTTATCAAAAGTCTTAAAAGACTTATCTGAAAAGTTAAACGTCTTAGACATTTGAACGTCTTGTGGAAGTCATAGGACTCGCCTGTTTCACCCGCGCCGAGACAAAGCTTTCTTTTCTTTTCTACTCTGACTTGCAAGGTACGAACCCTCAATTGTTTCAAATCCTGTGCTAAAAAGCTTTGTAGTTAGGGCTATGAAATCCTCTTCCCGGCCAGGAAGCCAGGGAAAACCCAGACATCAATATATGTGTTGTGTGTGGATCAGATATTCACTACAGTAAAGCTTTGTAGAGGGAGTTAGACTCTTGGCAAAATCTGCAGCTTTGTGTGACTGTCTTCAGTCTCTAAGCTGAAATTCAAGAACATTTTGAGGCCACCCTAGTCTAAAAAGGAGCAAGAAAAGGTGACGGGCATGTTGATATTGTTTCTATTATCACGCGGGCACACAAAACGGAGTCGAATTTCCCCAACAAAGTTCAATAATAATGAAAACCCCTAGCACTGACATGGCTGAATTTTGGTGGTAACTAGGGTCACATTTTTTGATGTGAGAACTATTGAAGCTAAATGCTTAGATAACAACAGACGAGTTATACCTATTCAAATCAATATGATCTCGTAAAGTTATTAAGCCACGTTGTTGAAACTGCCACGAGTTTATCTTTTAGGGGAAATAATGGAGAATGAGGCGAATAAAAATTGAAAGGAAGGAAGGAAGGAAGGATCAAAAAAATGAAACCACAGTCAGGTGCATCTTAGCGTGGTCGGACATTATTGTGACTTTATCTAATCTTTATCTCTTTACTAACCCTTCACTTTATCTTTTTAATATTCTTCATATTTGTTTTCTGATGTTTATCATCACTAACCCGCCGTCATTTCCACGGAGGTCATCGCTCTCCTGACCTGCTTACCCTGTTGTAGTTTTATCTTGGCCAGTCACAGTTCAGACACTATCCAAAGATGTCTTACAAAAGTAATTGTGTTTAGACTCGCTTCGTACCTGTGTCTGTCTATCTTTAATAGCCGATGCTATCAATTTTCAACTGTTTGAGTACTGGGTTAAAAAATATGAACCTGTAGATAATTGGATAGACTAAAATCTTTGCAGATGAGATGCCAAAACTGACCAAATATTGTAAACACATGGAATTTGATATGAACTTCACCCTTGATACATGTATCCCTGACGTAAAGTGGTTATCCACGTTTCACATGTGTGACTAGTTAACAGCGCATTAGACTCAATTTTGGAGACGACAGGTTCGTGCAAAGGCCAAGACAATCCGTCGTCACATGATCATCAAGTTTTTTTCTTATCAACATGCAAGTTTGCCGTTGAAGGCCTTCCTGGTCTATGATAGTTGAATTTGCAAATTTCTAGAGATAATGGTTCACTTTATAGTTTGTTATGCATGAACTCTTGGCAAGTAATATTTGTGGAAATCAGTATTAACCATCGAAACGGATACAAAAGTACTTAAATTATGTTCAAATTATTTGAAATCATTGTAAAAATATTGCGCTTTTACTATACGAGTTCATGTTTCCAGTTAAAGAGCCTCTTCTGGGATCCTGATCTTTTGAGGTTGGTAGTTGCCGGGTACCCCATTATGACAAGTAAAATAATAACTTAAGCTTAAAACATGAATCTTGCCACATGTTTTTCCTGTAATAACCAAAAAGGGGATTGAAAAGTTTCTAGTTCTTGGCATGTTCCTTTCACGAGACTTCCTAGTCAAGGAGGATATACTCGTATATTTAAGTTGTTTACAGATCTACCATTAACACATGACTATACCTACCTACATTTCGGCTGTTTCCTAAATGAATTTTCCTTCAATAAGTATTTCTGTATGAAACAGAGGACAAGCGTAAATCAAAGGCTTTTAGAATAACACTGAATATTTATTGGTCGTTTGCTTGCATTTAGAAGATGAGAGTTAATTATAGTGTGTATATAAGTAATGTTACTAAAAGAGTTGACCAGACTGAAATAACACAATCCGCAGAGTTCATTATCCTGGAAAATATTCGGACAGGTATCAATTGATTTCTTTGTGCTGAGAAAAGTTCCAAGGATTAATTTTTTCCTTCTTAAGAATACTTTAGAAAAACATCCTTGCCAGTCGTTTGGTTGAATTCTGATTTCATACGATTTAATTATCGATCATTGATACATTAAGTTTATTTAATTCGCAAGTTTGAAACTACGTCAAAACTGTAAGGTACAGGATACAACTTATATTTCAATCATCCAACGTAAGACTTAAGCTCAATTCTCGATATTATCCATTTTAATGGACCTAAAAAAAACCTCTTACTTTCGCTAAAATCTTTTTATTTTCCAAACAGTTTGGCTTATGCTTTCAACACCTCTTTAAAACCCGAGGTACAAAAAATAAAACTAAAAAAGTAATTCAGATTGTGAAACATTTTAAATGTGCACCTCATAGCGATATTTTGGAAGGCAGCGAATTATCTAAAGCTCTGGACACCAGCTTCATGCTGATTTACGCTCTCGTTCTAAGCCTTATCACCATCTAGGTCAGTTATACTTTGCAATGCTCGTCTAATACAAAACTTAAAAGCAAATTAGACAGTTAGCAGAATCAGTCAATAAAAAACCAGCAGATAGATACCTAAGAAGTAAACCTCTTTTTGAAAGATCCATAAACGTGCGAATCATATTATTCAATGACATCTGACACCTTTCAGAGCTGTTTTGAGCAAACTATGCAGATACTTTGGAAATTCCCTATTTATTTTCAAAATGGAACCAGTAGTAGCTCTTGAAATATTGTTAGGATACCTAAGTATTTTTCATGAATTTTTTTTTTAATTGACGGTACTTAGGATCTGACCGCCAGGCATGTTTCATTGTGAGTTTTTAGTTCCAGACATAACGCTTGAAATTTTACTTCAAGGATTAATTCTCGCTTTGTCAAAATACATATTTGTACAAATAAACACCAAAAAATTATCCAGTATTCTTCGGATGCGACATTCTGGCCAATTGGGTTCGGAGATCTGTTAATCTGTAGGTGAACATTTGACAGAAACCCGAGGGGTTTGAGAAAACCCAGGGATACTCGTACTTTTGAAAGTTATAGCCTCATTAGTCCTGTCTGAGACACTTACCCAATCTGTGAGTATTCCAAAACAGAAATAAGACATCTCTGGGATGTTACAAGGGGTCTTGCCTTTTACATCTGCATCTTTTCATCTCAGATCACGCGACAGAACTTAGATACTTAGGAATGATAACTCTAAGCCAACTGTTTATACTTTGAGAAAAGGGGCGTCTCCACTTAATCACAAGAAATCTGTACGATCTCCGAATAGCCTACGACTCTGTCTGCTCTAAAGGTCGGCTAATTGAAAACTATTCCGGTTAGACGTGTTAACGGCATCGATGAAATATACCTTTGATTTATTATATTTTCTGTCCCTTATTGCAGACTCTATGGCGGTTCACATGGACTATAAAACATAAATCTCCTTGTTGTCAAACTCATGACTGTCCCCCCTTCCCCCCTGCTAGGTAGCAAGCTTTTCATCTGTGCCGGTAAATACCACTTACTGATAACTGCAGGATTCCACTCCACTGTCGGCAATAAGGGTCTGAACCAACGTCAAAACTGACACTCAAAGCCACGCCTATGGAAAATGTCTTAAAATAAGCATACTTTTATTTATTTCAAATTGTTGCTTTTTTAAAGAGAATAGAAAATAAATTTTCCTGAAGTGATATGCACGTTACAAAAGCCATGGTTCTAATCTAGTTTGTGATTGGTCGTCTTTATTCTCATATTTGCGCCTAATCTGCAGCAAGTCAGAACACAAAACATGCCAGCTTATAACTGATTGATTTACATTCTCTGACGAAGGGATTATTCCTAAAGTTGACAGTTTCCCAACTTGGCAGCGCAATGTGACATACGAATCACTCCGCCCGAGATTAGCTGCATAGAGATAAAGAATTAAGGAATTGGATTCATAGTAAACTTATTGTTACTTTTTCATCGGCTTCAAAAGTACGTTTCCGTTTCTAGACGTTTATGTTTGACCCAGTGAAAACGAGTTTCCTGCTGAGGTTCAAGTTCTTGAGGTAAAGCAATACTTGTTTATCTAAAGAAGGCTAGTTTTGGCTAAAAAAAAGTCATTTGTATTGTTAATTGCAGTGGTTTGCTTCCTAGTTATCTTAGATAACAACACCAGATAAATCAAAAATTACGATGAACCGTTGATGGGGTGAAATAGCTTAGTAAATAGTTGATCTGTTTGTAAGAAAATGTTGACTTATCATCAGCAAGGGTGGTAAGCAACGAGAGGTGGGTGAGCAAGAATCTAACAAGAAAGTAAATCACTTTAGCCATTAAAAACTAATTAAGAAGAGTATGATGATGTCTGAGCCAATAGTAGAAAAGAGACTGGGACCATTGGCGATGTTACCGGAATGTGCCGTTACTTGTGCCGATGTTTCGCAGTTTGACTCTGCTATTTCTACATGGTATCAAATTAAACAACCCTTTGTTGAAATAAGTAGGTATTATAAGCCTCAACTAAATGTACTGATATGAGTATTACAAATATACACATAGGTATGTACTATATGTATGGTCCTCACTATTGCCAGTTGAACTGGCTCAGGTGCAGTAACTTCTGCTCCTTCTTGACGGAATGCTTTAAAATCTTTGATGATACATCATGTAAGAAATACTATTTACTTATTTACAATTTGGAGCTCATCGTCTGAAACGTGTCAGCTTAAGGAATTTTTTTCATTTTATTTGTTTCCTAGTGTCTCAAAAGATTGTAGATTCTAACACAAAGGATATGTTACCTTTCCGTGCACTGCACCACGCATAATTAAGAATGATTTCCGTTCATATTTCTCCAGTGAATCCACGAAGGTGTTAAATTAGTCACTTAATAAACTAACCTCCAAAAAATGATGATTTCTTGCCAAGGTAGTGAGCGGCTGGTTCCGTTTCACGCAATAAACTTTCTCGAAAGTGCTTTAAGTGGAATTATATGACATGAATCACCTTCAAAATATGTCAATATCGAGAAGTTTTCATCTGGGTGTTTATTCAAGCCCGTAAAAGACTTCTTTCATGGATAGCAATGCATGCCTGTCAAATACGTGGGCGAGGAACAGTCGTATACTTCATTAAAATGAAACTGCCAGCTGATACTTTGTGTGTACCTACCAGTCATCAAAATAGCTTTCACAGCATTTGTTTAGGAACAAGTTCTTCGTGACACTTGTAAAATCATAATACTTAATAATAGATTTTCAAAGGAGATATTAATAAACTTATTAACATTTTCACACCAGCTAAGCCCATGCTAGAAAAAACGGAGACACTTATGTCACAGCGAAAGCTCAGTAAAGCGACTGCCCTCCGACGGGAATTAAGTAATTAACGAGCTGTTAGCGTCCGTTTATGGGCAGCCAAGTTCCCACCAAATAAGTGTTTTGGCTACTTGTAACCTATTGTGCGTGGGATCGAGTGAGATGCTTTAAAGAAGAGTGTCCTCTAGTCAGAGAAGCCAGTTATGTTCTGGCTCATGAAAATAACATCAATGACATGCGAGAGCTAGACTATAGTGACACTTTGTGGAGAACAAGCGTTGCCGTCGCTCATTCTCTTGTTTTTACTTTAAAATTGTTCATATTTTAATCGTTTCACGCCTTGGCCTGATGTCAAATAGTCTCATGAGTTTCCTTGCGGAAGCCATTTTGAATGGCGCCAAGTTGTTCCCGTTTTCAAAATAATTCGCGGTAAACGTAAGAATCCGCCCGTTAATGAGCTCTTTTTTTTTTATTTCGGCGTGAAAGTGCTTAGGGAAGTATGGAATTCTTTATCTATGCGTTGCTGAGATATCCTTTAACGTTTTTACCGGAGTCGATACATTGTTGTTGAGAGTCAGAGTGTGTCTAATTGTATTACACGTTGATTAATTACCGCCGACACAATTAATGTGTCTCTTAGTTCTTCGTCGGCCATTTCCTGCCATTAATCACCACGTTTAAGAATCACCTGAGTGTTGCTGTTAAAACAATTTTAAATGTCAGTCTCATTCTACTGCATACATATGAAAAGATCGGTTAAATTCAGACAGGTCATCAGAAAGTTTCCGCATTTTGGTAGAACAGTTTTGGTTCTGACAGCTTTTCTAAGTGTGAGACTATCTCAACTTGTCAACGCCCTGCTGTGGGTTTTGTTTACGAGCATTTTTCGGGCGTAATGTGGCATGTTATCGATACAGACAGACCAATATTTGCAAAGTATACTTTGTTCGTGTGTAATTGTGTAACTCAGACCGTCTAAGAGGCACGCAGCTCTCACGGAAGATGTTTACTCTAAGTACAGTAGGAGGTGGGAATGTTTATCGAAAACACCCATAACGAAAAGTGTCAACAATCCAAATATCTGCACGTCGTGAAGAAATATCAAAGAAATTTTTCGAAGCAGAGATAGTTAGTATGTTAAAAAATTTTTGTATCCACCCCCGGGAAGCCACAAGCGAAACGTTTTTTAAGGCGAGCGGGTTTCGAAAGGTTTTGAGCCTGATTAATGAGCTGTGAATTAGTTTACAGACTGGGTGGTAATAAGGCTACCAGAAGTGATGAAAGGATTGTGTAATTGTTTAAATTTGAGCTTCACACCATACAGCGTGTTCTCACGCACCTTAATGATCTTGCAAGTCGTCTTAAGATCTTTCTGAACTAACCGAAGTGCGCACGACGAAAATTGCTGTCGATCAAGTCAGTGATGACCGCTGTCGCTTCTAATTCGTCACAGTTTACTTTGAAAAGACTAGTTAACCACCGATAAACCCTGCATTGTGATATAGTTTAACCACCTCTCGAGCTAACTCTCAGTAAGGAAATTCTCTACAAGTCAATTTTAAAGCCGCTTTGCAGTTATTTAAGCTGAATAATCTCCAAAACAAATCTTGGCTAGGGCACTATAATGCCACGGTTTCAGTTAAGTCGTGTTGAACAAGAGAATAGAAGCTTTGCCTCATGATCCGTGGAATATTCTAAGTTTGTTGCCCCAATCACCTGAAATACTTTAGAGATAAGTTATCGAGATAACTTTGCCACTTTATGGGGCATTTTATACAGATAAGAAGCGAAGGCATTTTGTGACATGTGCAAAACATAAGAATACACACTTTAATCACATCAAACAGATGAATTCTCTGGCGGCACATTGAAGAATTTTCTTTGTGTTTTTACCGCGGTCAAGAAGATAGATGACTTAACAGGAGCTCAGCTGGAAAAAATGTCCTCGCCTGTCCTCGCAGGAAATGCTTCTTTAGTATTTATAGCTCTACATGCAAGGATATGTCCTATTTCCGGCTAAAAATCTTGAAAACATTTTTACACCGCATTTCAAGACTATGTAAGCTATGAGTCAATTTTGACACCTTTCATCTGGCTTATGTGAAATCGCTTCCTAGAAACCTCTAATGGACTCGACAAACTTTCTGTTCACCTCAAGTGGGCAAATATTGGACCATTCTAATGTTAATGCTATCCTCCATTCATTTACTTTGTAAAGACTTTTATGAGCAGTTTTTGATTTGCGTAAATATCAGTGTCCAGGGAAACAAAAGATTTCGAACCTATCAATACACAGCTTGCCCCTCCAAAGATATCTCTGTTTATTGCCTCAGCGAGCCAATCAGGTGACGCCAGAGTAATTTAATTTAGAAATATCGTATTACCTAGGAACCAATCCGAGACTTTATAATCACACGGGTTTTTGATAAAATCGCATCTTTAAACACAATCACAGTTCAACCAATTAGTGTATGTGAAATGGTCTTTGTCTCTGGGGCGTAACAAGAGAAAACGTTAATTGCTGCACAATAAATAATGTTCGATCGTTTTACAGGCTTGAGATGGTATAATCGCAACGAAACAGCCAAGCCTGGGTTACGTGTCTAAATCAAGTGGGCAGGAAGTCTTGAAAATCTCGGACACTTTTCAGTGGCGAAGGAAGATGAAATGCATGTGTCTGTTGTACCTCTTGCCGATCGCCTTCTTCAGGTTAACTGATTCTTGCTGCGTTGATTCTTCGAGCGGTCTCAAGAGAAAATGGGAGCTGTGGACACATCCAATCTTACGGAAACGTTCGGTGGATATCGCTCAAAAACGCTTCCTCACGGCTTTGGGACTTGAAGATTTTCCAAAGCCGGGACGACATGTCATTCCGCACAAATTTATGTTGGAAATATATAGAAACTTATCTCGCGGAAACTACAAAGGGAATCAAAGTTATGATATGTTGCCGAGTACAGTTGTCGGAATAGTTGATCAAGGTCAGTTTATTATTATCTTGGAGGGTTTTTAGTAAGTGTTTGTCATTGTTTGTATTTGTTTTACGATGTTGCCAATCTCGTATTTCTTTAGTTGATTTAAGTTTCTTATGTGAGCGATTAATTGATTCTCCCTGCCTAATTTCCTCTCTTCTTTGTCAATTTTTTGCAGAACGCGGTTATGATTTAGCGACCCCGACCAGTCAACAAGTGTTTCATTTTAACGTTAGCAAAGTGCCTTCTCGGCAAGCTATTATCGATGCCGAGTTACGAGTATTAAGATTAGCGACAGTTAAAGAGAAATCCTTTACTAGTAAGCACGGCACAACTTACAGAGCAAAGCTTTATGGCAAGCGCATCACAGATATGCCAAATTTAACTCCGTTCGAGCCTTCATCGCACCACGACCTTCTCGATTCACTCGAATTTGACATTTCTGATGGCTTAGAAGAGAACTGGAACGTGTTCTCTGTCAAGAAATCGATTGAAAATTGGCAAAAAGCGAGAGAAAATTTTCACGAGTTAGAGTTACGCGTGGAATCTGCGCTGAGTGGCGATCTCATCCCACCGGAAGAACTGGGGTTTTCTAAAACCGGGCGCCTTTATAACAAGCACGCTCTCCTCGTGGTATACGCAGCTGATCGAAAGTCTCCTGATCTTATCCGGAAGCCTGTCTCGAACGAGAACAAAGCCGTAAGTAACGCAATATCACCGGGAAAAAGTGTTGACCCAAGACAGGACAAATACACCTCCGATCTTGAACACAGCCGGGTACGGCGAGACGCGAGATCCAAATCCGGGGGAAACATGAAGAAGCGGAGCCGAGGAACGAAATCAAAGCGTCGGCGAAAAAAGGATTCCTGTCGCAGGAAACCTTTGTATGTGGATTTTAACCAGCTGGGCTGGTCTACCTGGGTTATTGCTCCGAGAGGGTACAGTGCGTATTTTTGTCAGGGACTTTGCGAGTTTCCTATAGACAATCATTTAAAACCTACTAACCACGCAACAGTACAAACGATTCTGAACTCTGTGGCTCCTTCACTCGCTCCTCAAGCCTGCTGCTCACCCAATAAATTCAGTGCAATTAGTATTCTTTTTATAGATACAAGTGACAATATTGTGTATAAGAAGTACGAAGAAATGGTGGTAGAGCGATGTGGTTGCAAGTGAACCGACGGCAGACATGCACACGATGTAGTGAGTGATAGCCGTTTCTAACCCTCCCAGCTCAGTTACAGGTGCTGAGTTCTCCATGTTCAGGCAGCTCGCGCGGCTTAAGTATCACTGTTTTTATTAAATCATCACCTCTCCGGGAGTTTAGCGCTGAAATTGTGTACTATTCTCACCATCCGGCGCTATTTCAGAGTGTTCTCGAGCTCTTCGCACACTTTCAACACTTGAGAGTACATTTCCCGCATATATCTTCCACGTTGCGGGGTCAGAATGTTTCATGCGTAAGGTCGGGCTGTGTTTACTCAATTTCTTGAACACCGAGATGATTTAGTTTGCATAATCCTATTAAAATTATCAACGATATTGTTTATGAACTCCGATGGATTCTCTAAAATGCCTCTGGATAAACTGACAGCTAGACAAGTCTCTTCCGAAACCACTGAAAAGGACTAAGCTGGCGTATTTCAGCCGTTTGACGGTGAAACAATGTTCACATCCAAAGATTTTCATGTATATTAACTGTAATATCGTCATAGATTATTATTCCACTCCAGGAGTTTTATCACCTCTTTATTTTTATCAGATGACAAACGTCTTTTTATGTCAAAAATGACTACACATCATTATTATACTGAAAAGTATTTATGCGTAATTTTCCCTCTCGTATTTTGTCAATAATTTTCATAGATAATGGTTTGTTGGCGTTGGTGAATCGGCTGCCCAACCAAACAACAATGACGAAGTTTATCCATGATTAGCGAACAATCGATTTCTGCGTTTTATTACCTTGGTCGAATGTAAATACTGAATAAATTATTTAAGACTTCAAAAGGAACGTAGAAAAGGTCCGTGTTGCAATTGTTGAACTATTTTTATCTCCGAAAACGTAGACAGCTCCGTTAGTGTAATAGAAATTATTGTCTAAAAATAAAACGACGCTTAATTCAGCGTGTGGGTATACATGTGTATATGAGTGTTGGGAATCGTGTAACAACTACTTGCTGCGAAGTGACAATTGCTATGTAATGAATACAGTTTTTTTCAAGCCGAACCAATTGTACTCTCCACGTTATCGTCGGCTATTTGACGAAAAAAACCGTTTTCAACGTGCTCTTTTAAAAGTGCTTAACTCGATCCAAGGGGGAGTGGAGGCGTACAAAAGCACCTTACATATTTGAGGATAAATTGCTAAAGTGTGCCGTAACCGCAGCATCGTCTGTATCACCATTATCTTCTACACCGGAAAGAGAATATGCAAGGATAGATAACTGAAATGAGAGATGTCCTACACTCGATTTGATGTAATTTTACTATGCGATAACAAAGTACTAAAGGTTATCTTTTTGTCGCAAGGAAACTGCAGGGCCCTTATCTGAAGATAAGCCTCAGTATGTACAAAGGAATTCTTTTGGCTCGTGATAAAAGAGGCCTGTATACCTCAAATCAGCAGTACAATTGAATCCGAAGTATGTCGTTAGAGCACTGCAAAGAAAGAATTCATTTAAGAGCTTTAAAGTCAATGATTTTATTGATCCTGCAGCAAGGAGTTAACGATTATTATTTGGGCTTAAAACTCATTCCAACACAAAGCTTTCACAAAACAAAAGGAAACATATTTCTCTTCAACGTAAACAATCAGGGTTGACCAAAAAGATAGTATATCTTCCTTGGCCGTCAACACTCTCAAAACATTCCGTGTTTTTTCGATGAAGTTGAATGTTTGTTTCTGGAAAGAAGAGATTGAATAGCATACTGGCATTAATGAAATTCTCAGCATTTGGGTCGAACATGCCTTCCCGTATTCAAATAAAGTACCCTAATTGCTCATTTAACTTTGTTATTTCACCAGAGTAAGAGCTTTTTCCCAAAACATTTCTTAATTACTCGTACACAACCCCTTAACGGCATGAAGTCTCAGAGTTAAGTAGTGTCTCTTGCGTCATGCAATCACGATACACCGAAAAGGGCATTCCCAAAAACCGCCTTTTTGTGTTAATATTCTTACAAACGTAAATCTCAAGGAAAGGGTGAGAATTTCTGGGCAAAACGCCATGAAAGAGTGGGCAATTTGGAGCAGATTGCTGTGATTCTATGCGAAGATTTCTTAAAGTGGACAAAGATTTCTTTCTAGGGGGCATTGTAAACTTGGCTCTTAGCACTAAGTAGTCGCACGCGGACATAATAAATGACCTCTATGGCTTAACCCTTTCACGAAATGAGACACTAAATGCAAGAACCATCAACCACTGTCAACACAAGTGTGTAAAGTTTTTTCAGATAATATTGACTTTTTTGCACTTCATTCCAGTTACAATTCTCTTTAGACAAGATCCAGTCTTCTTTTTCCTATTTTGTACTTTGAGTTGTGTAAAACTATGCCTATTCAAAAAACAAAATGCCGATGTATGTGAAGTCCTACTCTAAGCTTTCCATTTAATAACAGCAGAAATCAAGTTTCATATTCCAGAAATACATAATATGGCAACACAAATAAACAGCCATTTGTCTTAGATTTCTCTTTGGAGTGTCATTGAAGAGTCTGGAGGTGACGGCAGAGCGATTGCCTTGCATTCTATGCAACACAGAAATTGTTTCTAAGGCTCAGATGGTGCGGAGACGTGAGAAAGAATTTTAGAAAAATTACCCTTTAAAGCCAAGAGAGAAAGGCGCTGCGTGCCTTAAACGTTTTGTTCTCAGCAAAATTCTCGAGAGTATATTGAAATTTGCGCTCGTTTATGGAATAATAAACCAGAATATACAATTTTGTCTATGCTTATACTCAAAGTTTCAACTCATTCTTTCTTTTTGACTCAGTAGAGAGTAAGTAAAACATAGATTCCTACTGAAGGATTACTGTTACCTTGCAGATAGTTTATCGGAACTGCGGTTCAATATCGTCCTCTTTCTCGAGTTGAAAAAGAAATGTCAAATCGAAGTATCTGTTTACAGATATAATTTTATAAGACGGTACAAATTTTCTAGTTTTGAAAACTCTCGATAAACTTGAATCAATCTCCAGTATAACCACAATGGGTTCAATACAGCAGTTATTTCTCAGGGCTATGGAGATCTTTGACCTCTCATAAGAAAAGGGAAACTGTAGAAGTCGGTGAGGTAAAAGGACAAGATGACTCAAAACGGATTGACAAAAATTTTCAATTTCCTTTTTAATACCGACGTTTCAATGAAATTCAGTGGCTCTTTGCAATCCGAAATGGCAGACCATCATCACCTCTGTTTATTAAAAGGAATTACCGCACTGGTGAGAAAAGGAGCGTTGTTACTAACACATAATTGAAGGAATGTTAATTTCTCTTAACAGAATCGACGCCTTCGGAAAAATTAATGAAATTAAAAGTTGCGATGAATGATTTTGTCTTGTTATCCTTTTTGCACATTTAAACGAACTTGGCAATTGTCAAATGAACTTGCATCATCCTATAGATATAGAATCATGGGAGATTTGACCAAAATCTAAAGATACTTTCTTAAAACTGTGGAAATTTTTTGCAGGATTTGACTCGGTTCTAAAGATTTCCATCATAAAGGGTTCAGTTCCAAGCCTTTCAGAAGCCGAAATCAATTAATCAATGTAATGTCTATTTTTAGGTACTCGCTCTCACGGTACTAAAAGTCAATTTTCTGTAGTGAATGATCTGGAGAAATTGAAAATGAACTACAACTTCACGATTTTGTTTTATAGCGAAAGCTTGTTTTATCAAGAACTATTTGGCAGTTTACGCTCATCTACATACATTTGAAAGGCTAAAACAATAATCTTCTGTACCTTGTGAGAATATTTCAAAATAGTGCATGTTCCATTGGACCTGAGTGAAAGATCTGCATGATTTTCTGTCGCCCACCGCACACGTAATAATCTTTTGATGATGTCAATTAATTACGTAAGATATTTACTGTTCTGTATATCAACACAATTTATGACAGCCCATTCAGTTCAGAGTTGTCAAATTATATGAAGTGTATAACAAACACACTAAAACAAGTGAACGCTTAATTAAATTACTATCAGTGGGTAATTTTGTGTAAGAGCACTTTGGACTTCTGTCAGCAGATCACATATTCGTGGTTTGTTGACAGCAGAATTTCAATAGATGTAGTAAAAGTGTCTTCGAGGAGGCCTTAAGACATACAAAAACATGCCAAAAAATCTTAATCTTTCATTTTTTTAAATTTAACATAAGTTTATTAATCCTTCAGCGCACGCACTAACGAAGATTTCCCTTAACAGGGTCAGGCCCTGAACGCCCCTTTATCCTATTTACCTGTTCAAGAATTTCTAGCTCTAATTCTTAGTTCTAAGGAAAACAAATAAGACACACAGAATAGTGATTCAAGTGTGAAAGCCGTTTTTCCGTATCGTATTTAACTTCGATGAATAATGAAGGAGATCTGCTTCAAAGAGTCATCGAGAAAAGGGAGTTGTGTGACGATAAGGAGGTTAGCTTTCTTTGTGGTGATCGTTTCACCAGCTAAATTTGATTTGTAAGACAAAGCCTCCAAACCATGGACAATTCTGGGGCAAGCCGTTGTCCTAAACATACCTGTCTATGTTTATCCCGATGACAATTTATTCGAGTAACTTGAGAATTTATCCTTCGTGACAAAATTCATGTTTTGTCGGCAAACTGTAGGATTACTTGGTGCAATCTTACTTTAAGTTGTAAATTGATTTAGTGGCCCCTTGTATCTCGAGAAGAGAACTTTGTACTTAATTGTTCACGAAGGAGTGTTGAAAAGGTGTTTAGTGTTTACATAGTTTGGCTCAAATACAGAAAATAAAATACCAAAGCTTTAAGATTACTACAGAGGGGTTAGATGAATTTGGAATGTTCTCAAGTTTTGTCAATCGAAGCATGTGGCGCGCGCCTAATGATGAGACAATCTCGGGTACTTTTACAAGAAATTTGATTGAATGTGCCAAAGAAAAAAATTATATGACGATGCAAGACAGCTTTCTGCTTAAGTACAATTCTGTGAAAGCAGTACTAAATCTCCTATCAGTTCAACCTCTCATGAACAACCAAATCGAAGCCTGTTAACTCTAAATCCCATCTACAAAGGGAGTCACGGAGCAATGCCCTCTTAGGTATGAAATCTAAAGCCAAATCGTTCTGAGCTGAAAAAAGAAAGTCCCTCTAATATATACATGTATATACATCTCTTTTTCCTTCCACTCGGGAAATTTCATAATGTAACTGAAACACCTTGCCTCGTCATGTTTTCCGAAGTACTGTGGGGATCAAACGCAAAAATTTATCCTCATGACTTACCATAAACACCTGAGATAAACTAATAGTAAATGTTTTCAATAATTCGTTAAGAGTTTCAAGATCATTGAGACGGGTGTACCTCCATTGTCTTTAAGGGTGCGATGACATTTACTTTTTAATTACGTTCCACAAACTTTCTACATATCGTGATGTTGATTGAGGCTTCTAATTGAAAACTACATGGGATTATTGGTGCTTTTTTCCCAGGTTCTGATGGCACCGACTAATCAGTTTACTATCATCATTATCGTCCGGTATTTATATCGAAATACCTTCTTTTTGGACAACGTGGATTTACGTCATACGAACGTCCCCCACAAAGTTCTAAGATGACGGAATAGGAAATAACTTTGGTCTACAGCACGAAATCATTAATTCAAACCAAAAGCAGCCTTCTTCCTCCTCATTCAATTTCCTCTTCCTCAGACATATAAACACACATTCTCGGACTTTGTATCATGCCCTTAGAGATTATAGGCGCAAGAAGGACGCACTTAGGCGTTGTTAACGTTCTCCTTGCACAATGGCTGAAGTGCATGGACAAAGACGTTCCTTTGCTCTTCTAGCAAATGTAAGGCGAATGTGGGTTACGAATAATCGATGGTTGGTGCGGAGATTTATGTGGCGGGGCAAAGGGACAACTTACTACGAGATTCTCCCTTCTTTAAAGTCATGGAGACCGACCTCACTGTTTTATTCATTCATACAGATTATCATCCCAGAAATTCCCTTGTCATTTTATCACAAAGTTCAGCTACACTCCTCTCTAACATGCTCGCTTAAAAGATCAAGTAGTGTAGTTTTTCGCAATTTCCCATCGATTCACCAAAACGAAGTTTATTTACCTCTTAAATGAAGGAAGGTATCGCGGGAGTGAAGTATCCCGTCTAAAAACACACGAAGCCTTTAAGTGGCTTATTAGGACTCCTGATACACGAGTTATGATCAGTGAGGCTATTTCCTCCACCCGTAAGGTGTGCGCTGTTAAATTTCTTCAGTTGTTTTTTTTTTTTGAGGAGAATTACGATCCGGGCCCTGCTGACATGGCACGAACCGAGAAACTAATGCTGATTATTAAGTCAAAAACAAGCTCTAACCATGAGGTCGTCGCTTCAAAATTCAACCTGGAGGAATTAATTTAATTGCTCTCTTTGAAGATCGTGTTTAAATTTCCAGGTGTTAATTAACTCGGGCTGTTTGGTTTTTGCGTGAGGTGATGTTATAAAAACTTCTTAAACGATTCATATTTAATTCTGTTTTAAGCTAGTTATATCAAAAGCCGACCCTTCACTCCTACTTCCGTATCACAGCCAAACGACTGCCGAGTTTTTCCTCGGCTGGATATACCTCTCGATTGTTTTAATTCATTGACAACCGTGCGTCCAGACCCCATTTCGACAGACAAGGGAGAGACGCACTGAAAGAGATAAGGTTTCTCCTCCATGAAGTATGAAATTATGTTAATATTGGGATCTTGGATTCAGAGTACCGCCTACCCCGGCACCGGATTGTGCAGCGTTATCTC